GCTTTTTGCGCAACAACGACGCCGACACGGCACGTCATGGAGTGAAGGGGGTAAACAGGGGGATGTTGCGAGTAATGGAAGCCTAAACGCAAGCTTAAGCCTGAGCCTGAGCCTAAGCCTAAACCTAAGCCTAAACCTAAGCATAGGCCCAAGCCTAAGCCTAAGCCTAAGCCTAAGCCTGCGACTGCGACAGTATCACTCCGTTTCGATTTACGATCGATTTAGCGAGCCTCATCCTCCTCACCATCTCAGATGCTGATCAACCTATTCGACTCAGATGGTGGGGGGAGGGGGCGGGGATCCTGTGCAGTGATTGATGGGCTCTTTTGTGCGGATTGGTTGGAGTTGAAGGGGGGTGATAATACCGTCCATCGATCACCTCCCACCCCGTCGAGCCCCCTCTTTTGAGCATCATCATCTTCTCCTCTTGCTCTCCGACTGTTGCTCCTCTTCTCCCCGCCTAATATCGGATCGGCGCGGGGCGCCACTTTGAGTGATGAATGGCCCCTGCACCACTCATATCAAAACGGAGCCCCCCCAAAGCATCTCAAAAATCTCTAAGCCGCAAGCACCGGGGGACTGGGAATTTAATAAAAAAGCACGAGCAAATAGACTGCTGATGGATTGACGATTTTGTGGCCTAATTCTCGGGACTAAAAAGACGTAAAAACGATTGATTGAGTGGAGGAAATAAAACTTGCCGGCAAAACGGGGAATGGCTCAGAAACATTTCAATATTGAAACTTCGAACATTAAAATACCGACAACGAAAATGCCGACATTGACTATACCGAAAGCAAAAGATCCGAAAATGCGCCCTAGGTGTCGACAACCAAAATGCCGACGACAAAAACACCGATACGGGAAATACCAAAAAGCGAAAAACACGAAATTCAAAATGCAGACAGCCAAAATGCCGACAGTTAGAATCCCCAAAACCAAAAACTCAATATTCGGTCAAAATCCGAATTCACGAAGCCAAAATCCCGGCGCTACATGCAGGCATTCCAAATGTCGGGATCTAGGTTGTCGGAATTACGGCTGTCGGTATTTTGTCGGCTCGGGATTTTGGCTATTGTTGTTATGGCCGTCGGAATTTTGTCGACCAAAAAAATTCCGGTGGTGGGGATGTTCTCCTGTCGGGATTTTAGCTGTCTGGATTCAGGTTGTCGGCATTATTGTTGTCCGCATTATGACAAATACGCATATGGTTGCCGAACCTTTGCCTTGTCGGCATTATCAATGTCGGGACCCTCGCTTTTAAAACTTGCCTTGTCGGGATTGTGCACGTCGAGATTGACGCTGTCGGGATTTGGGTGCGTGTCGAGTCCTAATTTCTGTCGGGATTATCGATTTCCAATGATGGTTGTCGGCATTTTAGGCAGCCAGTATTCATGAAGCTATTTTAAGGGCACCATGACCGCAAAAATTTTCTCATCTACATAAACGACATCCCAGTCTCGACTCAGCTACCGTTTTTCCGGCGCCACGTTCAAATACCCTCCATCTACCTGCCGACGATGTACACCTCCACAAGATGGCCCGATAACCGACTACCGGGCCCGTCAACACAGCGCGTCTCCAACCTCATCCATCTCCAGGCGCCCCCCCGTATAGTGTTTCCCCCTCTGTATGTATGCATTCATTGTGTGTGTCTGTCTGTCTGTCTGTCTTCCTTTTCGAGGTGTCTCTCGCACTGGGGGCTTGATTTATTATTTCAGCGATTCCATCTCCGACGACGGTCTACGAGGGGGCCCCCCTCTGCGATCTACGATAAAATAAATCTCGTTCCTCCCCCCAGCCACCGACTACCCTCCGCAAAATAGCAAGAACAAAGGGGTGTATCGGGATGTAAAAATATTCTTTTAAGACGGCCAAGGGAAAAAAATTCAAGTGAACTCCTTGAAAATGAAGGCCCGGCGTTCCGAAAATGCACTAAACTCCTCGAAGTTGGTGTCAACTGGAAATAGTTTTAGTGGGTTGTAGCGCCGGCTTGTAAAAGGATCAAATAAAATGTTATTGCAAAAATGACACAATTGCTGGTAGAAACCCCGCCGAATCCCTTGAAATTGATGCTCGAATATTGGAATGACTTTTTTAAGTTTGTGACGGCTTGTGGGGGGTTAAAGATTCAGAATAGAATCCTTTTTAGGTGGCAAAGGTAAGAAAACATTCCTCTGACCTCCTCGAAATTGATGCCCCGAGACTTACAATGGTTTCCAAGATTTTGATCGTGCGTAAAACTTTAATCCATCAGTTTCGAATCACAATCTTCTGGAATATGCATGAAAGTATATATGGGTCGAAGCCCGGGGGCGCCGCCAAAGGCGCCTCCCGAGGCACCCCCTTGGGGGCGTGCCGAGTGGCGCCTGGGGGCGCCGCCCATATGATTTTTAACGGGGCGGGGGGCGTCACTTGGTAAAATTGTAGGTGGAATTTTCGAAATTGAAAAAGCGAGATTCGAAAATCGGCGATTTTTGGCAGATAAATCGATTTTTTTTTCGGTATTTTAGTTAAGGCTTGTGAAGTTACTTTGGGAATAATAACAACGTTTTCAAAACACTTCTACCATGTATTTTAGAAAAAAAGATCCTTAGAAAAACGTTGGTTCCCCCATAAACTCCCCTTTCCTCTATAATGCAAAAGGATCCGGATTCTACGGGTATTCTTCCTTCTTTGATACAAGGGATCAGCAGTCAAATCTCATTCCGATAATAATTCTGAATGTTTTGATTTGCATCTCGGTTTCCCGGCGCCTCCTGGTCCGCCCAAGGCGCCGCCACAGGCGCCATTCAGCACGCCCCCAGGGGGGTGCCTCGGGAGGCGCCTCTGGCGGCGCCCCCGGGCTTCGACCCATATATACATGAAAGAGTTTCGCTGACCTGCTTGAACACGCTACTCAAAGATGGAGGTTTTTGCTGGCTTTTGGCTATAACAAAATCGAGTTGCAAAAGTACCAAAGGGAGCTCCACGGCAGGGGTAAATATTTTCTCCCGGCACCTAGATAAAAATCTCGTATCCTACAAATATTTACCGTATCTCAAATCTCTATCGTATCTACCGTATCTCAATATTTATGGAGCACCATCTAGATAAGATCATCGCGCCAGCTGAGAAGTGTCTTCTTTCTTACCCTCCTCCATCGCCTACACTTCTTCACCTCGTGCTCCCCGGTGGTGCTGCTGCTACCCCGGGGCATAGTCGGAGATGATGAATGGGTGCTCTGTCACACACAAGACGATCATCACTACTGTCCCTCCGCACCCCAGATCCATCGCTCATATTTTCAGAGCGCCGCGCACAGCGGGTGGCGCCTGCTCCGTGCTGATGACATTGCGCCCAATTGAGCTCATCAATGACTGGGTAGAAAGAGGATGTATCGATAATGCCGTAACGTAGTTTGACTACACGTTAGTTGTTTGACCCCACAAAGTACGGAACTCGTCGCTGCACTAATGTCGCGGCCGGCGAGATACGCCAGGACGCTCTTGACGGCGACCGGGAGTCATCAGAATTCGCTGCGACGTCAGCAAAATGTCCACGACGCCAGTTTCATTGTCATGGGGTTATCGGCATCAGACCACTCTAGACTTTGATGAAATGAAACGGATTACTTCTTTCTGTCTGTAATGTGGTCGCCTTCGCAATGTCAGCGTAGTCCTGGCTAAGTGTATCTAATGTCTTCGGAATTTTGCTTTACTTCACTGACACTCAACGAAACGTATGCAGCAACCCCCTTCAGCGCCCCGCTATTTGTTGCGATCGGCCATGCATGCACTTTTTGATCGACGAGCCTGTGTTGCTGGATCACAAGAGGGATTGGCAGGGCTGACTCTTCGTGTTGGGGCAAAACACAGCCGGGGGAAGAATGATTGAGTGCCCTAATATGTTGGGGTTTTTTGGGGGGATTTCCCAATCTGACAATCGGAAATGGCTCATGTTGGGGGTTGACGATTATGCCCTATTTTTGAAAAAATGCCGAGCGTAAAAGTCGTGAAAATCAGCCTTTTGAAATGCGAAATTGGTTCAAAATTCGTTTTCGCGCCTTTTCTAAACGTAAAGATTTGTTTTAAAGGTGACGAGGAGGCCTGTGCTTTTGAATGTGTTGCTCTCTCTGTCTCTCTCTCGCTCTCTCTCTCGCTCTCTTTATCTCGCTCTCTCACTCACTCTCATTCTCTCATTCTCTCTCTCTCTCTCTCTCTCTCGCTCTTTTGAAATTTTGGTTCTTGACAAGAGAGGCAAAGAAGAGAGAGCGAGATAGAGAGAGAGAGCGAGAAATCCGGAAGAAGTTCCTCCTCCATGCTCCTATCAAGGCTCAAAAACTTCACACATTCCCCCCAAGCTCCCATTTCTCAGATGGTATCTCATCCATTCAGGCTCCAACAAAAACGTGTCGATACCCCCGGAGACGGGGCGGTCTGCTCGACAAACAGAGCAATTAATTATGACTTCTCCCTCCGCTTCCTGTCATGGAGGGCGAGAGAGAGAGAGAGAGAGCTACAAAAAACCCGTTTCGACGTCAAATCGCTGCTTTTCTGAGGGGGTGGAAGACGAGCAGCACAGTGTTAGCCGGGGGCAAATTTTGACACCTGCTGTCATTCAGAGGAGTTGGCGTCAAGCGGAGTCCAGCGGAAACTGTGAATCGAGACCTGCTGAGCGAGTGAGTGAAAAGGTCACCTCAAAGGAGGACGAGCAGAAATTGGGTTTTGAACGGGGTCTAAAATTACGCTTCCTGAATAGACAATGCCGTAAGTTGCAAAGCCTTGAAACTCTCCTCAAAAACGTTGCTTGCTATCTCTTTGAACATTTTTCTCTGACTTTATTTCATCTGAATGAACCTACTTTTAAAAATCATAAACGCGCCTGAAAACTGCATTGGCGCCGAGATACGGCCGGCAGAAATGACTGGAACTCAAGTTCAAGAAGTTCAGCAGCTTGCTTCTGTTTGTGTGTCTTTTTAGTCATTTGCTTTATCAAAATGTTATTCCGATTGTTGCCTAGGCATCAAAATGGCCGGAATTATTGTGGGGCACGTAGAGGTTGTGGAGTCGGATAGGGTTATAGTAGTTACGGTTGTAGAGCGTGACCCCGACCTTGTGGGGCTTCACGTGTTTCTAAAGAGGGTAAGAATAATAGTTTAAATATGGGAATGCACATCAAATCTGAATATACGGCCGGAAACTAAGATAAAAACCTACAGCCAACACCGGTCCCAGTTCGAAATCGCCTCGTGTGAGATCAAGAATTTGGACCAAAACGTGTGCATGGTCGTCCTGGGAGCCGGCCCTGAAGTCAAAAGTTTTGATCAATAATATGATTATGTTTTGTAATAGATTCGACCTTTCCATAATGCCGAAATTTCGTAATGTTAAAAATTCATAATGCCGACATTTCGTAATGTTAAAAATTCATACTGCCGAAATTTCGTAATGCATTTTTTATTAATATGTCATTAATAAGAACTGTCAATTGTTTGAAAATTTTTATAACATTAATTTCACCCGTCGTTGGGACATTTTAATATGTCGAGATTTACAATAAACAAATCAATCAGAAAATGCGTTGCTAAAAATTTAGCATCCGAACCAGGGTTGAAAAACCGCTTCGCGGCTTTTCAACCCTGGCCCCGGCTAGGACCGATGCAGTTATTAACTTTGCATAATCCTTGCCGAAAACCGCTCACCAAAAAAACCAAAAGCTTCCTCTTTATAAACATATTCCACTTCCGGCATATGCTAATTGCTTCCTAACAAAGAGCTTGGCAGAAAACTTTACAAAAACCTAATTTTAATATAGAAAATAGCGATTTTTCAAAACTTTTTTGTGTGTGCAGTCGATTCCAGCCCCTTCTTTACCCTATGACGTTTTTTCCCTACCAAAAAATGCAAAAAATGCTTAAAAATGCCAAAAAATACCAAAATGACAAAACCAAAAAAAGGCTGTAGGTGCGGAACATCCAAACGGAAGTGCATGCAAATATACACACACAAACACTATTTTTTTATATATAGTAGGATCCAATTAAAAAAATTTTGGACCCCCTCAATTTCGACATTAAAATGTAGTGTTTTCGAAAGTGAATGTAAAAGTGAAAAAAGTTTGAGAAGACGGAAAGCTTAAAGTTTTAAAACCATGAGATAGGAAAGATATAAAACCAACCAATTTTTTTCCATGCGTATGGCCAGTGAGGCAGCCGCCGGCAGTGTTTCCGCGTAGATCGGCGAGATTTTCCACCGATGGTCGTCCGGCCGGTCGGTCGGGCCAACGGAGGCCATTCCCCAGATATTTCCATCGTCACCAAACACAACGGCGCCTTCTGTCTTTTCAAGGCCAAAGTGCAATCGAAGGAATTCGGAGCGATCACGTCCTAGAAAAATTCGCTCTTCAGCATTTTCTAGAGCGTTTTAGGGCTAGCTATGTCTGAAGAAAGTGCCAGCCATTTAAAAATTAGCTTTAAATGCTTAAAATAAAAATGACTATGCAACGCAACCAACCTGTCATGTATTTGTCGAAATCGAGCAGCTTTTGGAATTGTTTTGGGTTGAGTTCGCTGACCAGGGTGGTGTCCAGATAATAGAAGGCCTGAAAAGCGGTCAAATTTCGCAAACCTAAACTTTTTTATAGAGGGAGGCAGAGAGGGGGAGAGAGAGAGAGAAAGAGAGAAAGTAGAAGAGTGAGTGGGAGAACGAGAGGGAGTGAGAGAGAGAATTGGAGACTCGACCCCTCACCTCTGGCTCCAGATAATCGCAGAATTTCCGCCAGTGATCCATATACATGATCAGATTCTGCTCGCCTATCATCCCATTTCGACGCCGGTAGTAGGGTTCCATTTCAGCGACTCAATAGTTTAACAGATTTGGGCAACAAATATTTTCTAACCAGCTCTCAAAATATGGGGTTGACCCGCGGGCCAACGATCGGTAGCCCGGTCCCACAGCACCCGGCCGACACCCTAAAGCACAACACAGTAATGAGAGCGGCAGAATTATAAGATCCAACTTAGAACCATACGGCACGTATTTTCTGTTTTGCTATCGAAAGGGCGAAAATTAGAATGTCGAATTTCGTACTATCGAGGATCATAATATCGAAATTTCATAATATCGAAATTTCATAACGTCGAAATTTAGGCATTAGTAGACGTCGGCACTACAAAAATTTCGCCATTCTGGCATTTAGACATTACGAAATTCCGCAATTTTCACCTTTCGGCATTTTTAACTCCCTGGGCTCACCTAGCCCCTGATTTCCGGCATGACCAAGAATACCCCGATGAAGGTGTACCCGTCGTACTCGTTCCACGTTACGGCGCCAAGGTAGTCGCCGGCTAAAACCAGATTTTTGGTTTTTACAACACCTTACTCACTATCCTTCCGTCGGGCGAAGACGCATCGCGTAGTCGGAAGAATTGGAGTCAGCGTCCTCATACTGACGTCATCTCCACTCCAGGCTTCGATGGCGATCTGGTCATTCCATTGCCTGAAAATCAACATTAAAGAATTAGGGACTACAAGCTTCAAAACTTCTTGAAGGCTGATGAAAAACTATCAAAGTTTCGATTTTCGCCCAAAAATCGCCGGCTTTCGACCAAAATTTCGAATTCGTAAAATATTTTCAACTTTTTAGATAGTTTTTCTACAAAAAATATCGCTAGATTTTACGAAAAACACTATTAAAGCGCTCTTGATTACGTTACAAGGCATTTCTGTCCTCATAGAAACAAAAATTCGGTTTTTGCGTTATACGCTGATAAGCTCCTCCCCCGATAATGGAAAAGCACCGGCATATAAATATGTATTTTTGTTTTTTTATTGAACTTATAATATGTTGGTTTAACTCACTTCCACAACTTTTCCGTCGGTCCGTCCAAAAATTCGACTTCCCCCACGCCTACGACGTAAGTTCTAAAAATACCAGTGAAAAAAATTGGTGTATAGATCTAAATTTAAAGAAAAATTAACAACTCACTCTTTAAAAATCGGCGGTTCCGGCAACATGGCGATACAAGGGAAAAGATGGGGCAACCTTGCAGGAAATGGCGATTACGCGACCCTACGGGGGACAGAAAGAACACAAACTTTTTTACGGCCCAGACAGGGCTTTGCTTGTTCTTTGCTTCTGTTTCTCATCTTTCTCCACTTTCCCTCCCTTTCTCTCGGGATGCCCACGAAATAGCCGTCGTGTACACTTTGCACATTTGAACCGGAAAGAGGCCACTTCAGGTACTTGAGAATTTTGGGGATAAAATAAAACGGATTTGACGACAAAGCTGAAAAATTTACTACAATGTCTATTTACAATTATTTACGAAAAAATTTCAAAAATTTATTTGTTTGGCTTAAAAAGAGTTTTCTCTCTTTTCTCTCTTTCTCTCTCTCTCTCTCTCTCTCTCTCTCTCTCTCTCTCTCTCTTTCTCTCTATCTTTCTCAAAAACCTGTTGCATTTCCCATAAACATTCCGTCCAGTCCGGGATTGATGCATGAAGGCGTCGGGGGGATATTTGTCAACACCGTGTCAGGGGCCAATGTGGGCCCTTGTCTTCCTGCGCTTCCTGTCATGGAGGGCGAGAGGGAGAGAGAGAGAGAGAGAGAGAGAGAGAGAGAGAGAGTGAGAGAGAGAGAGAAAGAGAGAGTGAGGGAGAGGGAGAGAGCTACAAAAAACCCGTTTCGAAGTCAAATCGCTGCTTTTGTGAGAGGGCGGAAGACGAGCAGCACAGTGTTAGCCGGGGGCAAATTTTGACACTTCCCGTCATTCAGAGGAGTTGGCGTCAAGCGGAGTTTGGCGGAAATTGTGAATCGAGACCTGCTGAGTGAGTGAGTGAAAAGGTCACCTGAAAGGCGACGAGCAGAAATGGGTTTTGGAGTTTGGAAGACCATAATTCAGAATTGAAAAAACAATGCTGTAAGACCCTCAAAAATTTCCTTAAAAATCGCTGCTACTGACCTCTTTGTTATTTTTTTATGTCTTTTTTGCAATTTCTATGAATGAATCTGTTAGAATCATAAACTCACCTTGAAAATTAGTGGCGCCAAGAAACTGCATCCTTCCGAACTCAAATTCAAGGAGTTCAGCAGGTTGCGGCGTTTTGTGTATTTTCATTCAATTTTTATTAAAATTATTTTCTAATCCTCGCTTAAGCATCAAAATGCCCAGAATTATTGTGCGGCACGTAAAGGTGTTCAAGTCGTATTGGGTTACTGTAGTCACCGTTGTAAAGCGTAATGCCGACAACATGGGGCACGATATGTTTCTGAAAAGATGAGTGTAGTACTAGTGATTATGCTTAGAGGTACGTAGCGCTACGGAGCGTTGCGTGGCTGACGTGTTGTGAGTAGGCGTAGTAGCTACTTACCTTCAATACCGTAGCCAACTCCTCGGCCCCTCTCGTGTCATCGAGGATTGGGAGCAAAATTCGAGCTTTTTCGTCCTGTGCGCCGGCCCTGAAATCAAATAATTGACGAGAATGCGTATTATCCTCCATTTTAATGTCATCATTACCTTCAAAATCTATTTTTTGAAGAATTAATGTTTTAAGGTATCAAAAGATGCCTTAAAAACCCTAAAACCCACCAATTTGCCACAATGATTGCCAGCGTTGCTGCAGTCTCCAAATTATTCGCATAAATCGGCGCCACCTTCCAGTTGTGATCTTCCGGGCGGTCGGTTGGTCCAACGGAAGCCACTGCTACCACCTTCCGATCATCACCAAACAGTACAGCCCCCTCGGTGACCTCCAGCCCATAGTGGAGCCGGAGGAATTGGGAGCGGTCTCTGCCTAGGAAGAATTTTTGATGGTTTTGGGGATATTGACCGGTTTTGGTTTTTTTGGTTTTAACCGAGTTTTGTGCCCATACTTCGCAAAATCGATCATTATCTGTATTATACCGTACCTGTGACAAATCTATCAAATTCCAGCAACTTTTCGAATTCTTCTGGGGTAAGCTGGCTGACGAGGCGTGGTTCTAGGGCCTTGGAGGCCTAAAAATCTCGATCACGAACTTGAAGATGTCCTCAACCACAGGCTCCAAAACCTCGATCATCTTCTGCCAATCGGCGGTGTACATGACGAGCGTCTGCTGGCCTGTCATCCCGTTTCGCTTCCGGTAGTAGGGCTCCATCGCGGCGAATAAATGAAGAAGTTCAGAGAGTTCAAGGAGCTCAGGGAAAGGGAGAGAGAAGGAGGGAGAGAGATAGAGGGCGAGAGAGAGAAAGCAAGAGAACGAGAGAGAAAGTGGGAGAGAGAGCGCTACCAGCTCTCAAAATCTGCGGTTGTCCAACCGGCCAACGGTCCACGGCTCGATCCCAAAGTACCCGGCCGACACCCTAAACAATCGATTACGACATGAAATTTCGCTTACCTTTCCGCGCATCTCCGCCAGGACGAGGAAGATCCCGATGAAGGTGTACCCGTCGTATTCGTTCCAAGTTACCGTACCCAAGAAGTCACCGGCTAAAGGTGTACTTTGTAGTCTAAAATCAGAGTCGGAACTCACTATCCTTTCGTCGCGCAAATACACATCGCGTACTCGGAAGTATCGGCGTTGTCGTCCTCATGCTCACGTCATCCGAGCTCCAGCCTTCGGCAGCGATTTGGTCGTACCATTGTCTAAAATTCAAATTGAAATTTGGACAACTCTTGCATTGTTTTTCAACATTTTTTAACGAATTTCGATTTGGGTTTATGAACTGGGGTTTTGGTTTTTATTCCCTAAACCGGTTTATCAGGTAAAATCAAAAATATTAAAACACTATCGATATTCGTATTATTTTTAAACCCTCCGTTTTTGTTTCTGAACTCACTTCCATAATTTTTCGGTCGGCCCGTCCAAAAATTCAACATCGCCAAAGCCATCAATGTGGGTTCTGAAAATCCAGGTCACAAAGGAATTATTACTAGTTGAAAATCTAGGCAAAAAAATCAACAACTCACTCTTTAAAAATCGGCGGTTCCGGCAACATGGCGCTATTAGGGAAAAGATGGGGCAACCTGCAGGAAATGGCGGTTACGCGACCCTACGGGGCACACTTTTTACGGCCCAGACAGGGCTTTGCTTGTCCTTTGCTTCTGTTTCTCATCTTTCTCCACTTTCCCTCCCTTTCTCTCGGGATGCCCACGAAATAGCCGTCGTGTACACCTTGCACATTTGAACCGGAAAGCGGCCACTTCAGGTACTTGAGAATTTTGGGGATAAACTGGGATTTTGACAACAAAGCTGAAAAATTTACCACAGTGACTATTTACAATTATTCGCAAAAAAATTAAAAAATCTAATATTTTGGTTTAAAAAGCGCTGTCTCTCTTCTCTCTTCTCTCTCTCTCTCTCTCTCTCTCTCTCTCTCTCTCTCTTATTCTCTTTCACTCTCTCTCGCTCTCTCTCGCTCTCTCTCTCTCTTTCTCTCAAAAACCTGTTGCATTTCCCATAAACATTCCGCCCATTCCGGGATTGATGCATGAAGGCGTCGGGGGGATATTTGTCAACACCGTGTCAGGGGCCAATGTGGACCCTTGGATGGGCCCCCGATCCGGGTGGCCGACGATAGATGGTCGGCTGCATTTGCAAAATGGCCCTTCTGGGTCCCGCTCGGGGGCCATTGGTGCGTTGAATGGATGGCCGGGGGGAATTTCCGTCGAATTTCGTCTCGACGACTTTCGGGGGTTGGCAAGAATTGGACGAGGTATAGATAAGTAATGGCAAACTGGCGGGTAAGCCTAAGCCTAACCTAAGCCTAAGCCTAACCTAAGCCTAAGCCTTGTCTATGCCCAAGCCTAAGCCTAAGCCTAAGCCTAAGTCTAGCCTAAGCCTCGGCCTGAGCCTAAGCCTAGGCCTCTTTCTCCCAAAAATAACCCTCTTACTCATTCACACCAAGAAACCGATTCATCTTTCCGCTGCTGTACCGCCTCAGGGGTGAATATTCGTTTCGCGAGCCGTCCAGTGGAGGGCCATTCGTTGGATAGAGAGTCAGCGAGAGAGAGAGAGAGAGAGAGAGAGAGAGAAAGAGAGAGCCATCCATCTGCCCGCCGGGGCCCCGGCCCGTTCCTAAAAGGCAACAATATTTTACGGTAGATTGATGGCCGATGGAGGGGGCCAACGGGCCGACACCCCACTCGCGATTTATGACGGACCCATTCGTTTTGTCAGGAGGCCCAGGGTCCGTTCGTAGAGGGACCCAGAGCCTGAGGTAGGGGTCGGCAACAAAAGATTTGCTGAATTACTGGAAAAGAGAGAGAGAGATAGAGAGAGAGAGAGAGAGAGAGAGAAAGAGTGAGAGAGCGAGGGAGAGAGAGAGAGAGCGGCCTGCAGGCCACTAAAGTCTACAAGACTGGGCGAAAAACCACTCCCCGCCAAAAAGCAAAAAGGTAAGGTCCCGGGGAGATTTGAACTCCCGTCGCAGGATTCAGAGTCCTGAGTGCTAACCGCTACACCACGGGACCGGGTGGTTCGGGGCGTCGAGACCAGGCATACAATGTCATCGGGGCCCTTGTGTTGACTGACAGCTCCAGATGCGCGCGCCCGTCTGCTGTGTTATGACGGGGTTTCTCGCCCGGGCGTGCAGGCCAGTTTTGGACTTGGTCTGTGTCTTCGGGTCCTTTCGATAGAGTAAATCCAGCAAGGTATAAAAGAAGCTATTCCGTCTCTCAAAAAGATTTTAAAAAAATCGATTAATATGAAAAAGATATCATTTTCCCAGACGAAGACAGAGAGAGAAAGAGAGAGAGAGAGATAGAGAGTGAGAGAGAGAGAGAGAGTTAGTACACTCCCCTGAATTTTGGTTTTCCTGTTTTTCTCTTTCTCGCTTGCTCTCTATTCTTTCTCTCCCTCTCTCTCGTTCTCACTATCTGGCTTTTTGCGGGGGTGTAAGGGGTTTTTTTATGAATTTCCACTCCTCCATTTTCCCAGCGTGTCAAACCTAAATTACAAGTCACATCCCACATTCCCAAACTTTCCTCTTGACGCCCCAAAATGACGGCCCTCTCGGCCTCTGGGGGTGGGCTGGCAGAGATGATTTGTGGATGGGCCATAAATCTCCGGCAGCCATCATTCATTTTCTCGAAAGAGCGCCACCTCGTCTTCCCCTCCCTCCTCCCTTGAATGAGGACCTAAATTATAGGCCGGCCAATGGGACGGGGGGATGCCGACGATAATTTATCCCCTCCCCCCTCCGAGTCGTGCTCCCTGTCCTGGGGGGCCCAAATTTGAAATGAGCCATCCGGGGGAGGGGGACGAAGAAGAACGATGGATGGAGGTGAAGGGTTATCGTTCGTTTTGTGCGCTGGAACGGGCTCTTTCTGATGAGGAAAGTGACAAATTTGTGTGGGTTGGGGACTGGCAAGTAATCCGGGGTCCTGAAGCGAGGAATTCTAATAATGTAAAACTATGTGATCAATTTTCCTTTGCCCTTTGACTGCAAGGCGACAATTTTTACGGCATTTGGAGATTTGGAGATTGTGGGTCCTCAAACGGGAATTTTAGAAATTGCAAAATATCAAAATTACAAGATTATTTTTTGACCTCGGCGATATTCCAAAAACGGAAATCGTGCTCGACTACGCAGCACTCCTATCCGCGAAAAATCTGGCCCGCTTTAAAAGTTGGTGTAAATACCGAATTTTCACAAAAAAAAAGAAATAGAAAATTACATTTTTATACATTAAAATAAAAACTTTTTTGAATATGGACAGGTTTTGTTAGAATGGGCATGTTTGAGGGAGACGTGTTAGCTTGAGTATCACCCACGAGACACTCCTCAAGAAGGAAAAATTGCAAGAAAATAGCATAAAGTACACAGTATAGAAAAATCTTCACAGTTTCAGTATTCGCTCTGTATCTCCCGCGTCTCTCTCATGTCTCTATCTCTATCACTCTCGCTCCTCTCTCTCTCTCTCTCTCAGTTTCTCTCGTTCTCTTTCTCGCTCTCTCTCTCTCTCTCTTTCTCGCTCTCTCTCTCTCTTTCTCTCGCTCTCTCGCTGTGTCCCTCTCCCTCTGTCTCCTGCTAACTTACCAACCCGAAAATCACGTATTCATACCAGAATCTCGTCCAAAAATTCCGATTACGGTCTTTCTCCAGCCAAAAAAATCGGTTCGCAAGTCGTCGATGTTCTCCCGATAATCGACTCGACACCTTCCCGCGCCTCGCTTTGACCTCCGCACCCCCCAAAAAAACATCGACACCCCCGGGTAATCGGTGTTCTCGATCTGTGGTTGGTCGTCGAGAGATGGTCTTCTTTTTGTCGAGATGGCCACGCCGCCGCCACGATTTACGTCCGCGATGAGGGGCCGCTTGGTCGGCGACACCCGATTGGGATCTACTTCGATCTACACTCTCCGGAGGCGAGGAGCCTGAAATATTGGAAGAAAGGGATCGGAAAATTTAGTATCTGGGGATGGGCGAAAATGAAAAATTTTATAAAACACCTAAAAAGCCATTTTTTGCCATTATTTACTGTGCTCGAAGACTAAACTCAATTTTTCAGCTAGTTCCTTTTAGTATGATACTTGCTTGATACATCCTATTTTTAGTCTCAAATTTTAAATTATACTAAAATAAATAGAAATAGTTTGATGTTTTAAACATTTTGTTTACTCTTTCAATTGGAAAAAACTAGAAGTTTAAAGAATCACCCATTTTTAAAGATTATGTTAATTCAGCTAAAAAATAAACAGCCGAGTAATTCAAAGAATTTAGCGATGATGATGACAAAGAGCGCGATGATTTGATCCTTAACCTAGGTTGTGAAACATTTGAAGCAAAACAGTTGAATCAAAATTCGCGTCTTAAATAAATATTCATGTCGTAAATTTAGGTCATCGGTGTATAAACCAATTTGTAGCAATCGAAATGCCCGATGTAAATTAAATTCATGGGTCGGCCTTCTGCCTTGACCCTCTAGCTCGCAGCTCCCACTCCGATCAATTTGCAAATGCGCTGATTGTCACATTTATGGATATGAACCCGAGAAAACACATCCATCATCACCCGCCCCACGACCACCACCCATCGTCTGCTGTAATCAGGAGCACCGCGGAAGGACAGTGGTGAGACATCGATCATCAGCCACCCATTTGCACCCATTCCATCATATCGAGAAGCTAGGAGGGCAGGAAAATGAAGTTAGGGATCGAGAATATTCATCAAAAAATTTTATATTTGAAATTAATTAAGCCTGAGCAGCGCAACTGTAATCAAAATCTGCGTTAAAATTAATTTTTTTTTGAAGCAAAAAATTCTGCAATCTTTGCAAAAATTGTCAAAATCAAAGCAGATTACGATCAACGTTCTGATACCTTAAATCACTAACTACTAGGTTCAACCATATAGATTAACTTAGCGCTTATTGATCAAAAAAATGTGGTTTACTTAGGGCAATAGTACCATAAAAACCGCGCGAGATTGGCAAATCGTCAGTCAGATTTCGTTAGGAAAAAGCTGGCAAATTCCTCCAAACTCGGCCAACTTATCCCAAAATCCCTCAAACTCGCAAAAAGCAAAAAGTTGAGGTCCCGGGGAGATTTGAACTCCCGTCGCAGGATTCAGAGTCCTGAGTGCTAACCGCTACACCACGGGACCGGGTGCTTCTGGGCGTCGAGACCAGGCATACAATGTCATCGGGCCCACCTTGTGTTGACTGACAGCTCCAGATGCGCGCTCCCGCCTGCTGTGTTTTGACGGGGTTTCTCGCCCGGGCTTACAGACCAGTTTTGGGCCTGGGCTTGTGTTTTTGGGCCCTTTACCATCATCCATCCATCCAGCACGGCATAAAAGATGCTGTAATTTTTTGCCGGCTACCGAAAGAATTTTAGGGTTCTGCAGTAAGTCATTAGGCGTGAAGTGGCGTCGAGATGACTACTGAGTGATCAGTTTTTTATAAAAGTGCTGTTTCATTATTAAAACAGAGTTTGACGAAACACCGGTTTATCCTTGTTTTTTCTAATAGAAGACCATTAGAGCACATCAGCACAGCCGTGTTCTAATTTTTCTGAAGCGTATCTGCTGAAAATCGGAAAATGTCTTCCGACCCCTAAATTCATTTTCTAACGTAATTGCTTGCCTTTACGGACAAAAAAATGGGAAGTATGTCACGCAATTACTCAAAATCTCGCAGTCATATTTTATAGTGCATAAATCAATCTCAGAGCTAAAAATGTACAAGGAACTATTGACAGGTTATCACAAGCTGGCGGGGAATGTGTGATTCTCACTAGACTACACTCAGACAAAAAGGATTAGCTCGCCGGCTAATTGCGCGGAATTAGGGAGGGCTTCTACGATCATGAGGAAGATAGAAACATCAAAAGTGAATTGACGAGACCACCGGACTAACGGCAGGGCAAACAGTTTAATGGAAGACAACGCGTTCGTCACAGAAAAAAAAACAGAATTATAAGCGGGCAATTGAGCCGAAAAGAACAAAAAGGGGTAAATTGATTATATTAGTTCTGGTTTAGTTCTTGACGCCCTTCGCATCGCCCCACTTCTCGGAGATCCAGCGGATGGTCTTGACACTGATCTGAAAAAGAAGGGTTGTTAATTGAAGTGAAAAGTTAACGATAAAGATATTCCGGACCCGCTTTTTTCTTGAGGTAAAATAATAATTTGGCAATTTCGACGTCGCTTGAAGCGAAGCAAAGAAAAACGAGATTACTAGCATACAAAACGAGACCTCGAAAACGCATAAATCCTTTTTAACATCAAAATCTCCAAAATTCCCTCACCTGAGGTCCGATGAGCGGGTTAAGCTGATGAAGGTAGACCAGGATCCAGAATAGCCAACAGCAGACGGCCGTCAAGACGATCATCGTTTGGACGATACCTGGAAATAATAGATAAGCCCAGGATTCAGAATTCTTCGTCATCGGAATCCTAACAAAATAAAAATTTACCTCGATTTACACCCTTCGGCACCAAGAATGGGCCGCCGAGGCCGATGACGAGCCAGAATGCGCTCACGGACACGAGCGGGATGATGACGCCCATCTGGAAAAGGGGATTTTAGTAAGAAACATGAGGGACGATACAAAAATAGAAAGTCAGAGCTCAGAATGTAACTATGAAAGAAACGCTGCTAGAGCCAAGCTTATATCCGCCTTCAAGCTAATTTTTAAGCTTTCAAACGCGCGTAGAAAATCAGGGCTACATCAAGGTATCATATTACGAAAAAAATCACAACAAGGAAACGTTCTAAAACCCAGATTTCAAACAAATTTTGAAGCAAAGAAACGCTCGTTTGGAAGTAAAATGGAATTTCAATGAATCTAAACAAATATCCAATACAATTGCTAAGCTTTTTAGAAAATAACTACATCAAAAGTATTGGCAAAACCGGCGCATTGCGACAAAAGATCGGGGTTTCAGCCCGGCCGAGGCCAGGAAAGCTACGCGGCGCTCCGCACCGAACACATCGATTTTCGGTCTCTGACTGAGAGGAGAGAATGGTCGGCGGTTGTTCAGCGGCCCGGATTGCGGCAGAATACCTCGAAAGCGCTAAAGTTTGGAATTCTCTTAAATTCTAACTATGATTAGGCTTGATCCGGATCCTCCAGAACCCCCGGGGCCACCCTAGCCACGCCCAGAATTTTGTGCGGCGCCCTGCGACCAAAAATTATTATTACATGTCGTTCGGGGCCCTTATCTTCTTCGGCAGCTCGCACCGCCCGCAGCGATCCCCCGGCTTATCTTTGTTTTGTCCTGATTTCTTTATTCCGATGACCTCTTCTCGCGCTGTTCGTGCTTTAATGTCTCTTTTCAGCCAATGCCGAAGCTATGTCCACTCTGCGGCCCGATGGCCTCCGCATTTTGGTAAGCTTTTGAAGCTTTAAAGATTTACAGCTTGTCGAAATCAGCGTCTTTTCCGCTCCTCTATGAATCTTCTTTTAGTATGGTGATGTCCGTGTGGGGCGTCATTTTCCTTGGGCTGCTCGGCGTCTTCTTCTACTTGCAGGTACGTTTCTTCCTGGACTCTTGCAATTTCTTGTTCAGGCAGTGACGCTCTTCCCCGACATCCACTTTGAAATGACGAAGGGCGCCACATCGTTCCCCGTCAAGTAAGTTTTGTCGGACTCTTCGTTTTCGTGTCTGATTCGCGTCTTTTCCTGAAATTATACCCTCGTTTTCAGGGATATCGAAGAAAAGTACAACGACAAAGCAATCCAGTGCTGGATCGCGGCGGGCATGTATGCTGTCACACTGGTCATCGTCTTCTGGCAGAACAAGTTCAACTCCTCGAGCGCAATCTGAAGGTAAAGCCTTCCAGAGTTTTTGGAACACTTCTTGCGTTTGTGCGGTCGTTTTGGCAAACGTTTTCCTTACTTTCCTTGAATCTATCTCGAAATTTTCGTAAATTAGCGCTTTGTAAAACTAGTAAAACTAGCCTTTCGTTATCTTCGCTATGTTATAGCATCCCCTTTTTCAGATCAACTCCAAAACAATCCGCTGGATCTCCGCAAAGTGGGACGATGCGAAGGGCCCCAAAACTACTCCCGAACAATGAGCACTAAAGTAACTTTCTTTCCCTTTTCTTTTGCTAAAACGCTCAACTGCCCTCCTATAAGCCTCTTTTTCTGTCGAACGCGTTGTATTCGTCTAAACCGTTTCCCCTCCGTTATTCCGGTGGTCTCGTCGATTCACTTTTGATGTTTTCCCTATGGTCATAATTGCCCTCCCTAATTCCGCGCAATTAGCCGGCGAGCTACGCCTGTTTCTGAATGTAGTCTAGTGAGAATCACACATTCCCCGCCAGCATGTGATAACTGTCGATAGTTCATTGTACATTTTTAACCCAGAGGTTGTTTTATGCATTATAAAATATATGTCTGCAAACCGTTGAATACTTTTGTGAGTATCATTGAGTAGAAATAGCTATTCTGGAAGTTCCAGCGTTCTTTAGCTCAGCCAGTGGCTAAACTTTACGTAGATGGCCGTCAAGAACCATTTTCTGTTTTGATGTCTTCATATTCTATGCCGAAAGCGTAGGAATCCCAGCCGCCCGAAATTTTAACGTAAATTTTGCGCGCCACAAATTATCGAAAAGTATCCCGGATTCGGTCCAACGCTACGACTGAATTTAGCGGCCATTTCTTACCGATCATAGGCATAATTCAAAATATTCTCGTCCTATCATGTGCGAAAACAGTTATAGATAAACTTGTGCATCAACTCGTCCCAAACACGAGCAAAAGTAAGAAGAACTAATCTTTATCAACAAAATAAAGGCAATCAACAATATTGAACATTGAAAGTTGAAGTGTAGCGAACAAGTGAAAAATGAGAAGGCGCATTGGTGATTTCATAATTAGCAAGGTAATAACATAGTAGACGTGAGATCAGAGTCAGATCGGAAAATGATAGATAGATGTTTACCCGCATTTGGTATTGACAAAGGCCTTTGTTGTGTGTGTGGCGGAGGCTTAGACGGAGAACACTTCGGAGAGTCGGATCTAAACCAAAATCAGAGAATAAAAAAATTGAACTTACGCTGCTTCCACTGCGACTTGGCGGGTCCCCTTTGGCCGGCGGCTCGCCTTCGAAGGCCGACTGCCCTGCGGCCAGTCGCCGTTCCGCTTCCTCGAGGTGCTCCACTCCCTCTACTACCTAAAGAAGCAAATAAATAAAAAAATAGAGTTAAATCTTACGTATTGCTTGAGGAGATCGTAGCAGTGGCGGCGGTATGGCATCATATCCTGAAAAACAACGATTAGATACGTTTTGAGGCTAAGTAAAATTTTGATGGCTGTGGAACGCAAAATAACTGAACAAAAAATCTTTTTAACGCCACGGTTTTTAGCTACGAAACACTTATAAAATAGAAAGAATATCCAAAGGTTGGTTTTCTGGTAAAAAAAGACAAAACTAATTCGTGTCAGTAAGAAATTTGCTTTGCTGTCCCGCTAACCCGGAAGCACTAAAGACTTTTTTGCGTAAAAAATAATAAAATAAAAAACTACCGCAACGGTCATCGTGGCCGAGTCGTACTTGATTCCGAGGCGCTGGATGGCGTCCTCGCTTGCCCAGCTCCATTTGAAGAGATCTTTTCCGGGAGTGGTCTGCAAAAGAAAACTTGATCAACACCAGTGATTTTACCTTGTTTTCGATGAGCTCACCGTTCGCAATGGCCTCCGCGAAGAGCATTGCGAACGCGCCGCAGTCGGACGTGTTGAGCTGGCCGAACATTTCGTAGACATCGCGCGACCTAAGCAAATATCTTTTTTTGCAAAAAAAAAGCAAACCTGATGTCGCACGGCATCGCGAAGAGCTTCTGGCTTCCGTATAGTTGGTCGGCCACCTTCAGCAGCGGGAAGAGTTTTTTCTAAAAACGAAATTTCGAGCATATTTTTATGCAAATCACCTTCAGAAGCGCTTCGTGGATGTTCGGCACGCTGATGTAGTTCGTGTTGCCGTTTAGCAGCTTCGTGTCTTGGAGCTAAAACAACGTTTATAGAAGATTGTAATTTAGATACCAGCGAGTCGAACATGTAGATCATCGGCGGGGGCATCTCCATCATCCCGCGGTAGGAGGCCTTGAGCCAGCGGGCCAGTCGCGCGACAATCATCAAGTACCTAAATACAACTACAATTATCATTCCGAAAAACTCGAGCCCTTATTAAAAATACAAAAATATCGCTTTTTCGACAAAAATGTCACTTGTTCGAACCTTTTCTAAGTTTTTTCGATAATTTGCACACTTAAAACTTAGCCAAACTTGTTAAAACACAGGAAAATGCTTGATATCACTTTCATAGGCATTTCTCGACTCATCAGAGCATATTCGGCCCCCAATAATGCAAAAATGGCCCGAAAATTCCATACCAGTGCTTGCCGTCGCAGAACACGACGACCGCCGTGTACTCATTGGCGTCGTCGGTGAGCAGACGGCGCAGTGGGATGGACTTCTCGATCTTCTCACGCAGGCGTGGAGTCTACAAAAGATTCAATAAAAATAAAGCCAAACAAGCATACCATATTGGCGACATCCGCAGCGCAGCGTATCCTCTTGAATTCGCTGTCGTTGGCGATCGAGCACATGTTCTCGAAGTCGAACGAGTTGATGAAGCCTAGCGTGTGCGCGCTAAATTCGAAATGTCAAAGCAAAAAGATGAAGTAATACCTCCAGGGGCGTAGCTAGAGCCAAATTTCGGGGGGGGCCCCGAAAAATTTTGGCGACCTCCCCCGGTCACCACTTTCAAAAGATTCAAAAATCGCAGCTATAACAGCGCCGCAGGTCGCAAAAAATAAGGAAAAAGCGTTAGCAACGCTCAAATTCATGTAAAACATCACAGAAAACGCGCCGCAGGCGAAAATTTTATATGGACAGTTGACACACTAATGAAAAACAGCGCCGCAGGCAAAAAAATTTTGGAAAAATAGGCTTCAAAGAAGTAAAAACCGTCTTAAAAACAATAATAAACAGCGCCGCAGGCAGAAAAATTTTTATTGAAAAAATCATAAGGGTCCCCCCCTTTTTTGAGCCGATTTGGGGGGGCAACTTGCCCCTGTTGCCCCCCTCGTACGCCCCTGGCCGGGGCCTTGGTCGGGGGCCGGGCCTTGGTCGGGGCCGGGGCCTGGGCCGGGGCCGGGGCCTGGGCAGGGGCCGGGGCCTGGCCGGGGCCGGGGCCGGGGCCGGGGCCGGGGCCGGAGCCGCTTGCCAGGAGTCACATTCTTAAACTTGTCATTTTTTATTATGTTTCCAGCCGTTTCTTTTATGGAAACATCGAGAACATCGATAAAAATCAAAAAAAATTTCGAAAAAATAGCCATTTTTTTTCGGCCTTCGGCCGATTTCGGGGGGGGCACCGGGCCCAGGGGGCCCACCTTACGCTACGTCCCTGAATACCTCCCAACAGTAAAGTGGTGCTCCATCAACGGCGTGATGGCCTGGGAGTCGCTGTATCTAAAAAAAAAAACAGATTGAAAAGTAGGAAAAAATGTTTTACCGTTCTTGAATCAGGTTCGTGATGAAGTCGGCCTCGTGCTTCTTCGCTTTCCCGCCCGGGTATTGGATGGTAACCTGAAATCGTCTTAAGAATTGAAAATGGCACTCACCACTGGGTAGCGGAACGGCTTCTGCGAGCTCTGCGGTGTACTCTCCTTGGCGGCCTCTGGCGCAATCATGACGTCGTCGTCGTCCGAGAGGGCGATGATATCCTCGGCGACTTTCTGAAAAAAGGATATCTGAAATAATTTAAAGATGCCATGAAATCTCATGATTTAAAGAAAAAGGCGTAAATCAAGCTAAAATTGACAAGAAAAGGGAAATAGTTACCTTTGTTGCCGTCAGCGTCGTGTAGTCCTCTGCGATTTCCCACGCCGTGCTTTCCGGGATGTCGCCAGTATCTAATAAAACATAATTCTTCACTTTTCAAAAAACCCACCGATGTTAGCTTTCGTTGACGCGAGGTTCTGCATCACTTCCTCCTTCATGAACTTGAGGCCCTCGAATCTTCGGACGAACACGAGCTGCCAGTCGCCGTCAGTGATGTAGAAACACGCCTGTTTGTTTGGGTCGTCCGGGAACGCGACGGGGCCGCAGACGGCAAGTGTCACGGACTGAAAAAGAGGATTTTCCAAAGAAAAATTAGGTCCTTTGACCAAAAAAAAACATACACGGTCCAATTTCATCGATACTTCCTGGCCGGTCGACAGAAACTTGAGCGAGATGTTCGCCTTCTCAAAGTGCACCTAAAGGATATGAACCCGGGATCAAACAAAAACATACCGTGACCTTGTTCAGCTCCCCTGCGTAGCGGAAGAAAGCCAAAAAGACGGTGCTGATCGGGATGTCGAATTCTATCGGCTTGGCTTCCACCGGCTGCCCAAAGTTGAAGTCGGGCAGAAGCCGGGCGACTGCCTAAACGGAAAAATAAGCTTTCAATGCATTAACGCACCTCGACCACTTCTTCGGGGCGATCGGATAGCAGGCAAGGGCGTTTTGCTGCGACGGCCGGCCTAAATAAAAGTTAAATAATTCGAAATATATGTTACTGCGCCGCCGAGTGTTCTTGTTCAATTGCTGCCGTGGCCAGCATGTTCAGGTTGTAGCCGATGTCGGGTATGAAGTTTGGTGGGCCGTCCGGGTCCGGGAACGGCAGCTCTGGAAAGGAAGGCAATTATCTCGAGTGATAAGAACGTACCCTCGGGCTCCGGAACGGCGCGCGGATCGAACAAATCGCCGCTTGATTGAGACATTGTGGTACTAAAGAAAATTTAGGTTATCTGGCGCTATTTCGGAATAGGGGACCCACTTTGATTACCCTAAAGACCACTTTTTCTGGTGCAATTTTGCGCGCTTGTTCCGAAATACGGTGTCTCAGCCCGTAAAAACGTACATTTGCACAAAAATATTTTATCTTTATAGGATGTCTTTAGGACACGAGACGGGAGGTCTTGGCGTGGCCAGCGAACTTTTTTTATGAAACTGTTAGGTTTTAAAGTTAGTAAGGTGTTTTTTCGGAACCAGCGCGCAAAACTATCGAGGAAAACATCGCACAAACCCCAGTTTTGGTATAATAAAAGTGAGTCCCCTATTCCGAAATAGCGCCGGTTATCTGTCATAGGTCAGGTGGAAACGCATCAATAAGACATATTCGGCGTGAAAACCAGGCGCAACTTTCTCGAGGCTCATTCAAAATTTATCAACGAGAACAACGCGATCAACAACAGCTAAACAATAAAGGGGCAAACACAAAAATCAGCTCATTAAAGATTTAGAATTCTTCTTCAGGAAAGCCTTCTTCTTGTTCATCATCAGACGGCGTTCACTCGGCGGTCCCGATTTCTGGCCCGGCAGTTTCTAAAAAGCAGATAAAGTTTTCGCAAAGGTTACTTACTCTCAATTTGTTCTTCTTCAGCACCCTGCTAACCCGCAGTTCTCTCTTCTTGTAAACGAGCTTGGGCATCGACAGCGCCAACGCGACCGAAGCAGATTCCTAAATACCGTGAATCGCCAATCTCAAAAAACAATACCTTGAAAGACGCAAAAGCAAATCCTTTTTCTTTGCCTGTCGCCGGGTCGCGCACAATTCGTACGCCTTCCACGGGGCCGACCAACTTTTCGAGCCAGAGGCTCAGACTGTCTTCAGATGAATCGTAGGGTAGATTGCCCAGGAAAATTGTGGTGCTGTTGTCCATCTTGCCCTTTGAAGCGGAGCAGTCGACGCGCAGTCTGTGTCCCCAGCGCTCTTGTCCGTTTCTAAAACAACAAATTAATGAATGGAATTGATTAACTTACAAAGTTAGCGCCTTCGCAACCGATTCTTCTTGCTTGTACTTGACGAAAAAGTAGAGCGTCGTCTGTTCTTTAGAGATTTTGTTGCCGAGTTTCGCCGCCTATGGCATAAATACTATAATAAAAACTTTATTTACCTTTTTCGTCAAATTGCCCTTCTCTGGGATGATACCACGTGCCCGAATCGACTCGATTTCTCCGAATCTAAACCACACATCCATTTCAAGAATTAACAAGCCCACTCTGCAAACACCTTTCTGATCTCCTTCTCGTGGACTTCTTTTGCGACGTTTCCGACAAAGATGGTGCGCTGGTTGTCGGCCGTCATGTCCTTCTTCTTTTTCCGGTTTTCTCTAAACAAATATTAGAGCCTGAAACTCCAGGGTTACCTTTGAAGTGATCGGCTAATTGATTTTTCTTTGGGCTCCCCATCTTCGACGACCTCCACTTTTGGTTCGATCTTCTCGGGCAACGTGTCGAGCGCCTCGCACCAGGGCTGTGATTCGACCTCTGGTAAAGCCTAGAGACAATTTTTTCATCTAACAGAAACTCAGGTACTAGTATACTTTGGGGGGGGGGGGGGGGGGGGCCAAAAAAATTTTTCGACCAAAATTTCTCATTTTCGATTATTTTGTTCAGTTTTTCGTGCTGAATCCAATAAAAGTGTTTCCAGATTTTTTAGATCATGATTTCTAGTAATAATTATCTATTTATATTATAAGTGATTTCAATAGTTTTTCCGTAGTATACCGTTACGCAAGCCGCAGATAAGCCTAAGCCTAACCTGAGCCAAAGCCAAAGCAGGAGCCAAAGCCTGAGCCTGAGCCTAGGTCAAAACTTAAGCCTAAGCCTAATCCTAATAAGCATGCGATCCATTCTTCAACTTTTTGTCGCATGTACAGGAGATCCACCCCTTCTAGCAATTGTTATTGTTGCCTAATTCTTATGTTGTTGCAATAATAAAAAATCTGGAAACGTGTGCATTCGATTCAGCATGAAAAACTGAACAAAATATGGCAAAATGAGAAATTTTGGCCGAAAAAATTTTTTGGCCCCCCCAAAGTATACTAGTACCGAAACTCATACCTCAGCATTGAATCCGAATAGAGAAGACAACGCGCCGGGCTTGTACGTGCTGGCGGCGGCGGGAGGGGGTGCTGCTGCCGGCGCAGGCTTGACCCTCGGCACTTTTCTTGGCTTCTTCACGCGCTTCTCCCCAGTCACTTTCATCGTTTACCTGGAAAAATGATATAATTTCATTTACACCAAAAAACAAAACGCATCGAAAACAATATCTGAGCAAAACGAAAAGATATAAAGAGCAACAAAACAAATGCACTGAGAAGTCATGAATTAGCGCGGGTCTTTTTCGCCTCGCTTCCTTCAGCTAGCGCGTCCGCTTCATCTTCCGCTTTTCGCTTGAAGTAAGCCTCTTCACGGGTGTCGTATTTCCCTCTCATCAACATGAACCAGTACAAGAGATCGTCGAATTCTCCTGAAAAAAAGATTGTATCTTGAAGATTTCTAAAACCTTCGTATTCCCGTTCTTTTTTCGCATTGTGATATTCGACGAGAGCGTAGTAAATGGCTTCTAAATTCAATTTTTACTGACTAAAATTTGTTTTACCGATCGTCGCGAGATGGTGTTCATCAAGCTTATGTTGCGGCCTCCAAAAAGCCGTCCGGTAATTCTTCAAGTGCACGCACGGGAGGCCTGATCGAACATTTAGCAGATGATCCACGCTCTACCTTTGATTTCCGGTATTCTCTGCATCACGCTGGTCTGGAACCAGGTTGAATCCAACACCACAAATCGCTTGATCTCGCCATGTTGCTTCACATAATCCTCAACGCTAATCGCATCATCCGACGGGAAAACCAAGACCTGGAATTCGTAGTTATTCCGAAATTCAGTAATCAAAACCGTATTCGCTTCCGCAGAGTAGTTCGGGATATCATCTAGCGAATATAAGGTTGTAGATTTTGGTGCCGTGATCTAAAACTAAAGATAGAGTTAAGGTAACATGCACTACCTTACAATGAATGGCCGTTGATTTGCTATTCTTCTCCTTCGGATGCTTTATGATGTCGACAAGGCAGGGTAACTGAAATTCTAGCTAATAGGGCATCAAATCTTCAAAATACCTCGACTTGCGGGCAAAAAACCCCGGCCATCGGCTGGCGGCAATCGTAGCAGAAAAACATCCTTCTCCGTTTGCACGTGGGGCATTCTTGCTTGGCTATACCCTCCAGCGGCTCGTACGCGGACAGCTTCAACGTCTCCCGCGTGGCGATCGACATCAAAACTTTTTCTTGAACCTATTATTTATTTCAAAACTAGGGAGAAATTCAAAAAATGAAACTTCAAAAATAAAACCGGTGCGGAAACCCTTAAAACTACGCACAAGTACGCTAAACATCTGCCCGGCGCGCTCATACTGCATTAGATTATTCCGAGCTAAAAAAATGAAAAAGTAAAAACCTTAAAAGTTTTGACTTACTTTTTTCTCATTTTGAATTACTATACTCTTAATTTCAAAAACTTTCAGACTGATGCTGACAAGATGGCCGATCCGCCAATGCCTCGCCTTTCGCCAGCTTAGCGGATCTACTCGCGAAAAACTCGACGGGGTTTTGAAGATACTGAATTCTCGGCCGACCTCGGATCAGTTGATGGTATATCCATAATCGCTAATATAATGGTTTGATTTTAGTACGTTTCCAAAAACTTCCTGGACGTCTATCAGAGGGGAGAGCCGAAGGAGAAACTGGATCTCGTTTTACGACTCGGCAAAGAGGCGGGCATCAATCAAAACTCGCTGGAGGGGGCTATTTCTCGTTTTTCAAAGGTAACTGATCAATTTAATGCTAGTTTTACTATGTGATTTTAGAATAACTCGCTATTCCTCGATGTTCGATCAGCTGCGACCCCGGCGTTTCACACGCTTTTCCAGTCGATCGGAAATACGGAGGGCGGCGTTCGACAGATTTGCGATATTCGTGAATTTCTTCTGGTCTGGGAAATGATTATATTTCAACGTACAGATTTTAGCGCCAAATCCGGAAGGCCGATAAAGCGGACGTCGCGGTGCTTCGTCGAATCGAAGAGTCTTGCCGGGAGCTGCTCACCTCCTGGTTTTGCCTCTCCAACCTGAAGCTGTGCCGGTTGACGTGGGAATCGCCGGGAGACATTATACAAAAAGTGAGAAGATTTGTTGTTTTGGAAAATAGCAGGTTTACTAGGTAGCCAGCTACGAGGCGGTTCATCCGGTGCACGGATTACTGGATATAAAACGCCGAGTGGGACCTCATCGCCGGTCGGTTTTATTTGAGTTTCCATAAAAGGTTTTATTAGTTTCCGATAATTAAGAAGGGTAAAAATGCTTTTAAAATTCTTCAAAATTCAATTTTTCGATTTTGGCTGTTTTTCGTACTTTTTCAACACGAAACAAAGAAATTCTGGAAAGTCTTTTTATGTTATTCTGGAAAAAATTTACGCAATAACCCATACCAACTCTTCTTATATGTGTTTAAGATGCTTTTACTTCCAACACGAAGCCATGCCCCGCGAGCCGCTCGTCATCGTCCACGTCGCGCTCACTGATCAGATTGCCTCGAATGTGCAGCACATCACGAAGGAGGCGGATTTGAGCTACGATGAATCGAGGGACAACACGGCCATCTATTATTCTAGCACCTCCACGCAAAAAGGTGCGTTTTGGTGCTATTTTGAAGCACCACATTGTGTAGGCCTCTCCGGCGTCGACCTGGGCAACTTGTTGATCAAAAGCGTGGTAGCCGAGCTGTCTCGAGAAGATCCTCACATCAAGACGCATTCCACGCTCTCACCAATCCCCGGATTCCGCGCCTGGTTGTTGCGAGCGTTGAAGGAGCCGCAAAGTTTTGGTGAGGGCTTTAATTTTAAAGATTTTTTTTCTGTAGACCTGAATTTTTCGAATTGAAATAGACCAAGTGTTTCTACGGATTTTTTTTTTTGCTATTTCTAAACCCAAAGTTGACAACTTTGAAATTTTCATGAAAAAACTACAAATTATACAGGGTGTCCCATAAAAAAGCACCCCTCCCGCATTTCACCCCATTCCGTCCGATCGGCCCAAATTTGGACTAGAGGTGTACTGGACCCTAAATAACCACAATCCTGAATTATAGCCCGCCAGCTCCAGTAGTTTTCGAGATACAGCAAAAACAAACTTTATGATCCGTTTTTCATAAGGATTTCGTGGGAATCGACCCTTCGAATATGAAGTGAAAATGAAGCGGCATGCCTTATCTACCCCTAGAAATTTTTTCCTGATAAAAATTAGGCAAATAACCGTTGATTTCAACAATTTTTGTAACCCAAATTCACCCCCGAGATTAAGAGAAATTAGGGATTCACAGCCGGAAGTCGATGCAAATCGATGCAAAGTCCAAAAAGATAGCCGAAAAAAACTGTTAAGAAGCGCCTAAAAAAATAGTATTTTGGCGATAACTCGAAAACTACTGTATCGATCGGGCTATAAGTCAGGATTGTGGTTATTTAGGGTCTGATACACCCTTGTGCAAAGTATGGTACCGATCGGATATAACACGGCGAAATGCCGGAGGGGTGCTTTTTTTTGGGACACCCTGTAACGAATTTAAAAAAAAAACAGGTGCTTCTTTATGTTTAGACTTGAAAAAATTCAAATTTTTAGGAGACGTCCTTGACGAATTTTGCCTACAAGAATTGAAACGATTGGCCCAGAAGGACGTTTCTGTCGAAGAAGGAGGGAGATTGCTGCTCAACGTCGTACGTTGTAGCTGCAAAATCTACAATTTGTTTTTTAGCTCGGCAGCGATCGCGTCGAGCACCAGCGTATCGAGGTCTTCAAGCCGTTGCTGATGCGACTCTGCGCTACGTATTTGTACAAGGAGAAAAGGAACGGATACGCGCTGAACCCGGTCGGTACGTTGAGGCTTCATTTTCGAGCTGACTTCGCTTTTTTAGCCAACTTCCACCTGCGCAACGGGGCCGAGCTGTACAGAATAAACTGGGCAGCCGACACGAGCGCACGCGGATTGTTCAACAGCTTCGGAATTATGGTCAATTATAGGTGGGAATGAAACTTATCTTCTGAACTCTTTACTTTAGGTATCGCCTTGAAGATGTCAACTCAAATTCGGCTTCATACGTCAACTCGAAAACGATCGCCGTTGACCCCCAAGTATTAAACTTGTTATAATTTGTGATTCGATGTAATTAACGGGTATTTTATTGGTGTGACTTATTGGCCCCCGAACTGACCTCTGTAATTATGTACTTGCCGAATTGCTCAACTCGTATTTGGAGATGATATTCATAAATTGTTTGAAATTGCGTTCGACTTATTGTATCAAATAATTGGTTATGAAAACCGGATATTTTTTTCAAAACGATCGAAATAAAATTAAAATGTTTCTCCTAGCGGCCCGATGGACTTTGCGGAAGATCACGTCTGGTCCTCATACGGCCCCGCTGATAGTCACACGCTGAATAAGGCCGTCGACGCGTACTGGGCTTGCAGTGCTGAACTTGTGGTCGCCGATGTAAAACCTATTTTCCGAGTGATAAAAACTCCTTTTTTTTAGTGCTCTGACATTCGTGTGACCGAAATCGAGGTGGTGGAGACGCTGGAACGTGAGACGTCTTCTCAGGACAGCAGAATCTCGACGGCCGAGCGGAAGCGGTTGTGGGTTTTTGAGCGCAGGAAAAATATCCATTTTTTCCAGAAATCGCGAAGCAAACGAAGCGGCACGATTGGCCAAGGAAGAAAGGAAACGGTGCGCTTTGTAGCTTTTCTCTTATGTACGTTTCTGTCAGGATCGCTCGGGAGGAACAGGAGCTTGCTCAGGCACGAAAGGCTCGAAAAAGGTTTTTTTTTGCAAAAGTCTATCGAAATCTAATAATTTAGAAAGTTGAGCCAACCGTCACTGAAGGAAAAGACGAGCAAAAAGATACGCGTGCAGGACAGGCTGAAAAAGTTCTTCGAAGAGCGGGACGCTTATGCTGCTAGCGGTTCGTATTTTTTTGTTCGTGTTCACCACGTTTTTTTTTAGTTTCTGGACCTACAGCAGCGCTTTTGCGCTTCCAGGTTCAAGCCCTGCAAGAGACACCCGGCTCTTTCGTACTTCCCGAGAATTTAATGTAATTTTCATACTAAAAACTTCGATTTGTCTGTTTAGGCACCCTGGAGTCGGCGAGCAACCTATCGTCCCCCTGCCAGCCGGGTGCTCGTGGGCAAAAGTGATCACCGATCGCGACCCGGTTCCTCTGACGGGCCTCAGCCTAGACGTAGGTTTTTCTTAATTTTTATCGAATTGCATTTTAGTTTTCCGGCACACGCGCTTTTTCCTGGTTAAAAGTGCCAACGCTACTATCCAAAGAGGAGGCCATGACGCGAGCAATCCAGAGCCAAGTTCCGCCTCGGACCGTTTCCGAACTGCCGCTATCTAACGTATTTCATTTTTTAACCGACGAAAATTTTGAATAGGTTGACGAGCAGGCCAAGCATTTCGCACAGGCCGATTTGGCCACACCCGAATCGAGCTTCCTGGGCGGAATTTTGTTGCGCAAAGCCAATGAGGTCGCACCAGAGAAAAGGTAAAAATATTATTTCAGCGTAAAAACTCGATGATTTTAGGGAGGAACTCTGGAAACGCCTCGACAGTCTGATCAACGAGGCTGCCGGTGGACAAGAATGATTCGTGGAAGGAAGATCTCTAAATATTTTTATTACTTGTAATTAATTTTTAGTGTTCGAATTGTTGCCATTTCGGCTCTAGGTAATTTATATTTGCGTGTGAATTTTTTGGGGTTGTTTTTTATATAATAAATCTGAAGCTGGTTTCAAATCCGATGCTTACAATTAGAAGGGTGTTTATCGCCTAAGTGCCTTTTTGGTGTTTTGTAGAAATTTTGCATTTTGTAGCTGAAGTGTTCAAATTCTATCGCCTAGCGTAGTGTTTACCGCCCAAGTGCCTTTTTCCGGGGAAAATTTTTTTTAGATATATTTTGTTGAGCTTAGAAGGGTAGTTAGCGCCCAAATCCATCAGCTAATAAGTCTGTCAATAGGCTTGCCCTCGAATCTGATCCTTGGCTGTTCCGACTGATAATGGGGGGGTAGATGCGCCCGGACATTTCCGCATACAAATTGGAGGCCTATTGGCGCTGGAATTCTAAATATTACGCAAAAATGATGACTAAGCCCGGCGTTCCCGCAGAACGACGATCCGTTTGCACACCGACGAGCATCGCCATTATATTTGTGTGCGAGGGCCCTTTTGGTTGTCAGTGTTCCATCGCATTTTTAGCCTTTTCGTCGCCACAATTTTCGTACTCGCCGCTGCACTAGTCCTAATTTTGGTGTTAACTGTTGGGAAATCTGCGAAATGTGATCAAAAGTGGGTTGGTTCGATGGGGAAGTGATAAAAAACCTTTTTTGATACTGGATTTTCAAGTTTTTTGGGCGCTTCATTTAGCGAACTACGTTTTTGAAACCTGAATTCAGCGTGAAAGGTATGGAACTCTCGATAAAAACCACGTGGGACGGCCACCCGACAAACCATCCGCCAACCGAAATCAAACTCGGCTTCAAGGAGGGCGACAGTCCGGTGGTTACTATTGATTTTACTGTAAGTTATAACCCAACGGATCTAACCTTTCTATTTTTTGCTTCAAAGCAATAAAAACTTTCTTAAGGTTTAAATAAATTCAAAATACGCAAAAATATTGATTTTCAGACCCCCTACTACAACGATCCGCCTCCGCCAAAGCCAAATGGATATACTGATGGGGTAAGTAGGAACGAAAAGTAAAAAAACTGTAGTGCTTTGAGCTAAAAACGTGTATTTTCAGCTCTGGGACTACGAGGTAGTCGAAGTCTTCGTCGCCAACGATAAGCAAAAATACGTGGAAATGGAATTCGGGCCCCATGGGAATTGGCTGATTTATTTGTTGGACGGCGTCCGGAAACCTTTTAATATGGGTATGTCAACAGGGGTATAACGTAGAATTACGTGAAGTTATAAGGTACAAGATTTAACGTACATTAAATTATATAAAAAATTATTTAGGCGAATCGCTAACACCAAAAGTGCAAAACAAACTCGAAGGTGACCTTTGGACGGCGCATATGGAGGTTCCGCTAGCTTTCTTCCCTCCAGGTTTGTAGTTAGTTTAGTACTGTATTTTTATAATGTAATTTAAAATTAAATACAATAAATATTTAGATGCCACAAGCCTTAACGCTTACGCCATCCACGGCACTGGCGACAATCGCGTCTACGAAGCGCTGAGCCCGGCTGTGGGAAATTTCAGCGGGCCCGATTTTCATAAGCTACAGTTTTTCAAGTACGTTTTTGTCCTTAAAAAGATGTATAATTCCAAAGAAGTAGGCATAAAACTATTAACATAAAATTTTCAGGAGAGTTGATCGATCGGCATTTATCCCTGCCTGCTTGGGCCCTGGGCCCTATTCAAATGACAAGCAGTACGGGAATCTGTGGGAGGGCCATCAGTGATTTTTTTTGTATGTAGTGTTCACTTATTTATTTCATACATATGGGTTAATAAAGAGTTTTATTTAGAGCCATTAATGCAAAAATTAGTATTTTTCAATAGTTGGCGCCTCTTCGCTTTCAGTAAAATGTATTTCCGGCGCATCAATATGTACAGCCCAGAGCACAAGTTGAAAGAAGCGGGTAATTTTATCTAAACTCTCCATAAAAAGTTTAATAGACCCATATCCTACTATATATAAAAAAATAGTGTCTGTGTGTGTGCATTTGCATGCAACTTCCGTCAGGTTGTCCGGAGGATATCTCGAGAGGGGAAGGCCCTTAAGCTAGATTTGATACACCATTAGGTGCGTAATGGCTCCAAGATGACTGCACGCTTATCAGATTGTGCAAATTGTTCGATTTTTGACATTAAAATAAAGTTTTTGTTGAAAAATAGGAGACCCCTCTTTGTTAGAAAATAGTTAGCATACGCCGGAAATGGCGATAGCCTATATAATCGGAAAGAGGGAACGTCTTTTCGTTTTTTCGTTATCGGGATTCAGGAAAATTATGTAAGGAAACATTGTAGGGTCAGACGGGGCCAGGGTTGAAAAGTCGCGAAGCGGCTTTTCAACCCTGGTACTATTTAAAAAAATAGTTAGTAATCAATTTAAAAATTAAGAAAAATAATGTAAAACTATACCTTCAATTATCCGCCAAATTCGGATTTCGTGACTCGGTCGGACGAGGGTAAAATATATAATTGAGAATACTAAAATTAAAATATATTTTTAGTTTTCGCAAGACATACCCAAAAGTAATCCAAATCCAACTACGCAGGCCATTGGGTCTTTCGAGATCGGGACGGCTACTAGGGCCACCGAGATGGCGAGCACGAGCCAGTGAAGGAGGATTGGGTACTGTAAAAACTCTCGCTCTCTCCCTCTCTCTCTCTCTCTCTCTCTCTCTCTCTCTGACCTACCCGAATCGCCGTCGCGCTGACCGGAATCTCTGTCCATCTGATGTAAATTGATGCTGTGATCGTCGTGATGACGCTCAGCATATCTTAAGAACTCTTAAATTTTCCATTCTAGCTCTCTTTCTCTCGCTCTCTCTCTCCGTCTCTCTGTGTCTACCTGTCTTTTGAAAACTCACTGGACACCATCGCATAATTGATAAGACGCCCAACATCACCAATGAACGACACGCTTATCGCAGCTGTGGCCTGAAACGGTTAGTGAAAGTAGGAAGATACGTTGCTAGTAACGTAATGTAGATATAAAACCATAAAATAACCTTGTAGTCTATTTCCTTACATGAAAAATCAAGGCAACTCGAGGCGATCCATGCTCAGTATGCACCAAGGAGAGAAAGGAGGGCATTGCACCGGCCCGGGAGCCAGCGAGAAGAGAGCTACAAAATGGGTTTAATTTGTTATTTAATTGTAATTTGTAACGGTTGTAGCTTACATTTTCAAGGGATGGTGGCATGGGAACTCACCGACTAACAGCGAACAGTGCCGAGTTGACAGCACTCGTCATTAGGATGGCAATGATGGCCGGAATTATATGAGAGACTGGCCCAAGGCTCTTTTGACCGAATAACTAAAGAAGAAAATCATCGAAGAGAGAGAGAGAGAGAGAGAGAGAGAGAGAGAGATGGGGAGCGAGAAAGAGCGAGAGAGAGAGATGGCAAGCGAGAAAGAGCTTGAGAGAGAAGACCTACACTAGCTACAGCTTCTGAATTCATAATTTCCTTCGGGGACAATACGGAAAAATACGCAATATTAGTGCAAAAATAAACGGTAGTAGCGATGCCCAATCCGCCGAGGACCGCTTTGGGTAGAATTCTGAATTATTTTAACATTTAGAGGTGTCTCTAAGGCCGAATCCCAAGCCCAAACCTAGACCGAAGCGTACTTACCTCCTAATCTGCGCCTGGTCAATGTCCTCGGTACCGTAGTTCAGCGTGTCGAAACCACCGTAGGACCAGATCCCAGCGTACAGGGCCAAGGCAAGGTTTCCTAAAAAGAGGCATTAGCCCGTCGAGAAGTCAAGCCAAAACCTGGATCTGTTTTCGAGCCCGTCCAGATGTTGTCGGCAGAGAATTGTTGGGTGCAGCCTGGAAGGACAAGAGTAGATGATCATGGGAGGCTAGTCTCCCGAACTCTTTGCGCTTTAAAGGGACTAGGAAGTCAGCGGATCAACCCTCCTCTCGACAACTACGAGTTGATCCAAAATACGCAAACACCACCTCTCAAGCTGTAATAAAATAAATTGGGCCCTTGGGCTAACCAGTAGTTGTCGAGACCTAGTAGCAAGCAGGAGTCGATTCTGTCTTAGTCCCTCGAAAATAGCTGTATACGGTACCTTTAAATGCCAAGTAATAAAACCCGGTAAGCGTGATGATGGCCAGGGCAAGAAGTTTCGCACCGGTGACGACCACTTGAATCTTGGCAGCCCAGCCTTTGATGGAGAAGAAGTTTGCCCATATGAGGAGCCCTAAAATGTTGATGAAAGTTAGAGAGAAGAGAGAGAGGGTGAGAGAGAGGGAGAGAGAGAGAGAGAAGGACAAACACCGAGTACCGTTTAATACCTACTTACACAGCAACGAGAACCCAAGGAGCCGTTCGAGGAGAAGCTTGGAATCTTCCGGAAATTCGAAACTGATCCCTTCAAGAGCGTCAACCAGATATTCGCCAAATGTGCGCATCAGGATCGCGCAGACGCATGACCTGTAAGTGGGCGTATTCGTATCTCGAAGGTATACATATAAGCAAATCCTTAGTGGAGCCTAAGCCTAAACCTGAGCTTATGACTTACGATTGTATTAAATTCGTCAGCCACAAGAAGCTGAAGGCCAGCGGGGTCCAACCAACGTAATTCTGATACGCAAAGTCGGAACCGGACAACGGGATGGATGTGGCCAGCTCGATGTAGAGCTGAAAAATTAAATGAAGCGAGAGAGAGTCAGAGAGAGAGAGAGAGAGAGAGAGAGAGAGAGAGGCGGCTAGCTCAGAAGGTGCCGTAGCTGATCAAAATCCCGTACCAAAGCCGTCATCGTAGAAATTGCTGCTCCGGCCAGCCAACAGATCAGCGACATCCCAACTGATCCGGAGTGTTCCAAAACAGTACGCGGGGACACGAATATGCCCGCGCCAACAATAGACCCAGCTACATAGCTGGTCGCCCCGACCAGCCCCAACTTGTTGGCAGCGTCGTTGGACATTTTTTAGACTTCGGAAATTCGTAGGATTTTTGAAGTAGCCGGCGGGATACCGGCCTTGACCTGAACGCGGAGAAAGGAAAAGCATCCTTTTTTGGCTCGCTTATTACCGAAGTTTGCCCTAATAGCCGCTGAGGAAGGAGCGGAAAAAGTGAGGAAGTACGAATCCATTTTGTGGGAATTGACACTTACAAGGAGACGTTTTTGAGTGTCGTCGGGACTTTGGCATGGGACCAAGCCTATCTTGTGCAGAATTTTACGCTGATTCCGAACCTGGTAACCGTTTTTGCGGAATAGCAATTTCTCGAAAGTTATGAACGATTTAAACCTCAAAACAGCCCAAAATCGGCTACTTCCGATAGTCATAAAAGGCTTCGGAATAGGTTTTAGACAAATCTTGATAGTGCATCTTGGAATGGAAATTACGAATCTTAATTGGAATGTTGGAATTTTGAAAATTTTTGTAAAATTTTTGTAAATTTTTGTATTTTGTAAATTAATTTGTAAATTTATCAAATTTTTCCAACTTTTCAATGATTTTGGAGAAGATGGTACATTTTATAGAGAATTTTTTTCTAAACAAGATGCACTATCAAGTTTTGTCTAAAACCTATTCCGAAGCCTTTTATGACTATCGGAAGTAGCCGATTCTGGGCTGTTTTGAGGTTTAAATCGTTCATAACTTTCGAGAAATGACTATTCCGCAAAAACGGTTACCATATTCGGAATCAGCGTAAAATTCTGCACAAGATAGGCTTGGTCCCGTGTCAAAATCCCGACGACACTCAAAAACGTCTCCTTGTTAGCCCGAGCTCCACTAAAGAAAGAGAAAGCGAGAGAGAGAGCGAGAAAGAGAGAGAGAGAGAGAGAGAGAGAGAACGAGAGAGAGGGAGAGAGAGATAAATAAAACAATTCCTCCTTGTCGTGCAGTTCTTTTAGCCAAAGCTACTCTTCTGTACGATTTACAGCATCAATGGCACTTTTCTGTTTCAATATAAGATTTCATTGTTGACGACGGCAGCAGCAGGGACAGAAGCTGCTGAAGAACCTCTTCCGCAGGTTGGGCAGCAACAGTATGCAGAGGATGGGCAGCAGCAGGGGGCGGAGAATAAGGAAGTGGAGATGCAGGCCGAAGAGGCTGAAAATTGGATAAAGACCTAATTTCGTACGTGACGCACCTATGGACGACGCTCAAGAAGTGTTGTCCAAAGCTAGCGGAAGAAAAGATGCCGACGACGTCTTCGGCAAGGGTGATAGCACTCCAGCCTGGGAAAGAGAAATAACTCTATAGAGAGTGAGAGAGATAAAGAGAGAGAGAGAGAGAGAGAGAGAGAGAGAGAGAGAAACCTACAGATAAATGGCACGCTCATCAGATGAGCGACGAGCACGAAGAATTGAACGGAGAACAACCGCGATTTCGCGAGGCGGACCTAAATATTGAAAACCATAAGCTCCATCTGCTTCTGTAGCTTTTTAAAGGGACGTGTGAGTCTAAACAACGACCCCCGGTGCCGACTAGGTCTCGACAGCCACGCATTACATGCAGAGTAGCTTCGAAAATAACGTTTGTAGGTGTTTTTGCGATGATGAAGTGTTGTCGAGACCTAATTGCATGGAAGCGTGTTCTCAATCCGTCTAGTACCTTTAAAGGGACTAGAAGCGCAAAGTCTACCTACCAGAGAGTGTGGTGACGACATCGTGAACTCATCTTGGCCATAGCAGTAGTAGCCGAAAGACTATAAACAATCAAAAATTTGTAGAAAGGGGGGAGAGAGAGAGAGAGAGAGAGAGAGAGAGAGAGAGTGATAAAGACCTACCGCGAACCACATCGCGATCAAAATCAAAGCCAGAGCGACAGCGAAGATTCGAAGCACAACAGAGACCGCAATAGCCAACGGCGATGGCAGGGCGAACAGGACGAAGACGGCCGTCAGAGCGACGAGGAGCAGGGGAAGGGCCTGGGCTTGGAGGAACGGCCATCTGAAAGTTGGGGCTCATCGAAGGGCTGACGAATCAGTCAAACCAGAATCGTGTAAAATCTCGTGCTCCTTTAAGATCGAGTCCGAGCACGATCGTGAGTTTGAGGGAGCGTGAGTAACAAATTAAAGGGAGCCCGGCAGAGTGCGAGAGCGAGAACGCGACAAAGAGCGAGAGAGAAAGAGAGAGAAAGTGAGATAGTCAGGAGGGGAGAAGGTAAAAACCCACAACGTTGGCATGTATTTAATATCCTCAGGCCTTGACACTGCCTTTTGGGCAAAGTGCAACAACACGATGGAGGAGACGAGCAGTGTCCAGAAAATGTAACTCTCCACCAGGAATAGGGTGGTTGCCATCCAAGGCACTTCTCTAAAAAATGGATTTTGGGTTTAAGATTTCTATTCTATTGATTTAAGTAAAACAAACAAATTAACTAACACGTAAAGCCGATAACCAGCATAGTGAAGCCAGAGATTCGCGTAGAAAACGGCTTCCTTGCCGTGGATCTCGCTGAGGTGGCCTTCAGCTGCTGCGGCGGGGCCGAGGTAGTAGGCCCAGCTAGTTGGGCTAAAATACTTTTTATCAACTTCTGTAACTCTATTTTTTTGTTATTTTTTATTAAAAAATTCCCTCCATAAAACCCGTACCTGGTTCCCAACAACTTCTGCAGGTTCGCGGCAATCTCTATGTACACGTCGAGGCCGACCTCGAGAAGGAGAGGGAGCACCAGGATGAAAGCAAAGGTCTAAGAATGCCAGTGGCTTAACGATGACTTTTCAGGCTACCTTGATGAAGTCCCTCCTGGCCGTGCCGACGACGGTGAGCAGCAACAGTACCAAAATTGCCTTGGTCGCCAGGAAGCCGATGCGCCATGGGTTTTCGGAAAAGTCGCCGACTGGACTGGCTGGAAATGGAAGTTTTCAATAGCTTGAAAGTCTTCGGATTGCTTATGCATAGGGAGACCTGGGAGGCTATAGCTTATGCTTGTGCTTGGGTAGGCTTAGGCTTCAAACTACAAACCTGCCGTTGACGGCGACATCATCGTCGTTGTCGTCACATTCTCAAAAAACTCGCGCGTGTGATTGGCAACAGTGAGGAGGACATCCTTTGTCAGCTGGGTTGTTGCTTCTTCTGGAATTCCAGAACAGTTTTTGTCTGGCTGTCATAATTTGTTCTTGCAAGCAGCAGAGAGAGCGAGAGAGAGGGAGAGATAGAGCGGGAGAGAGCGATAGCTCGTCCCTTACCTCCGGACTCGGCACCAGATCCATCGTCGTTAAATTCGCCGCTCGACGTCCCGACGTCGTATTCGAGCGGATTTTCACCCATCTGAAAGTTTGAATTGAGAAAAAGCTGGGGCAAGCAACGGAGAGAGAGAGATAGAGAAAGTTAGAGAAAGAGATAGTGGGAGAGAGGAGGGGGAGAGGAAAAGCATGAGAGGGCGAGATAGCGAATAGGAAAATCGAGATTCAGCCCAAAGCAGAATTTAGCTAATTGCTGAAGACACAAGTTGATAAAAACAGTCCGAGTCCAGTCAGACCTCTTTGGTGCGTCAATAGGAATGTTGTGGCGGGGGTGGAAAACAAAAATGCCCAGTAGGAGAAATTGCGAGCACGCCGAATTCGAATTAGGGCCGAGCTGTCCTGAATCCGATCAGCGCCTACTTGGACTCGGATCGACTCGAACATTGGAGGGAACGGGGGGAAAGATAGGCGGAGGACTAATCTTTATCGGGAAATCTTAACGGGCTTCTGATTTAGAGGGTAGCGTATGGCAGCTTAGCGTAGCGTATCGTATCGTATGGTTGCATTGACTATCGTAGCGTAACGTAGCATAGCGTATCGCAGCGGGACGCCTCGAAACCGCGTCGATAGCAGCGTAACATAGCAGGGCCAGAAGTTCAATCGTCGCAACGTAGGGTAATGAAACGGGTAATGTAAAGTAGCGTAGGTTGACGCTACCGTAACGTAACTTCGAGCCTATTCTATCATAGCGCATCGTAGTGCCAAGCGTGGCGTAGCGCGGCACGGCGACGGCGATACTGTCGTATCGTAGCGTCGAGAGTAGTTTATCGTAGCATACTGACGTCGGTAGTAGCGTATCGCAGATCCAAGTGGAATGCATCGTAGCACAGCGACGTTGATAGTACAGTATCGTATCGTCGAGCAACATTAACGTAATGTTCGAGCACCGGAAGTGAATTATCCGCACTACAAGCAGCAAAGTGATAGCATAGTTTCCGGCAATCGTTGATGGTGATAGTTTATTTGATGTGATGGGAGCTGTGGGCGACGATCAGCCATGCCAATCGCCCCCTCCAGTCCCGTCAAATTGATTGCCAAGGGGGAGAGTGAGGGGGTGAGCGTGAGTGTATTGGAGTCAGTGTCAATCTGTCTGTGTGGACAATTGGGCAATACCGAGTCGTCTGTGGTATCGGAGGAAGCACGAGCTTGTCGAAGAGGAGCGCGAGCGTTTGCCGGGCGGAAGGCGGAAACGAGCTGACCGCGAGCGCGACTCTTTGTATTTGCTGCTGCTGCTCCTTCACCCCAGGGGGTGAAGAAGTGGGGGATCTCCAACTTGGTGAGAGAGAGAGCGTGAGAGCGAGAGAGCGAGAATGAAAGAGAGAGAGAGAGAGAGAGAGAGAGAGAGAGATAGAAACGCCCTTTCTTAATTGGCGCGCGCCTTGAGCACGAAAACCATCGGTTGGCTCAAAATTCAGTTCGACCGGTCCGGGGCGATGCTCCTAAAAAATGGGTTATCCCCCCGGATCGCCGCTTATCATTGGCGGGCTGGGTGGGGGGTTCCGAGCTGGAGGGCAGGGGTCGGAGAAGCTCTGGAATAAGAGGAATGGGACTTATATATATCAAAGAGCTTTCTGAACTGTATTTTGAAGGAACTTACAAGTGACTCGTTTCGATGGGATGGTGCCTCCAAGCGCCAAAGCGCTAATATTTCGATTCTCCCGTTAGCGCGCCCAATCTCGCTTTCACTCTCTCTCTCTCTCTCTCTCTCTCTCTCTCTCTCTCTCGTTCTCTCTCTCTTTCACTCTCTTTCTCACTCTCTCACTCTCGCTCTCTCGCTTCAAAGATCCGAAAATCGTACTTTGGGTCAGTTTTCAAAACAAGACCCAGAACGAGAGAGAGAGAGAGAGAGAGAGGGGGGGAGGGAAACGAGAACTAAATACGTCTGTCCATTCCCCTTTAGACGACCATTTTTCATTTATGCTAATGATCTTATCCTATTGAATTTATGCTTGATTTCTCGCCACTTCACCCTTCAAAATATTCAGAATTTCACGCTTAAATAATAGTACTAATTTTACCAATCTAGTACTAATAATTAAGTTTCAGGTTCTCAAATCCAATTTCCAACTTCCGGTGCCCTTTTCCCCAAAAAGCACTCCACAGTTCTAAACGTGGCACGTCCGGGTTTAGACAATTTTCCCAAGGGCAAGCTATCGTTTTGTGTGGTGGCGCGGAACACCGTGGGCACCCGATGCCGATCTCCAGCATCTAAGCCTACCGCTTTGCCCCGATGACCATTCCGGGTGGGAATCGAAGGAGCCGGGCAGTAAACGCATCAACGACTATCCTATAAATATCCGTGAAACCGGAACCACGGCACACTCACTTCAGAATGTTCAAGGTCATCGTCGTCTGCGCCCTCGTCTGCCTGGCTATCGCTCAGGTGGGTCTCATTTTGGGCTTGGGAGTTGGCTTCACCTAGGCTTAGGAATGGGCTTAGGTTAGGCTCAGGCTTAGTCTTAAGCTTGGGGTTAGGCTTAGGCCTAGGTTTAGGCTTGGGCTTAGCCTTAGGCTTAAGCTAGACTAAGGCATAGGCTTAGGCTTAAGCTAGGCTTAGGCATCGGCTTAGGCTTAGAATAAGTTTTTTGTATCTTACCCTCTAATTTCTTTTATTTTTCAGGACGCCCCCGCCGCTCCGGAAGGCGAGGCAGCGGTAAGTTACTATAATTTTCGGCTTCTACTCTCCAGACGCTTCCTGTCACTGTCCCTTTAAAGGGGCTAGAAAGGATCCAAACCTATCCCGTCGCCGGCTAGGTCTCGACAGCTGCGATACGCTCCAACTGACGCCATAAAGTATCCTAAGAAAAATAATCACAATTTTTACGCGTCTTTTGGAGCCCCCATGCAGCTGTCGATACCTAGTCGCAGAAAGGGGTAGATTCTAGCGCTTTCCAGTCCCTTTAATCGTTCAAAATCCACGATTTCAGACGCATCGCCCGCACGGCGAACACCACCACGGCCACAAGGGCTTCACCGGATTCCCGAAGGGCTTCTCTGGACATCCCCGCTTCCGTCACGGAACTGGACACCCCCACGGAACCGGCAAGCCCCACCACCATCACCCCCGCGGAACCGGACACCCCGTAAGTTGATTTCTAGCGTAGTTTCAGCTAAAGGATAGCCGAAAAACCGCAAGTTGGCAGCTAAAATTTGAAAATTGCAATTTTTTGCCCTACGGAGCTTGGAAAAACGGAACGCCGGATTCCGGATATGAATGTAGCCCCGGAAAATTTTTTCAATGAAAAAGAGCTACTTTTAAAAGCTGTTAGAAATTAGAAACTTTTTCCAAAGTATAATTTTTCTATCAATTCGAAAAAGAAGCATCTTCAATACTTCCGTAATGAACTTATTTTTCAGCACCACGAGCACAACACCGCCGCCCCGTCCGCCTAAATGAACATCCTCCCAATTCTTTCATATTTTTTAATAAAATATTTTTCTAAAAAATTGTTCTAAAAACAACTTTTATTTCTTTTTATATCAACTTAAATTGTTTTTTATTATGGATTTTCATGTTTTGAGGAAATTCCAATCTGGCATTGAGCTGCTCCCTCACCTAGGAGGGAGCAGACGAGAAAGGGAGACAGAAATAGTGCGGGAGACGGGGGAGACGCAGAGAAATGAGGGCTGTTTTGGCCCGGTCTGCCCTATTTCTTGTAAACAACATTGAACTCTGCCATTTTAGGCTTGTTTCTAGGTTATTTAAGACGTTTTATAGAGTTTAACGGGCAGTTTTTATATACCTAAAGGTATCAATAAGAATTATAGCTTCCAAAAGCTTTATTTTGCCCAAACTTAGAGCTAAATTTTGCATTTTTTTAACTGAAATTTAGTCAATTTTCAGTAAGCATTGTTTATCGAGTATTTTTGGTTCTTTCAAATTTTATAATGTTTTTAACAGGATTCTATTGAAATTTCTTGCCCTAAAATTTAGAAATGTAAAATTTTGATATAGATAATTCCGGTATTACAGTATCCCCAACGATCTTCAATTCCTGGGTTAATAAATTAATGTTTTCTAGGTAAGATACACTATTTAGCACGTTGATATTGTCAAATGGAAAGAGCAGAACTAAAAGCCGGCCGGGTGGCCGCATCACTGACGATCCTTGCCATTTCCGCTATCACGCTCTACGCAGCTTGCCTCCGGTCATCGACAATCTATTTTTATGAGGTGAATTTTATGCAATTTAATACGAAAAAAGAAAAACGAAGCAGTAACCGAAGAGCTAAATGGCTTGTAATTTGGAGCCTAGCGTTGCTTAGGTGCGGCTAAGTCACGCTACATTTTACGTTGCAAATTCACTTTTTGGAACGCCAGAGACGAAGATATCGTTTTTTCGAGACGCTAACAAATTCATTCAATTCCAGCTCGACACCACAACAGTAGTATTCATGAGTATGCCGTTGGCAGTGCTATTCCCGCTAGTACTATCGCTAGCCCTGTTCGTCACCTATTTGAGCAAGAAGCCGAAGGAGATGGCGTGCCAGACGTCTCCACCTTCACCTGAGAAGGTCAGTAAATCTACATCAAAAAGTTTACAAAAACTAAAAATTCCTTCAGAAATCCACACGCCGGTTCTCAATCATGGCTTCTCACAAAGGATCTGATCTTCGGCAGATAATTGAAGAGAAAGGTGAGGAAGAGATAGAGCGAGAGTGAGAGAGAGAGAGAGCGAAAGCTAATAAAATCCTTTAGAACCTATGAAGGAGGAGGCAACACCATTAAAACAGAAAGCAGAGACGGAGAAGGAAGAAACGAAAGAAGAAAAATCAGTAATTTTTTTGCGTTTTCTGCGTATTATGGTATTCCAAACTTTCCAAAAAAACGTTAATATGCCTTTTCCGCATCAAAAACTTACCCCATTTGCCTGGTTTCAGGTGCGCAAAGACTCATCAACAATGACAACAACGGAAGACGGCAACAACGACACTCCAGAATTCTCGCTCGGACAATCAGGTACGGAAAGTAACGTACTCGTTGACAAAACACCACATTGGGCAAATTAATAGCAAAAACAGTTGTTTCTACAGTTTATAATCAATTCGTAGCCCCAACAAGTCCCGAGCCCGAATCGGATGAGGCGACAACGCCACCAACAGCGCGACGCACAAGTTCAACGAGTCGGATTCAGGTAGGAAACGAGCAGGTTTTGGCTATGTTTTGCTACACATCCATTTTTTAATCTTAGAAAAAACTGTAAGTTACGTAATTTCGTAAATTTTTGGTGCGCGCTTCCTAAAAAAATATTTTTACAGCGTGAACTCCTCCACCGGCCCAGAAAAGACAGCTTATTGGCCCGTGGCACTTCCCAATCAGCGCTCATCAAGTCTGAGCCCCGAAAGGAGCTCTGTGAAATTTTCAAGGAGATCGAGCAGGTCAGGAAAACGCTGCTGCTCAAAAAACCCACGATTTAGGGAAGCATTTGGATGTATGCGCTCGGGGGCTTCGATGCGAAAATATTTCCGGGTGATCGGCATTCGCAATTCAAGCCCAAGCACACGTAGGTTTTTCTAAAAAGCCGATACTTCTACGCTATTAACGTACCTAAAAATATAATAAAATAAAGTTTAGATTACTCAATCTCATAATTGAAATCCTGGCCACGCACGTACCCATCTGGCTCTGCGTAGGAGCGCTCTACTTACTATCGCTCGAGTTTTTGAGGATGAATTTTGGTAAGAAAAATTATATTTTTATATCCCATTCAAGGTTTTTATAAACTAGATGATCATTCCAGCATATTACTTCTACTTCCACGAGGACGTTATGGAATTCTGCGCGCTGTTCTGCGCGCTGGGCGTAGGCGCGGTTCACGAATATCGTGCCCACTGGATCACCAACGACATCTTGGCGTTGTGCAGCATTTATGTGGTCGTCAGTCGGTTGCAGGTAGGGCGAGAGAGAGCGAGAGAGAGAGAGAGAGAGAGAGAGAGAAAGAAAAAGAGATCGAGAGAAAGAGAGAGAAATTTTTTCCATATTTTCAGCCAGTCTCCTTCATTTCCGCATCCGCACTCCTCGGCGGCTTCTTCGTTTTCGACCTCTTCTGGTTGTACATCGTGGACTTGTTGTCAACTGTCGTATCAGTACGTTCTACTACAATATAAAACCAAAAACGCTTAGGAATCAAAAGCTCCAATAATGCTCGTAGTACCCAGAGATAACAAGGGAAATAAGCAGTATCTTGCCACGTTAGATGTCATAGTTCCAGGTAAATCGATAACTACATAACAAACCCATAATATTTAGGCATTTTCCTAAACCTTGTGCTCAAATATAGCTCGATGTACGACAAAAAGCTCTTTTTCATCGAGCTGGGCGGGCTTTACGTCAGTTTACTAATTACGACGTTCGTTGCAATTTGGAAAAGGTTCGAAAAATTTTAGTTTACATAATAATTTCAAATCCAGGCGCACGACTCCAGCAATGGTTCTTCCAGCGGTCGTTTTGATCAGCACCAGCCTATTCTGCACCACAACCCCAGACAAGTTGTGGAAATTCATGATCAAGCATTGATAAAACTATTTATCACTAGTACTATGATAATAATGTACATTACTTGCCCTTGTAGTCGGCGGGCTTTGGGAAGAGCTTGTTCCACAGCGCTTTCCACCGCGATTCACGTCCGAAGCCAAGCGTTTGCCGTCCAGACTCGCCGTTTATTGCCTAGAAAAAAATTATTTGAAAGTAAAACGCTTTCTGCTTACCTTGCACTTTTCCAAATTCAGCCCAAAGCAGCCGGACGTGTAGTTGTGTGGGTATTGTCGAAAAACGTCGTTGTTCACAATTCTTTCGAGTGCTAAAAATAAATATTTAGGCGAATTTTCCATGATTACCTGCATATCGTTTATCACAAACGGCTGCGTCGTCGCCAAAAACTGTTGGATCTTTCTAAAGTCGATTTTAATGATTTAGATAGAGACCAGGGTTGAAAAACCGCTTCGCGGCTTTTCAACCCTGGCCCCGTCCAGGACCTGTGAAAGTCCTTAATTTGCATGTTTCTTCCTGAATTCTAGCAAGAAAAAAAAGTGAAAAGCGGCTCCGCTGTCCCTTTATATAGGCTCTTCCTACTTCCGGCGTATGCTAATTTCCCCTAACAAACAGGGTTTTACCAAAAACCTATTTTTAATAGCGTAAACCGCAATTTTTCAAAATTTTTATGTGTGTGCAGTCGATTCCGGACCATTCTAAACCTATTGTCGTTTCTTCCCTATCCAAAAAACCCTTCCCCGAGGCTGTAGGAGCGGAACATCCTAACGGAAGTGCATGCAAATATACACACACACACAAACACTATTTTTTTATATATAGTAGGATTCAAACCTTAAATCTCTGGATTTGTTGATCGAGGTGGAAAGCCAATTGTCGGTCCTCGCTTTTCAACGGGTCTTTTGGCCAACGCGCCACAAGCCTGAGGAACTGCTTGAACTGGGTGGCCTGGCGAGACATTTTCTAAACAAAAATGTATTTAAATCAGTGAACTAAAATACATAGACATTGAAGTATATAATCCGGATAAAACGGATTTTTTAACCTCTTATGCCAGCTTTTAATAAAGAAATTTATCGAAAACATCCAACAACATGAAAACGTAACAAGTAACAACGCGCGGAATCTAGCAACAATGTAAAATTTTAAAAACAAAGGAAAATCGTTATGCAGGAGAATCATCAGAATCGAGCACTTCCTCGTCGTCGATCTGCATCGCCGACACTTGGCCTTCCATTTCCAGGGAATCGAGATTTAGGCCCTCGAGGTCGGCGCGTGTCAACTAAAAAAAGGTAAGAATTAATACGACTTTTTTAGCTACCTCAATTCGCTCCAATTGTGCGGAAACATTCGAAAGCAGGCTCTCGTCAACCCTCTGAATCCATACCAGCAAATCTAAAACTCGAAATCATCAAAAAATCAAATTATTTACATACCAGCGAGCAGCAGGTCGTTGAACAAATACCGAAATTCACCACTGGACACCATCAGCCGGTGGATTTTGCAAAGTGCCCGCGTTAGCGCGACTCTCCCTAAAAATGAGTTACAAATAGGTAAAACAAATCAATACCCGCCGCAAATAGAGCCTTTAAATCCGCGAAAACCTTCTCGCAAAGCGCCCAATTTCTAGAAAAGTTGTATGTTTAATAAAAAACTAGACCGAAATACCTGTAAAGCGGACGAGACAACGCCATATAACAACCAGCGATTAGGGCATCCCGTGGGGAATCGAAACGGGCCAACCAGCAGAGTGAAGGAGCCAAGTTGACAATAGTCCAGCCCGATTCGACAGTCTTCTCCCAATCCGTGGTCCGCCCGTCATAGCAGAAGGCAAAGCAGATGTCGACCAGCGAGTTGGCGATCAGCTGATCCTCGGTTTTTGTCGTTCTAAAGGAGTTTTTGATTTTATATTCGTGTTGTCATAACTATTGCCTATAGCTTCAAATTCTGAGCAAGTTACTTCTTTCAGAAATTGATAAAAGACGACGATTGTCGAGAAAAATTGCTCGCAAATGGCAGATCTAGCGCATTTTGGCAGTTTCTTCGCAAAATGTGAGCTTTAAGAAACTGTTTCTCAAAACCTGTTTCCCTGCAGCAGCTTTTGGAAAATGATGGCTTGATCAGAATTTCAAGCTCTATCCATAAACGTTATGCCATTTGGCATAGAAAAATACCGCTAATAATTTTTTAAGAAATTAAACTCACGCCGTCAACTTCCGCCTCGACAACTCGATCAGTAGCTTCTTGTCGGATTGAGAAAGCGCTGTTTTCACCACGTATTCCTGCAGCAACGCGTTCTCGAGCTGATCATCCGGCTCGAAGGTGTCGGCTCTGAATTTTTTGTATTCATGTAAAGCTTAAAATTTCTCACAAGTAATGGTCGCCATTAAAAGTTTCAATCGCCCGTTGTACACATTGTTGAGCTCGCTCGTTTATCGGAGACGATTCCGGGTCTTTCAATTCGATCAATTTATCTGAAATTCAATTTTTAATTGCAGTAGAAACTCGCTTACCTATCTCTGCAATCAACGACCCAAGCACCCCGCTTCTTTTCCACGCAAAGCCATAACCCCTCTCATTGTTCGTTGATCGATTGTCCAGAATCCGCGTCGGGTTTTGCTCCATGCAATATTCTTCTGAAAATAACGTTTTTCGTAAAGTTTAAAGGCTTACGAAACCTTCATCTGAGTCCTCGTCAGAAGCCTCGAAATTCGGCGATGAGCTACCGGCAACCTAAAACAATAAGGCTCTGATTTTGCCATCTAATTACAAAATAAAGCGCCAAAATTCGCCCTCAACCGGTTCCTAAGAAGATTTCTTACCTCTTCGACAGCCGGGCGAGCAGTCGGCAACTTTTTACGTGGCCTTAGCAACTCGGTGATCATCTCCAGTCCAGCGAAGAATTCGCCCTTATTCCTTTTCGGCACGGCGACCGAAAAAGTGCCTAAAAGATATCAATATTATACATTTTGGCCTCAAAACCTAGTACCTGAATCCGAGTCATACTTTGCCCATCCCGTCTCGTCGTCCAAAACATGCGAGGGGAGATGTACCCTAGAAAATATACACGTTAAAACTGCAACCTTGATTTACCTTAGAAAATAGGGTTTACTGCTGAAAACAAATAGCTCTTCCGCGTATTCGATCTCCGTTTCGGCGATTTTCGCATACGGGGCCTCGATGGTGAAGAGGAGATGCTCGTCCGTCTGCTCTATTGAGAAGACTGGCGTTAACATGTCTAAAATAGAGTCTTAGATATCGAAAAAGCAGTAAAAGTTACTGAAAAAAATAAGAATAAAAAAATTAACAAAGAGTGATTCCTAGCGTTCATCTTTCCGCGCAGGGCGCAGGGTTGCAGCGTACATAGTACTCTCAAGTAGCCAACAGCATAAACTTTTCTGTTTCCTTTTGCAGGCTTATTCCTACCAAAATCTAGGAAAATGCAAGTTTCTATAGCAAACGACACGAAGCTCTACAATCTTAGCTATGGAAAATCAGTGCCAGAGGTATGTAGTAATTAAAACTTGTTTAAATGATACTTTTTAGTGGTTATCTTCACGTCAACGTCGAGAACTATCAAAAAAGAATCTTGGTACGTTGATTTTTATTTTTAAGAACTTTTTTAAGACTATCGACGTCGTATCCAACTTATCCAGAACTTTGAAATGCCCGACGTGGCCAATTGCATGTCTATCAGTAAGGATAGGAGGTATATATTTTACTTAACGGATGAGTTCCACCTTTCTCTAGATATATCTTTGCTGCCGGCACCTACAAGCCCTTCCTAAAATGCTACGACGTCGAGCAAATGTCGGAAAAATTTGCGCGAGGGATCGACGAGGAGATAATCAAGATTCTGAATTTGACAGACGACTTTCAGAAGGTAAAATCGGCCCTGGTTTCTGGAATCCGTTTTAGTTCGTACTATTGGAGCAACAGCGATGGGTAGAGATGCACTATCCGCGTGGTCGCTACTTCCGGTTGCGTATCCCGAAATATGGACGCGATATGGGCTTCATCAACGAGCGCAGTGAGCTCGTGATTTCGGCTAGCGGGTGAGTTTTCTGAGGAATGTTTGCTGAAGGTGAAAATAAGCCGGTTTTTCGGTTTTATATTTCAAGGTGAGCCGTTTTTAGTGATGAGGTCTATCGGCTAAATCTGGAACAAGGCGAATTCCTGGAGCCTTATCGATTGCAAGGCGGAAGCGGAACAGCATTGGCGGTTGCCGAATGGCATCAATTAATGTCGGTCGGCACTACTGAAGGTAAATTGGCGTCAAATTTTTGATATTTTGCGCTTTTTCAGGAACGGTGGAATGCTGGGATCATCGTGACAAGTCTCGCGCCGGTGTCCTCGAGCTGAGGCAGGGATTGGCTGATGAAATCAGGTATTGAAGCGAAAGTTTGATTTAAAAACGCAAGTTTGTAGGGGAACTTCGGCAGTGACGGCTCTAACATTCCGGGATCCGCTGTGTTTTGGCGTCGGGACGGCCAGTGGCCACGTTTTGCTCTACGACATCCGCTCGTCTCGCCCGCTGTTGGTCAAGGACTCTCAGAACGAGCTGCCGATCAGGTTGATTTTTGCTTTTCGAAAATGTTTATGGAAATCGGTTTTTTGTTTATGTTTTACGTTTTTATATCGATTTCCAGACGCATCGAATTTGTTCGGCGCGAAGAAGACGATCTCGTGCTCTCGATGGACAACCGCGCTCTGAAAATTTGGGAAGAACGAAATGGACGGGCGGTGACGGCCATCGAACCGGAAGCGCCGATTAACGACTTTGTGCGCTATCCGGATTCGGGTAATTAATTTTCCAATATTTAAAAATCTTTTTAGGCTTGATTTTTATGGCTGCAGAAAGCTCGAAGATGTTGCAATATTTCGCGCCGCTTCTCGGACCAGCTCCGAAATGGTGAAAATCAAAAACCTTTCATTTCATCTGAATTTAGGTGCTCCTTCCTCGAGGCCATCACCGAGGAATTGGAAGAAAGCGAAAAGACGGCAGGTATCGTTTTAGCGTTTCTTTATTTTATTTTATTTTTTATCGAATTATTTGCATTTTCTATTTAGTTTACGACGACTACAAATTTGTCACCGAGGCCCAGTTGGACGAGCTCGGCCTCAAGCATCTTATTGGATCTCCGTTGCTTAGGTATCTTATTAAATTGTGTTTTTACTGTTTATGAATTTAATTTTTAATTTATTTGTGTGCTTTTAGAGCGTACATGCACGGCTACTTTATCGACATCCGGCTGTACAACAAGGCCAAGACGAAGGCCCAACCGTTCGCTTTTGACAACTACAAGAAACGAAAGGTTTTTGCGACGTTTGATCTTTAAACTGTTTTTTTTAGATCACTGAGGCTGTTGAAAATGAGCGCGAGGCTGGCGCTGTCGGCGTCAAGTTGAGGAAGGTCGAGCCGCGCGTCAAATTCAACAAGGAACTGGCTGAAAAGTAGCGCAAAATAATGTTGCTCTTAAAAACGCGTTTAGACTGACTTCTGATGCCTCGGCGCTGCAGAGCAAGAAGAAGGTCGTCAAGGAGAAGGTAAGAAAATGTTTTTAATTTATTTTCTTTAACCTTTTGTAGGCTTTGGCCGCTTCTGAACTGCTCGGTGATGATCGATTCACGAAGCTGTTCGAGAGCGAGGACTTCCAGGTAAATTTTTATTTATGCGGGTCGAAAATTGACGTATTTCAGGTGGATGAGTCTAGCGAGGTGTTCCAACGTATGGCCGCTTGGATGAAGAAGCGCGACGAGATCAAGCGAGGTCGGAAGGACGAGCCGTCGGATGTGGAAGAAGACGAAGAAAGTGATCATGTAAGGAATTGACAAAAGTTTTCGAAAGTCATTTTTGACAATCTGTATCGAAATCCTTTCAGGAACCTCAAACCGACTACATGGCCGGCGCCAGCGACGACGACGCTTCAAATGACGGGCGCGCGCTTCAGAATGGAAATGACGATGAGGGTGACGAGGAAGATGCCGAGAGCAGCGACGAGGAGGACGACGATCAGCAGCAGGAAAGGGAGCAGCAGAAGAAGGCCGAGATGAACCGCAAGAAACGGGAGGCCGAGGTGGGTTTCTTAAGAGCAATTTATGTTATCTTCTGTTTCAGGCGCGCCGCCTCAGCCAGCTGCGCGAGGAGCAGGAAGCGAAGAAGGCCAACCGGCCCACGAAGTTCAAGCTGTACTCGTTGGAGCCGGGCGAGGGCACCGACCGATTCGTGAAGGGAATGGGCGCCGAGGATGAGAAGGTTTGTAAAAAATCAGGAAAACAATTTACACGAATTGTAGACGATCAACATGGCCAAGCGGCGCGCCACGCTGAAGAAGGAGGGCGCCCTGCTGCAAGTCGAGGAGGCGCCGTTCGGTGGTAGGAGCGTCACATTCACGTACGTTTTTTTGATCGGGCTAACACGCAAAATTTATTAAAAAGCTAACGTAAATAGTAAATAGAGAAGATCCACATTTTTAGCACCACCGTGAAGACGAACGAGCCCCGCCGGGTCGACCAGAAGCTCGAAGAGCACAAGAAGGAGCGCAAGGAGGTGCGCCGCGCGGCCACCAAGCTCTCCCGGGCCCTCGACCGGAAGCACGGCGCGTGGAGGAAACAGAAATAGAAGTGATTTTTCGATTTCTTAATGTTGTTGTTGATTTTGCGATTGTTGCTGTTGTTGACATTGTTGTTATGTTTCCTTTTTTCATGGCTTTTTCGTTATTTTTTGTATGGAGTACAGGATAAATACGATGTTCATTGGGTTGCAAATATTAAAAAAAATTTCGATTTAGAGGTCGCTCTCCCTTTAAAGGGACGCCCAAATGCCGGAACTGACCCCGCCGTCCACTAGCTCTCGACAGCTGCGTGTAGCTTCCAATTGCAAGTGTTGTGCCGATTTTTTCTGATGTTGGGAGCGTACTCGGAATTGTCACGTAGCTGTCGAGACCCAGTCGACGGAATGAGTCGATTTTTGAGCTTTTTTAAAGAGAACTTGAAACTAGGAAATGTTTTAGAAATTTGGCCGACGCTTCGGACTTTTCAGAAAAACGCAATCTGTTTTTCACGGAATGAGTAAGCGTTTCAGCTACGTTTCACAACAAATGACGCGTGTGGGCCGATTTTTTATAGTATTTAATGCGTATTTCGGCGTGTCGCGTTGTTGTCGAGACCTAATCAATAGAAAGGGATGATTCGCGCGTTTCTTCTGCTTCTAAAGGGACCAGAAAGCCCAAAAATTCTACGTAAAGAGGAACGCCTCGTGGCCTGGCGATCTTTAGAGCATATGACGTTCATTGTGGGGATGCGATGGTGGCGGTGTGAAACTGCTGGGGACCGGGCTCTTTCCCTTGTCTGTTCTTTTCCACTAACACTCGAGCCTCCAGCCCTCGGCTTTTCTGGCCCGGGGCCGTGCCCAGGCCCCCCACTTCTCGGCCCTTCGTCTCCCTGCCGGGCTTCTCCTCTCTCTCTGGCTCACTCTGTCTCTCTCTCTCTCTCTCTCTCTCTCTCTCTCTCTTTCCAGCCTCTCGTCTCTCTCACCAACACGCCAACCCTCTCGCCCTCCAAATATCCTCGTCCGGGTGCCACTTTTTTACGCGACGGCTCTGCTCGCTGCTGTGCTACTGCGACAACGTAACGTTGGGGCACATGGCAGGGAATTACCACCTTAATTTGATTTTGGGTTTTTCTGGAAGCGGCGTCATTTTTGCTACTATTTCCACACCTTTTCTTAGTTTTCTTTTATTTTCCGAGTAGATGCTGTTAAGCTGTTAGATGATGAGAGCGAAAGAAAGAGCGAGAGAGAGACAGAGAAGAGAGAGAGAGAGTGCGAGAGAGAGAGCCTAAATCATGTATGCAAATCGGTGGCGCTTGACTCTTTGATTTTGTCGACCATTTCACCTCACCTTTTTCCCGAGGAAGGGAGAGCCTTCTAATGAGGCTTGCTCAGCCGATGTTTTTGCTTGAGAGAGAGAGAGCGAGAGAGAGAGAGCGAGAGAGAGAGAGCGAGAGAGAAAGATAGCGAGAGAGAGCAAGAGAGAGAGAGAGAGAGAGAGAGAGAGAGAGAGAGAGAGAGAGAGAGAGACAGAAAAAAAGAAGATTAATCTCGTGCGACGGAATCGGGACAATTTTTTGACCTATTTGGCGTTCAAATAACATTTGTCCTTTTCTCTAAGCTAAGATAACCCTAGGGCTCTTTTCCTTGCTCTTTTAACGGGACTCGCAAGTGCGGGATTCGACCCCTGAAGTCTCCTAGGTGTCGACAAGTAGGCGACATTCCGAACAACGTGAGAAAACGAAATTTTGCTAGGTTTTCGCTCGAGCACAATAATGAGCTCCACCCGTCATTTGGAGTGTCACGTAATTTTCGAGGTCTAGTGGTGAAAAAACATTGATTCTCTCACCTAACAGTCCTCTAAAACGTGAAAAATAACCTCAGCCAAACCCATAGGTCCGTTTATAAGGTTACGAAACCCGGCATTAATCTGTTGCTCACTGTTTTCGGTGCTTAGGATAGCAGGAGCAACACAAACAGGGCTCCCACGTGGTGCTGCTCCTCCCCAACCGGGTCCCACTCTAACACGCGTTACTCGCTGGCTGCGACCCGAGAACTCGTCATATGCCCCCCTCCTCCTTCTCCTGCTCCTACGGCTTTTCACCGCTCGACCGCTCACTCATCGCCACACACAAGCCGCAACCAACGACGACCACAAAATATGGCATTGATTCGGGCCGTTTTGCCCCCTCCATTGTCTGCTTGCATCGGGGGCAGGTAGAAGTGGTCCCGGCTTCTCCTAACGTGTTTTGTTGGGAGCGTAAGCTCAGGAGTCCGGCTCAGTACCTGGTCCTTGCCCAAATGCCAAGGGTCTTTTCTGAAACCAAGGGTCTTTTTCCGTTTTATTTTATTTCCTGGAGTTTGGCGAAATACAGGCTGCGTGTTTTTGAGCGTTTTTTTTTTTGAAGAATTCATATTTAATGACGGGGAGCTCGTTTTTAAGTGTTAAAATCCTAAAAAAGGTGGAATTTGGCGAATTACAGGCTTGACAATTTGAAACTTTTGGAAAAGCTTTTCAAGCACTGAATTTTGGTATTGTGATATTTTTCGAGCTTTTCGAATTTTTTTTAATTATTTCACGTTTTCCATTTAGTCATCGAAATTTCATCGAAATCTAGCAGCTGAAATGCCGAATTTATGAAGATTAGGAGAAAAAGTGACATTTGCTAGCGCAGAGTTGGAATTTTGGCTTTTTTGTCTTCCCCCAAATTTTCCCGCGTTTTCGAAAAAGCTGTTATGCAAATTTGGGACCGTCGTCCGAAAGTTCCTAAGATTTCAGAACGAGAATCCCAAAATTGCATTTTTGGGCGACACCAATTCGGGCCTTTCGAAATTAGCATTCTAAGAATTTCTGAATTTATTGCGCAACCCCTGAAAATAAAAAAGTTTCGTTTTTTGGGATTCTGTTTCACTTAATTTGAATACATGTTTTCCATAGTCCTTTCCACTTCATAACCGTCAAAAATTCAGAAACTCCCCAGACGCGATGTTGCTACGAGTCGGCCGGGATCGTGTCCGCCTCGCCGGGGCCTACGTTGGGCGCAGCTTGTCCCATCAGGTGCGTTTTGCACGTAATGACGTAGGGATACGGTAGTTTTTGTATTAAAAAACTGCTAAAATTCGTTAAATTAGAAAGCTTATGCTCCAAATTTCAGGCTTGTACCCCTCTGAACGATGAGAAGGCGAAGGAGATCGACCAGTGCTACTCACGGCTCGATCCGACGTTTCGGAATACGCAGGAGGCGTTTAAGGTACGGAAAGGCTAAAGCCTAAGCCTAAGCCCAAGCCTAAGCCGAAGCCTAAGCCTAAGCCTAAGCATAAGCCTAAGCCTAAGCCTAAGCCTAAGCCTAAGCCTAAGCCTAAGCCTAAGCCTAAGCCCACTGATTTATCCCTTCCAGTCCAAATCCAACGGCGAGCTCCTCCGGGCCATCTCCGTGCTCCAGGCCTGCGAGTACGACTTTCTGGTGCAGAACAACATGCGTATTCTGAACACGCTGCGCCGGGTGCTCGGCAAATCGCTGTTTACCAAGGTATTTTGGATCCTTGCCTTTCGATGACGTCTATTTTTTTCTAGCTCCTGCAGAAGACTTTTTACGGCCATTTTGTGGCTGGCCAGGATGAGAAGGAGGTAAAAATTAAATTTTGAGTACAAGTTTTGCTCTCTCAGGTGATGCCGACCGTCGAGAAGTTGAAGCAGTTCGGCGTCAAGTCGATCCTCGACTACTCGGTGGAGGCCGATCTGTCGTCGAAGCAGGCCGAGGAGAAGACGAAGACGCAGAGCTTGGCCCCGAAGCCGGAGACGTCGGATGTGAGCACATGTTTTTTAGCTCTCTCTCTCTCATGCTCTCCCTATCGCTCTTTCTCACTCCAAGTTTTCCAGGCGATCACCTCCTCCGGGCTCGTCGACAAGAATCTTCACGAGAAGACGCGCTCCCGCTATTCTGCGCACGCAGAATTCGCGGATCGCCGAAAGGACGTCTTTTCCGCCAGGTCAGTCTCATGTGGATTCTCTTGCTCATTTTAAAAGCCTGAGGTTGAGCTTTTGGGCCTCTGAACTGCTCGAATTTCTCCGAGCCCAGATGAGCTCAAAATTGGCGCTCAAGCCCTGGCTTCCGGCTTGCAAAGTCAACTTTAGAAACCCGTACTACTCGGTGTTTCCGAACGGTCCGTGGCTGATCGCACGTCGCTTTTGTACACCCGATTCGTATCGAATCAATGGGAAAAGGGCACGATACAGGCGAAATTCTCCGGAAATGTTTTCGCTTGAAAGGCTTGTGATTCGGTTTTAGGGGGATGAAAATGAGCAAGAAGCCCGGTTCTTTTGCATTAACGGGGGGGGGGGGGTTAGCGGGGGAGGAAAACGGAAATTTTTTGTATAATTCATGAAACTGTAACTCACAAAGCGCCGAGGTATAAAAACAGAATAAAAATAAAAACAAAAACACTGTATCGTGCCGTTTCTCCCATTGATTAGTTTAGCCTACTAAAAATGATTTTGGTGCCAAGAAATAACGCATAGCTCTAGTGTTAAAAGTAGCGAACGGTAACGTACTGATTTCCAGGACCTACTTCTACGAAGGCGAGGAGGAATGCGACAAGAACCGCGACATTTTCTGCAAGGTTGGGGTTTTCCGGTTCTCTCTCTCAATCGCTCTCTCTCTCTCTCGCTCCCTCTCTCTCTCTTTCTTGATAAACTCCGATTTTAGACTGTTGACGCCGTCGCGAAGGCCACTGCTGGCGAGGGATTTGCTGCTATTAAGGTATGTTAGGCGTAGCTGTCGAGACCTAGCCGTTTGGAGGGATCGATTTTCGCGCTTCCTTGGACCTTGAAAGCATTTTATTTGGCTTTCTGATTTATAGTCTGCATCCAATCCCTTCAGATCACAGCCCTCGGCCGCCCTGCCCTCCTGCTCAAGCTGTCCGAGTCGATCGCGCAGACGACTAACTTCTTCAACGCGCTCACCACCGGCCCTGACAGCATGCGCACGGAGAAGCGCCGCCTCACCGAGCAGGAGTTCATCGACAGGCTCAAGGTGAGTGGGGGTTGTTGAACTTGCTGAAAAAAGACTTAGACTTCTGATTTTTGCTCTTTTTTTGAAAGTTCTGAATTTGTTGTCCCTAGAAACTGATATTTCCTTGAAAAGTTGCGCATCTTCCCGTTTAGGAGTTCGGCGTGCGCACCGACTCGGACGAGGCGCGCAACTGGTTCAAGTCGGTCGACTTTGACAGCGACGGCCAGCTCGATTTCCACGGCTGGCAGCACTTGCTGGAGGAGAACAGGAAGCTGGGTGATATGTTCCAGGTGAGAGAGAGATAACGATAGAGAGAGCGAGAGTGAGAGAGAAAGAGAACGTGGTAGATATAAACTCAAACCTCTTAGGTGCTGAACATCAAGACCGGCAAGCTCGAGCCGCTCATCCAGAACCTGACATCGGATGAGGAGAAGGAGGTAGACCAAATTGTTTTTCTCTATTTTCGAAGTATAAAACGGAGCGTATCGTGTGAAAATATAGCTAGAAATTTTTTAGTTCGGCAACATGGTCAAGCGCACGCTCGCTGTTGCTGAACACGCGATTTCCAAGGGGGTTCGGTGAGTTTTGAGCATCTACTAGTTGCTGGAGTTATTTTATTTTTTAATGGAATTTTTAGAGTGATGGTCGACGCCGAGCAGACCTACTTCCAGCCCGCCATCAGCCGTATGGCCATCCAGATGATGAGGAAGTAAGTTGACGACAGCAGGAAGTACAGAGAGAGAGAGAGAGAGAGAGAGAGAGAGAGAGAGAGAAAGGGAGAGAGAAAGGGAGTGAGAGAGCGAGAAACAGTGTTTTGACTTATCCACCTTTTCAGATACAACAAGGACCGCGGCAACATCTTCAACACGTACCAGGCCTACCTCAGGAATGCCCTCGACGCCATGGAGTGCGACATGCAGCTGGCTCGCCGTGAGGGATGGCACTTTGGCGCGAAGCTGGTTGGTCTCCCTCATTCACTCTGTCTCTGTCTCTCTCTCTCTCTCTCTCTCTCTCTCTCTCTCTCGCACTGTCGAGTCTGCTTTTAAGGTCCGCGGCGCCTACATGGAGCAGGAGCGGAAGCGCGCGGCCACCGTCGGCTACGACGACCCGGTTAACCCGGATTTCCAGGTGGGTAGGCTTCGCTTAGGTTTTGGCTCAGGCTTAGCTTGGATTCTGTGCTTAGGCTGACTACAAGCGCTTTTTTTAGGCCACCTCGAAAATGTACGAGAAGTGTTTGACGCGAATTGCCGACGAGTGCGACAGGCGAGGACGTGGGCACGTGTCGGTGATGGCCGCCTCGCACAATGAAGATACGGTATGTCGGGCACATTTTTGGCTTGAGTATAGCGTATCGTAGCCTACGTAGCGTGTCGTAAAGTTTCCTAGCATAGCGCTACGTAGCATATGGTGGCGAACGTATCGTAGCGTAGGAGATTTCAACGAAGCGTGGTCTAGTCATGCTCCCAACATACGACGAGTAGCAACACGAGCACGACCTCATTTTCCAGGTCCGTTTCGCCGTCAACCTGATGCGCGAGCGGTGCTACGCGCCGAGCGAGAAGATTCTCTGCTTCGCCCAGTTGTACGGAATGTGTGATCAGGTCCGTCTCTTTTTCTCTCCTCTCTCTCTCTCTCTCTCTCTCTCTCTCTTTCTCTCCAACCCGATCTTCCAGGTCTCGTTCTCCTTGGGCCAAGCCGGCTACTCGGTCTACAAGTACCTCCCGTACGGCCCGGTCGAGGAAGTGTTGCCCTACCTCTCCCGCCGTGCCCTCGAGAACGGCTCCCTGCTCAAGAAGGCCAACCAGGTGCGTTGCCGATCTTGCCAAAGCACCCATCCCCATTTCCAGGAGCGCAGGCTGCTCATCAAGGAGTTCCGGCGTCGCCTCGGAGCCGGCCAGTACTTCTACAAGGCGCCCGTCCCGTCGGTCGTCGCCTGAACTGCTCCGTGATGATGCCAACAATTTAAGCTGCCCTATCATTTTTGTTTCCCCAGCTCGTCCCCCAAAAAGCCTCCTCGTTACTTCCGCGCACACCCACGAACTTAGGTTGTTACAGGCGGGTATATTTTGCTAAGATATTACAGACTACAGACTATAAAAAAGTAAGCCCTTCCCTCCCCCCAGATCTTTCTTTTCTTTCCCTTTTGCCCTTTTTTGTGTTTTTCTGAATTTTTTCCTTTTTTTAAGAACTACCGTAATCAGTCCACTAGCGTACTCTGCCCCCCCCGACCCCCCGCCGACTAATAAGAATTTACGATAGAATAGTCCATTATCCCGGTTTCTCTTGATATCACCCTGCTGCCCCGCCACCCTCGATATTTGCTGTGTTTCCTTTACTTGGCCCTGTGACCATCATATTTCTTTCTCGGTGATAAAGCTATCTTAACGTTTAGATGAAGGAGGAGGAGATGATGATGATAAATTTTTTATATGACGAAAAGCTTTATACGCTACGCTACAATACGCTATGCAATGCCACCTTACGCTACGCGATGATACGCTACAGTAAGCTGCTGTGCTCTAAAATCCGGACGAAATGGTGCTTAAGACTATGAAATAGTACGTTAGAATACCCATAAAAATGTTCCGAAAGCTGCTATACACAGTACGCCACAATACACTGCACTAGAACGGTACACTACAACGCTAAGATAAGCGATACATACACGGCACACTACGCTACGGTACCCTGCGACCTGTTACATGTACGTCACGCTCTGCATTACACGCTTCATGTGTACTTCAAAGTAAACTACAGTACACTGCAATACGCTACGCAACGTTAAGCTACGGTACCCTACAGTACGCTCCAGTACGGGGCGAAACGCTACGCTAGGCTATGCTATCCTTGTAAGCTACGGCGCGTTGCTCTACGCTACAGTACACTACACTCTGCTATGCTACGTTACACTACGCTACGGTCCCCTGCAGTACTGCAAAATTTTACGCCACACTAGGCAACTGTACACTTCAATACGCTACGCTTTGCAACAGGTACGGATGCTTGGCAGTTACGTCACGCTACCACGAATGCTTTCCAGGTAATTTTCCAGATAACAAACTACAATGCCAACGCTGAGCTCTACGCAATTTTTGACCGGCATGCCTAAAATCAAAAGCACTTTCCCCGATCTCTGCTCAACAACCCTACCGGCCTCTTTGCAGTGCATGTTCGTTCCTTTCGGCGTGAACGGCGAGAAAAGAGCCTGATGAATCTCTTCACCGTTACCGCAACGAACCCCCACATCTGCAATGTATGTTTCGGGAACGGGGGGGGAATGTGCCCCCGACGGCCCCAACCGGCTGGTTCCGGTTCATTTTTTCTGGCACCCGTTGAACCGGCCGGGGCCCAAGCAGGATTGGTGTTTTGCGGTGGAAACCTTGGGTTGCTGCTGAACAGTGGAAGGCCAACGTCAAGAAGATGCACATTAAAAGGTGAGTAGTAAGTGGTAGGCGGCGAGTCTCGCACAGATTCGGCAGTAGCCTTCACTCTCGATTTTTACAGATTCTCGTGATTTTTATCTATTTGTTTTCACATAGCCTTAGCCATTTTTCGCTGGTCACGTCAAGCGCAAAAAACCGGGTTTTATGAGAACGTAGTTTTCAGATATTTTTTTTTAGTTTTTAAAGGAAAAAGGTCATCAGATTGGTACTCCAATTTTCGGCTATCCTGCGCAGAGCACTCTCATGCTCGTTTCTACGAAAAATCTCTCTCACTATCTCTCGGTCCCACGCTCTCGCTATCCCTCGTTCTCATTCTCTCGGCCTCTTCTTCTCTCGTTGTTTTCTGTATCTCGCCCTCTCGCTATCTCTATGGTTTCTTTCCCTCGTGGCGTTTCTAGCACTCTCCTTTCTCGAGCTTTAAATCATCGCTCTCTCTCTCCCCCCCCCCTCTCTCCTACTCTCTCTCTGCCCCTGCGCCTCACTATCTCTCTGTCCCTGTTACAGTCTCCCCCCCTCTCTCTCTCACTCTTTCTCTCTCTTTTTCTCTCTCTCTCTGCTCTCTCTCTCTCTCTCTGCTCTCTCACTATCTCTCTGTATCTGTCACAATCTCTCTCCCTTGCTCTCTCTCGCGCTCATTCCCTCTCTCTCGCGCTCATTCCCTCTCTCTCTCACTCCACTCGTTCGCTCATCGGTCGGTTATCGGTTTCCCGTGTCCGGGGTCCGAGTCAGTCAGTCAGTAAATGGCCGGGCCACTTGGTCGTCTTAGTGCCCAAAGATGTTTTAGCCTTAAAGAAGGGAGTGGTGGTGGTTGTGGAGCGGGGGTCTGCCTTGGGGGTAAAGGAGAAGCATGGCCAGCCAGCCGCGCGGCCTTCACCAGCGTCCGGAAGTCACTTTTCAACACGCACTCCCGCTCGATTGCCCGCTGCGGAAAAGGCTTATTTTTCCGCAAATTCTGCCCTGGGCCTTGGGGGCAGGGCAGGCAGCTTTTCGATCCGTCCCCAAAACTTGGTGGTTATGGAATTATGTTAATTTTTTAGGGTCTCTTGGGGTGTAGGTTACCGTGTTTCGCAGCGAGCTATCGCTGAACTCAAGCGGCAGAATTTGACGCTGTGCGACTGCACTTAAATTGCTTCGAACTCCTGCATACTGGCCTGTAACTTGGCGGCTATGGCGTCATGCTAATTTCTAAAGAATTTGGTAGGGTATGCTCACGCTCAAAACTTTTCTAGAACTAGATCACACTGACCTAAAAATTTTTGTTGTAATAATTTTGGAAGCTCGTAGCTTATGCCAGCAAATTTTAATCTTACATTCTCAAGGCCAAAATTGGTGAAATCGATAATTATTTTTCCAGTTTTCCAATTTTTAGTGCCTTTCCGAGGAAATTTGAGATGCTGTAAATTAGCATACGGCTTCTCATCGTTTTTCAAGGGTTTTAAACTTTTGAAAATTGTTCAGGGCGTATGCGAACTACCTTACAATTCTTCAATTTGTGCTAGATGTCCGCATTATCAAAAACAGCGTAGCTAAATTTTGGCAGTGTTCGAATTTTTTTGGGTTTTTTTGGACAAAGGGCAAAGCTAAAAAATAGGAGCTGATCTTACACTTGAATTTTGTCGGTTTTTTACCATTTTTTTAGCCTGATTAGGTAAAAAAAAAGATGAATTATATTCCGGAATTACCCTAATTCCGGTATAATTTTTTTTATGCAACCGTATTTAGATAGTGAATTTTGTGTGAACGCAGCTTTTGATTTTTGCGATCCTAAAAATTTCCAGAATCATAGTTTTGAGAGCCCAGATTTTAAAGGGGTTTAAAGCGAGTTTTCAGGACGTTTGCATTTTTCCTCTCCTAATTTTTGCCTCATCTGAATCATTCAAAATTTTTTGAATTTTCAGTCTTTCCAGACTCACCGATGGTCTCCCGTTCTCGAATCGCCCCTTGTTCGTGAAGCGTGGTGTTGAGGAGGGGACGGCCGGGATGCAGCTCGACTGGGTCAAGCGCACGTCGCAAAAGGTCGGTCCTTTCAGTCCTCGGCTTCATCTGGGGGCTCCCAATTGACGCGCCCGCATCTGGCCCGCATAAAATTGATGTTCGCCGTTTAATGGGAGGGGACGGAGGAGGACATTTGTACCGGGAGTAACGAGCTATTAAAGGGACGGTGAATGCAAAGTCAGACCCTCCGGCATTATTGATAATGAAATTTTACAGAGCATCTTTAATCCATCTTTCTCTCTATCTCTCTCTCTCTCTCTCTCTCTCTCTCTCTCTCTCTCCGTCTCTATCTCTCTCTCTATCTCTCTCTTCCTCTATCTCGCTTTCCCTCGCTTTCCCTCGCTTCCTCTCGCTCTCTCTCTAGCTGGCTCTCTCTCGCTATCACTCCATCTGTCTGTCTCTCGCTCTCTCTTTCTCTCTCTCTCGCTCTCTCTCGCTCCCCCTCTCGCTCTCTCTCGCTCTCTCTCGCTTTCCCTCGCTTTTTCTCTCTTGCTATCGCTCTCTCTCGCTCGCTCTCTCTTTCTCTCTCTCTCTCTCTCTCTCTCTCTCTCTCTCTCTCTCTCTCTCTCTCTCTCTTGTTGCTCAAATCTGAAAAGATCACGGAGAATCAACACCCGACTCCAGTCAAGCCGAAAAAACGGCCGCTGCTAAATCGAATTCGGGTTTAGTGAGGCGATGAAGGGCTTGTCGAAAAAACCCATCTTGTTTTTCACCCCGGATTCTTTTTCAAATTTGTTTTTCTTAGTAGTTCTGAGTTTTTTTTTAGTATCAATTCAAGTTACGTTTTTGATCATAGTTTCAACATTAAATTTGATACAAGGTTATGAACCAAGCGTACGAACGAAAATGCCGACAAAAAACTATCGGCCACTCTAACCGACCTACAAGTCAACCGAAACGCCAAATCCCGACAATTCTTTGCGTATTTCGAAAATCGCGATTTTGGCCCGTTGAGGCTTCGCCGAGCTTTTCACTGTCGGGATCCTGCAGGAAAGCCAATTTATCAAATATCATTTTTCTGGAATTCTCCTTTTTTGAGAGGCCATTTCGTCGAAATCCGTATTTAAATTTGCGGCACTTTTGAGAAGAATCATTTTCGAAAAAGCGAAACCCGTGCAATTTCGACAAAAAAAATCAATTTTTCGGTAAAGTGAATTACGAGAAAATGACTTTCGACAAAATAAATTTTTGACTAAAGGCAGCTCACCCAAAACCATTAGGGAAAAAGCCATTTGAGCTCAATCTCCGCTCGGTTACATGTCAAACCCCTCTCCCTGCTCCGACCCCAGATAATCGCAATTTCTTCCCATTGCCGCGCATTGGTCAGCCAGTGGCCATTGGACCCGTTCGGCTGTCGGAGCTACGGTCAATTTAGGGGATTGGCCCCCGGGCATCGTGTGGTTGGACAAATGGGCTGTCTGGCCCTGGGTTGAGATGGCCGCTGGGAGGGTGGATTCCTGACCCGGTGGCGCGCTCCCCGCACTTTGTTGCGTGTGGGAATTGCTTTTCTGGCGTCGCCTTTTTAGGCCTAAGCTTCGGGCTATTCTTTTTCTGCGCCTCTTTTTTCGCGAAATCGTGGGTCGCATCTGAGGCCGATCTTTAAGACGCTAATTGAGATTTACTCCCGCTTGGGTTTTGCCACAATAATTCCGGTTTTCGAAGCCTTAGAAAAGCTTTTTTCTTGTTTCTGCTCTCTCTCTCTCTCTCTCTCTCGCTCTCTCTTTCTCTTTTTCCGTCTCTCTTTCTCTCTTTCTTTCTCTCTCACTCTCTCGTTCACTCTCTCTCTCTCTCTCTCTCTCTCTCTTCACTCTTAGAAAATTTGGTTCTCAATCAGGGGGAGAGGCGGTAAGCTAACTTTTTCTTTAGTATCCAATTTTCTAATTAAAATAGAGGAAATATTTCTAAGTCTTTTTTACTATTGTCAAAAGCAATAACTAGGAAATTTTAGTAAATAAAAAGCCTATTCTACGCGCAAATAATGGCCGATTTTTTCCGCAAAATTTTGAATTTTAAAATTTTCCAGTTCTAAAAAGGTTTTGCCATTCGGAAATAGTTAAATTTTACTAAAAACAGTATCAGATGGTTGAATTATGTATTTTTAGGCACTAAAAAAATTTGCGGCCCCCGAGATAATGCACAAGCGCCACAATTTTATCCACATTTTGCAAGGTATTAATTCGGTTGCTACCAGCTTTTGCCCCTCCCATCCATCCATCTTCTTAGCTCTTAGCGTACGAATAATCCCCCTAGTACCCCTCTTTCCGCTTCTTCTTCTCCTTGATTCTGCTGCCCAGGACGACCATCGCGCAGTGCGTACCAAGAAAATGAAAGTGGATCTCGGATTTCAGGGAGGGCCATCCCTTTGCTGGCCTCTCTCCGAAAATAGTGGCGCGCATCCGGGGGGACTGAGCAAGGGCGTAAATTCAGCCGAAGCGGATGCGCTTAGCGCCTCTTGATGGATTTGATCGAGGAGCAGCAGATTTTTTTCTGGAAATGCAGGCTTAATTCGATTCTACGATAAACTTTTCGAAGGGATTTTTATAACAAGATTTTTTGCTGTGTTTCTGAAGCATGAGAACGATCTAAAAGGGGTGGAGCATGAGTTTTTTATCATAGATTTCTGCAAGTTTTGGGTTCAAGCTGGCTGAGCTTTCGAAGCCATTTTTTAAACAGAACCATATTTTGCCGCATACCTGACTTTCATAAGAACTATCAAAATGGGGTGGAGCATGAGCTTTTTCTCGAAGGTTTCCCGAAATTTGGACTCAAACCGTTTAGGATACGCTTTCGAGGCGAATTTTTTTATATCAGGAAATGGAATTTTCCGCCAATCTGCAAAACTTTGAGGAGCTCTTGCTCAGCAATTTTTCTCAAAAAATCGCTTTCTCATGCTCCTTTTGAACCAGCTCTAGCATCCAAGCCACGTTTCACAAGCCATTTGTCAACCCGAAATTTGGACCTCCATCTGGGATACCCGGATTTCCAGCCCTGGTACAACATCGGGGTGGAAGGGTGGCTTTAGGTAAATTCCGGAAAGCGACTTGAATACGGGTCTTTTTGGAATTATTTACCTGAAGAAAATATTGACAAACTTTGGAACTACCTATGACAACTAATAAAATTCTTAAGCCGAAGATGCCGCTGAATTTTTAGCTTTAAAAACTGGCCCTTCGGAAGCCCGAAAAATCGGATCCTAAAAGTTTATATTTGAAAAGCTTCTTGAAAATATTTTTTTGGAAATTCCGGAAATTCCGGGACTTTTCAATCTTCGTAATTTTTAATTCCAGACAAATTTCTAAATTTTAGATTCAAAGAACTTCCTCGCAAGAACGCAAAAATACTACTGACTAGGGGCTAATTGCCCATTTACCCCGAAAAATGCCCTAGCGGCCCCGGGGGAATACACCACCTTTCAGGGACGCCGCCAAAAACCCTCGGTGGTCAATGCCCCCTCATTTACTCCATTCCGCCATCCTACGGCTCTTTTAATGCCATGAATTCATTTTTGGGAATGGAAAACTAAGCATTTATCTTGGCTAATGTTTTACTAACCCTCTTTCTCTCTCTCGCACTCTTTCCCTCTCTCTCTCTCTCTCCCTCTCTTCCTCTCTCTCGCGCTCTCTCTCGACTTTTCTCTCGCTTTCGCAATTTCATAATCTTTTTTACCTGAACTCCTCTAGATCGTCACCCCATGAAATTGCGAATCTCTAAAAAAGATCGAATACATGGCGGCAAAAAGGAGCCGATGTCGAAGGTAAAGCTGGCCGACGTTTCCAAGGAGTTCAGGCGTTGGAATTGGGGTCAGACAATATGTCACTAGCACGACTTATAAGATACAGAAAAGTAGCCAATCGTGAAAAAGCGCAGAATTCCGTTACTTTCCAAATTCCAGGCGACGCCCCTGCTCGTCCACCTGTTGATGATCGGCTCGGTGGGGTTGTATGCAGTACTCGGAGCTGTCATCATGCGAAAGCTGGAAACCCGGTCACTGTCTGATATTCGGGTAGAGGTGACGGAGAAGTGGAAGGATGTTCCAGGCATGTTTTTTAACCTATCTATCTATCTCTCTAACTCTCGCTTTCTCTCTCTCGCCCTCTGTCTCTCCCTCGCCACAAGTTACGATTCAGATTCAAAACTGCCACTAGCTGAAATCAGCACAACCGAATTTCCGCCAGTCGCAAAAGTTGAAGCCTGGAAACAGCCGTTTGACATCAGGTAAACGTGATTTTTTTCAAATTAGGATATTGAACGATTGATAAAATCTGAAAAATCGTATTAAATGTACAATAACAAATTAAATTAACTTAAATTCATAATCAATTAATTTTAGTGACGATGCGGCCAGGGAAAAACGAGCGGCAGCTGAAGTGATGCGGAGTCGAAAGTGTGTGATCACGATCCTGAAGGTACGTTAAGTCTCTCCCCCTCTCGCTCTTCCCTACCTCCCCATGTCTCTCTCAGTAAGCCTCTCCCTGTCTCTCTCTCGCTCTCGCTCTTTCTCTATCTCACTCTCGATTTCTCGTCTTCGCTCGATCTCCCTTGCTCTAAACTGATCCTATTTTTAGCAACTCCGCGGAAAGTGCGACATAACGTCCGTCGATGCCAGGACGATAAAAGGTGAGTGAAAGCGACTGAGCAAGCATGAGCTTTTTCAGAGCTCGATAAATGCTACCACGTCGCCGTTGAGCACAATACGCACACCAAGGACGTAATCTTCACCAACAGCGCCGAGCAGGTTGAGTCAGGTGAGAGAGCGAGAGAGTGAGAGAGAGAGAGAAAGAGAGAGCGGGAGAGAGCGAGAGGGTGAGAAAGAAAGAGAGCGAGAATAGCTAAATGAGTAGCAGAACAGCCGTTTCCAGTTGCCGAAGAACTCGAAGAAGTACTCCCATGGTCTTTTATGGACAGTCTACTTTTTGCTTTCACCGTTATCACAACTATCGGCAAGTTTCGATTTTTCAAGTAATTTTTGCGTACAGGATACGGTAACGTAGCTCCACGTACCTTCTGGGGTCGCCTTTTCGTGATCTTCTACGGCCTGGTCGGCATCCCGTTCACCCTGCTCGCCATCGCCGACATGGGCAAATTCTTGTCGGAAATTATGTTCGCCGTCACGAAGAGGTTCACCAAGTTTAAGCGGTAAGCCTAAGCCTGAATTTAAGTTAAAGCCTACGTCTTTTCAGGCGACTCCTCCGACTCCTCCCGGCCGGCAAGCGCAAGCAGTACAACTTCAACAAGCTCGATCCGGCAACCGCGGGAAATGCTACTCCGTTGAGCGAGAAAACGGCCAGCCTGGAGGAGGCGGTGAAGCAAGAGCAGGGAGAAGCCAAGGAGGATGACAAGGACAAGGTTGAGAACTTCAAGGCGTTCAAGCAAGGCTGGATTTAGGACTCCGTTTCCGGCGACGACGACATGGAGCAGGGACAGGCACTTCCGCTGTTCATCCTGTTTTTGATGTACATTGGATTGGGTCGGGAAGAACTCGGTAGATGAGCAAGGCCCTTTTAGGCGCGGTCATGCTCTGCTCCTATGAACCGGACATGGACTTCTTCAAGGCGGTGTATTTCAACTTTGTGACGCTGACGTCGATCGGGTTGGGAGATATTGTGCCGAGGAGGTAGGTACTTAAGTCCGACGCCCAATGTACGGTACCGTACATGTCGTAGTCTACCGTAGCGTATCGTACTTTTTAGTGAAACCTTCATGGCGTTGACGATCGTCTACATCGCCATAGGTTTAGCTTTGACGACGATAGCTATAGGTAATAGAGAGAGAAGAGAGAGAGAGAGAGAGGCATATCTAGCAAAATCATCTACCTAATAATAAAAAAATAATAATAGAAATCGCCGCCGACACCCTGAAGAAATTGCACTACTTCGGGCGCAAAATCGAGAACGTCGCCAACGTGCCGATATGGTTCGGCGGGAAGAAGTGAGCATCTCCTGGGAGCTTAGAATCCAGTTTTCAGGCTGACAATGAAGCAGTTGGTGCGCAACCTGGGCGACCAGTTCAATTTGCCGACGACGGCGATCAAGAACTTGGACCTGGACACGTTTGTCGACAACGCCATCAAGGTCGAAGCGGGAGAGCTGGAGACGCTCAGAGTAAGAGAGAGAGAGATAGAGAGAGAGAGAGAGAGAGAGAGAGAGAGAGGGAGAAAGCGAGAGAGAATAACTTGATCATCTACCACTTCAGCCACCTCCCTTCGAACCTGAGCAGGACGTCGACGACTTTGCCGACAACCACGACGAGATCCTAGGTGGGTGGCGCTGAACTTTTTCGTGTCGTTCGTCCATTCCCCTCTTAAATCCCGTTGCACACCCCAGCACACCCGGTGTGCTCTCAAGCAGCGTGCCGGGCTCGTCGCGCCATTTCGGCCCGTTTAGGCCCAGCTGCCGGCGACAGCCCGACGACCGAGGAGGAGGCGATCAACCCGGGCTGGGCCCCAGGGGTCCGGGCTTCTCGTCTCCCGCCCCCGCCACCGCCTAGGCCCCTGGGCCCAATATTCTTGCCCGCCCCCGCTCCCCCGGACACCACCTTCACAGACTTCCCCTAGACGCGCACTGAAATTTTTTATTTTTGCTTTTTGCTGTAGTCTATGATCGAATTTTTTGCCTTCCGCGTCACCGTGGAAAACGTGAAAAACAGAAAGCAGGCGGCGCGTACATGCCATGAAATTCTGAGTAATCGTGACCGCAACGCGACACGCAGAGCGGCCTTTTCATGATTTTCATGATTTGCCGAGCAGCCTGAGAAACCGGAAATGCCGAAAGTTCTAGATAGTTGTACCTGCAATAAGGGGTATCGGCGTATGGTTTAACCGTGGCGCGACACGCAGCGCGTGCAAGCTTCGAACCACGTGATGGTCAAAATGTCGACGTTTTAATATCTAAATTGTAATTTTTAGTGTTTAAAATGCGAAAAATGTGGAAATTTTTAGCGTATTTACATAGCGTAATCGGAGAACCATGCGTAAGCTTACGTAAATTATATAGCGTCTTGCGTCGCGCTGCGGACTCGGGCATCGGCCGAATTTCATGGCGTGTACGCTCCAATTCGCCTTTTTTTCGAAGCGGAATTTTCGTGACTCCGCTTATTAATTTACCGTGTTTGCTAAATTTAGCAAAAATACATATGCTACGAAATACGAAATTCAAAAAGTCAGATTTTAAGCCGTCCTTAAAGTACGTTGTGCCCAAAAAAGCTGGCTCCCCACTTTCACCCAAATCTGCCCTTTCCTCCGTCATCCCATCGAATCGGCATCGAATCGCAGCCCCAATTTCTACTTTTGCAAATAAACAACGTTTGTAGATTTATTTGTTGTAATTTCTACAAAATAATGGTTGTGAGAACATTTGAGTGGAGAGGTGTGAGTGTGTCTAGATGATTGGAAGCGAGACCCAACCCCGCCGCCGTCCCCTCCGCCACCTCCACGAAAGGTGAAGACGCCGCCGCTGCCCACGCCGCCACGATCACCATCGCCAGGCACCTATTTTTACATTTTTACAGTTTTTCTTTTAAATTACACTCTGGTATTAGTCGTAGAAGCAGTGAGTAGAAGATTCTCCACGAAGAAAAAAAAATCATAAAATTATTTAAAGATTTTTTGAAACTTGGGAGTTGCGCTTTATTATGCATTCTGGAATTAGGGATAAATGACGTGAGTAGAAATAAACTTGCATAAACTTGTTGATTTTCAGAACCAACACCTCCTCCCTCTTCACCAGAACCGGAACCGGAACCTCCGGAGCCGGAACCATCACCATCACCTCCCAGGGAACCGACACCATCGCCAAGGTACGAGCAAGAGAGATAGGGAGGGAGAGAGAGCGAGAGCGAGAAAGAGAGCGAGAAGGAGGGAGGGAGGGATAGACACAGAGAGCATGAGACATGGGTGCAATGATAAACACGTTACGATGGTCGATTCTAGACCAGAAAGCCCCGAGCCAAGCCCGGAGCCCTCGCCAGAACCAACAATAGAAGAGGTCCCACTCCCGCCTGAGCCTGAGCCCGAGCCCGAGCCTGAGGTTAGAAACTAACGACGCCTAAAATTTGATTTTTAGGAAGCCCTGATACCACCGCCAGAACCCCGAAAACAACCGAAAAGTAGGTTTCTCTTTTTGATTGAACTCCTTGAACTTCTTGAAATTGAATTTTTGCTTCTATTGTCAAGACCCAGCCTCCATAAAAGGTCGATTCTCGCGTTTAATATACCCTTAACACACTTACCATCAGCGGCCTACTACGTCCTGAAATATCAACGTTGGTTCCCTACAGAATTTTCGATTTTATGACTTTTTTATACAGTAACCTAGAGTTTACTACCATTTTTGGATGTCATTTTTATTTCCATTAGCGAGAGAGAGAGAGAGCGTGACGGAGAAAGAAAGAACATCTTTCAGAAAAAACCTTGACCGCCGCCGAGTTGGCCGCCCAGAAGCGGAAGGCGTATAGCGAAGACGCCTGGCGACGTTATCAGGAGTATCAGAGTGTAAGCTACCTCTTAAGCCTGAGCTAAGATCAAACTCTAAGCTACGCCTAACGCGAGCATAAGCCCAAGCCTAAGCCAAGCCTAATCCGAGTAAAACCTAAGCCTAACGCAAAGCCTATGCCTTTCAGCAATGGAAAAAGTTCCGGCAGACGAAGCACCAGCCAAAACCCCCGGCAAATCCGAGGGCTTCAAGCGGAAGTCGCCCCTCCACGGCCGGCGCCATGAGTACAGCTTCGTAAGTCGTAGATCTAGGTGCATTAATTAAACGTCGAACTTAGATCTCGTCCCGGTTCCTCGGCCTCCTCCCGCCCGGGTGGGTCCCGCCGCGAATCCCGGGCGAACAGCCCGGAAAGCCTTCGCACCAGCTCTTCGCGCATATCTTGAATTGTCCTTTCAGTTTTTCGTTTCTGTCAATAAATATTTAGTATACGTCGAGAGAGAGAGAGAGAGAGAGACCGAGAGAGGGAGCAAGAGAGCGAGAGAGATATTATGTTTTCTATACCTTGAATTAAATTTTTATTAAATGGCAGTAGCTCAAAGCAAAAAAAAAGCGAAAACCAAATCCTTATTTTCCGTGCGACGTGATGGTATGGTTTAGCCTGGAAGCATCGGGGTATACGCGGTGGAGATTGGAGTGCAGCTGCTGCTGCTCACGCGGCTTCTTCTCCGTACCCTGGTACGGTAGCATACGGGATTGTCGGGTCGGCATCTCGGCACTGCCCGCCATGACCACGTTCGCATTGATGTAGGCCCTGTCGTTGGCCACCCACTCGCCGGGGTCTAGAATGGATGGATAAGCCTAAACCGAAGCTCAGCCGAAGCCGAAGCTAATTCTAAACCAAGCCTAAGCGAATACAACTTACCCTGGTTGTAGATGAACTCGCCGCACATCTTCGTGCGGATGAATTTCACGAATGCGGACGTCTCTTTGAAGTTGAAGGCGATGCGGACCGACCTTCTCTAGAAGAACAGGATTTTTAAAGGGGTAGAGACGGAGCGAGAGAGAGAGAGAGAAAGAGAGAACCTTCTTACCTTGGCATCCTGCATCTGTCGGCTGAGGTCGACATGCAGCGAGATCATGTAGAACTTGATGCACTTGTGCAGGTCGCCCATCTTGCACGGGTCGACGGTGTAGCTAGTAAAGGATTAGATGTTGTAATCGATCCCTTACTATTCCCTGACGATGTTGTCCCCATCGATGTAGATGTGGAAGAAGATGTCCGTGCTGGCGAGGGGACTGCCTGGAAATTTTGGATCCTCTTTCTCACTCTCTCTATCTCTCTCGCTCGCTCTCTATCTCTCTCGCTCTCTCTCTCTCCTCACCTTTATACGCGACAATCGGGTCGGTTCGGATGTCAATCGAGAAGTCGGGCCTGCCAGGCACGGTCTGTACCAACGTACAGTCGATCCAGGCCGGGTCGTCTCGGTCTTGGAGCGCTTAATATTCTGTATATTACATATCCGATAACGTCAAGTTTTTATACTTCAAATATCATTAAGCCCGCTCCACAAAGCTTCCCAAAAAAGTCGAAAATTGACAATAATCGCAATATAATTTTTAATAAGGTTATTCATCCAATTTTTGACATCAGAGAAAAAGTCTAGCTCTTCCTTAGCTGTCATTAATGCTCCAATACCTCTAGCCTCCTCGGCGACGACGGCCGAAGATGCCAACAGCAACAAAATAGCCGATTTCAAGGCGGTCATCTCAGCAGGAAGAGAGAGGGTGAAAATGCGCCCCGAAATCGCTCTAGCAGCTCTTTTATCTAAGGCCCCGAATGATTGACAGGCCGTTACAGGCTTCTCAACGCCATCTGCCTCTTTGAATCAAGGTTTGTGATGTATTTAGATAGCATAAGTTGTTCGCTGAACCGTACGAAGGGCTTCAACGAACGAGCAGAGATTTTTGGGTTTCCGGTTAAAATTTGAAAGAGTAAAAACCTAAATTTTTTTCCGTTAGTTTTAACTGCAGCGATCGTTATGACTCAACGAATTCAGCGAGTGCAGCACAGCGCGTAAAAAATTGCATTGGGTAAGGGTGAGGAAATTCAACGCGTCAGCACGGCGTTATCAGAATTCTTAGGAGATTTTCTGACGTCCTAAAATTGTCTAATTCATTGGCAAAGTCTACGAAAACGATCGAATCGACGACTAAGCGAGAATTCCGCCATTTCCGGAGCTCTACTATCGACGTCAATAATTTTTGTCCGGAGAATGTCGATTTGCTAGGGAAAACCTGTATCAAATCCTTTCATCTACCTTCTCGATTTATGATTATAATGTCGAAATTGATAATGTCGTAGTTCACAATTTAGAATTTTTGCATTGGTTTTTCCCGGGAAATTTGCTTTGGAAATGAGAAAATGTGATACCTTGTGTGTCAGGCAGTGAACTCAAAACAGACTAACTCTGTATGTATTACCGCTAAAGGGCAATTCAGATTGCAGTTGCGAAGAGCTCGTGCTCAATTATTTATGCTCTGGCAACCAATTCTGCGTGTCTTTTCTTGACGTACGCTTCCGGCACTCACTTTTTAACGTTTAAAAAGCGCCGTTGACCCCAAAAATCTCATTCTCAATCACGTGAGCTCGAGCCCCAAAAATGGGGAACAATCTCCGGACGTGCTGACGTGTCTACTAGTTCTTTCCACTCTTCCCAGCCTGCACAATTGAAATCCGGCCGGTGACATATTTGATCGAATTCCCAAAACGACCTGTCAATCGGCCGTTGCCGATCAAATGTTGCCGGCCGGCTATCAGCAAGCGCGTGAACAACGACTGCCGATTTTATGGGCCGATAGCTGCGTGTACGGCACAGGGAAACGAGCTGATCGTTACAGTAACGGGGGTCTGGTCCCGACGCCAAAGGGGAAGCAAGAAGTGTATTGATTCGGAAAAAGCGTCACCTAATTTCGGTTCCGCGGTTTTGCTAAGCTTAAGGTCGATTTACAGAGAGCCGTAGGGACCGCTACGCAATGTTACGCGCTTTACGTCGCAAACTTTTCCATATATAGGCATGGCTGCCACCGATAAACTGTAACTCAACACGTACGACTAGCTGCGCAGTGGTACGCGACGCTACGCGTGCTGCTTACCTTCCTTTTTCGCAAGAATAATTCCAAACGCAGATTATGCTTCAGAGCTTGCATATTTCTGACGGGCTTTTTATAAAGAATCTGAGAGAGAAAGAGAGAGATAGAGAGAGTGAGAGAGTGCGAGAGAGAAAGAGAGAGAGTGAGAGAGAGAGCGAGAGAGAGAGAGAGGGAGAGGGGAGGGAGAGAGAAAGTGAGAGAGAGGGGGGGAAGAGAGTGAGATATGCATGAACGGTGGCGAGGCGGGAGAGAAATTGAGCAAGAGGTAGAGAGACCCAACGAGCGAGCGCGAGAGTGAGAGAGTGCGAGATAGAGATAAAGTGAGAGAACGACAATGCGAGAAAGAGCGAGCTTGAGAAATATCGAGAAAGAGTTAAACAGCTTTCTTCTACGATGTTTCTAGCTCCGAGCTCCCTGCTTCAGCTTTACAAATAAAAATCGGTTTCAGAACCGGACACCAGAAACATCTGATTGCCACCTTCACCAAACCCCCCATTTTTCGCAGCTTTGTGTTTGCATTTCCCCAGAGGCAGCAAGGGGTTTCCCCACCCGCAGTGTTTCCCGCGTTGCCAGGTGCGCATAGCGGGACCCGAAAAGTGGCTGCTCTGGCTGGACACAGTTTTGGCCCCGGGCCCAGCTGCCTCCGCACCTTTGCCGTTGTTTGTTTCACCTAGTTGACCAATTTGTCACCTGCGTGGGAAGTGAGGGACCTTCAAAGGTGTTGGAATTTGGCCGAACAGCGCAAAATGGTGAACTTCAGCTCTAGCTTAACCTAAGCCCAAGCCCGAGCCTAAGCCTAAGCCTAAGCCTAAGCTTAAGCCTAAGCCTAAGCCTAAGCCTAAACCTAAGCCTAAGCCTAAGCCTAAGCCTAAGCCTAAGCCTAAGCCTAACCTAGGCCCAATCCGAAACCAAGCCAAATTCTAAGTGGGTGCTTAGCTTCAGTCTACGGAGCCCTAGGCTCGCCTAAGCCTAAGCCTAAAAAAGCTCAACATAAAAATATAATTTTGATTTTTCCCGATTTTCTTACGACCTTTCCCCAATTCCGGGGCTGTACTCTCTTTCCATTCCCGGCTGTCGTCTCTACATAAAAATGAGTGTGAGAGCACAACCACCCAGTGGCCCACAGGTGCCATTTGCCGCTCTCTTTTCCTGGGCCTCCCATATTGCCAATTTCCGCCCAACCTCTACAATTTTCTCCGGGCGTTGGCCACTCTAGGCAAAAGGGGGGCAGCTGAAGCCCTGTATCGGAATTGATTCCATCCACCCACCCCCCCAACTCGACCCGCCCAAATGCAATAATATTTTCTAGATGTCCTGTATTTTCGGGGGTGCTGGAAAATACTTGGATTTGGGTTCCGGGCTTCACTAGGCTTCGCGAGCGTTGGACGATTTTTGATTAGTTCTCTGGATCGTTCCTTTCCACCTGACGCACGTACTTTGAAAAACGAAGAAAAAACGGTGAAAATACTTACAGTACCTGCTTGTGAGCTTTGGGTTCCGGTTAGCATTAAACTTGGCTGGATCGGTTTTTTTTTTATTTTTTCGAAATCACTGGTCTTGTCGCAGATCCTTTTGTCAAAATATCATTTTGTCGGAGCTTGTCCTCAGCTTCCAACCAACAGGGACTCAAAAGCCCAGTTTTTGGTCGTTTCCGGTTTTTCTTTTTTAGGTTTGTGCCGACTTGCGAGTCTTTATTTTTTTCTTGGGGTTTTCAGCATTTACTGACGTGGCTTTTCGACGCTTCAGAAAAGCGTTTTAATTTTTATTTTTCTGTATTTTAAAATGACAAAAAAGCAAAAAGATTTTAATTTATTAAAACGAAAGGGCAGGTATTTTTCAGGCTAGTTGGAGTAGCAACATTTTTCCAAGGTGCTCGGTTGCATCAATTAATTATGATTTCCTACAATTACCTTATTTATACTTTTTTGGTTTTTCATAAGCTTCTTGAAAAGCTCTACCGTATTTTAGACTTGGTGTCCGCCTCTGTCTCTACCATAATGGCCGAGACAGTACGCGTCGTGTGTCGATGTCGGCCGCTCAACGACCGCGAGAAGGCCCTCAACTCTAAGGTGGTTTTCTAGCCTCAATTTCCGGTACCGAAATTCCGGTCCAATCCGGTCGTTCCTTATTTCCGCCATTGCCCCTTGTGTTCCAATTTCCATACCAAAGTCGTAATTCCGTTTTGACCCAATTTCCGCATCGCTCCAAAAAGCGAAGACGCACAAATTTCCGCCTTCCCCGGGGGCGAAGCCTATAAATTTTCGGTTTTCAAGTGGTCTTTTTGTGTTTGGAGAGGGAGAGAGAGAGAGAGAGAGAGAGAGAGAGAGAGCAGCCCGGTCACCTTGGATACACAAAAATACCCTGGGGGCATTTCGGTGGTTGGGGGCACAGGCTAATCATCGGGTCCAAATTGGTCTCCTCGGGGTTAGGGGAGGGGACGAAGGTTCCGATTTCTGACATTTGGTAGACAATTAGAGGGTAGAAGGCGGATAATTAGAGGGGTTTGGTGGAGTCAAACTGTCGTCAAAATGGTCGGATTGATGCCATAAGGATAAAATAAGTCGGAATGTAACAAAAAGAAAATGAAAAAATTGCTAGATCATCATCGATCTCTACCTATCTCTCTCTATCTCTCTCTCTCTCTCTCTCTCTCTCTCTCTCTCTCTCTCTCTCTCTCTCTCTCTCTCTGTGTCTCTCACTATCTTCTTCTGCTCTCACTCACTCTTTCTTTCTATCTCTGCATCAGGTAGCTTAGTTTTCCCGTTCAATGACAGAATGAGAAATCAAAGGAAAAATGTGCAGTAGAAGAGACGAGCGAGAGACAAATAAAGCTAGAGAAGTTAAGTGAGCATGAAGTAGCGAACCAGAATGAGCAGGACCAGAAGAAAAAAAAGCGAAATCAGTAAAAAAGCCGGTTTTAACGACAAGCTATAAAGATGGAAATCTTTAGGTATGTGTAGACATGGAGGGCCAGACCGGCCGAGTGAGCCTGATAGCTGACGACTCACCAAATAAGGTAAACCACCGTAGTAAAAACCGCAACTTTTGAATTTCCCAGGATTTCACTTTCGACGGCGCGTACTTCATCGACAGTACCGGGGAGCAGATCTACAATGAGATCGTGTATCCGCTCGTCGAGGTGACATACAGAGAGAGCGAGAGAGAGAGAGAGAGAGAGAGAGAGAGAGAGAGAGAGAGAGTAAGAGCGAGTGAGAGAGCGCGAGAGAGCCAGTCATTTTGAACGATTCAGAGCGTCATCGAGGGCTACAACGGAACCGTGTTCGCCTACGGCCAGACGGGCGCCGGGAAGACGTTCTCCATGCAGGTAGCATCAATTCGAGGATAGGAAATTAATTACATGTCTTAATTAATACAGGGTCTCGCCGACGTGGCCCCTCAAAAAGGCATCATCCCCAGGGCGTTCGAGCACATCTTCGTCGCCACCGCCACGACACCATCTACAAAGTTTTTAGTGCACTGTAGTTATCTGGAGGTAAGGTTTACCGTAAATTAATTTTTGGATTTTCTAGATTTACAACGAGGAGGTTCGAGATCTTCTTGGTGACGTCAGGGAGCAGAAGCTGGACATAAAGGTATAGGAGTGAGAGAGAGAGAGAGAGCGAGAGAGAGAGTGAGAGAGAAAGAAGAGAAAGAGCCTAAAAATTCAGGAACACTCCGATCGAGGCGTCTACGTTGCCGGCCTGTCGATGCACGTCTGCCACAACGTCAAGGACTGCCAACAGTTGATGAACAAGGGCTTCTCTAACCGTCATGTCGGCGCAACGTTGATGAACAAGGACTCATCGAGGTCACACTCGATCTTCACTGTCTACGTCGAGGCCCTAAATGAGGAAGGGTCTATCCGGATGGGAAAGCTGCATCTCGTGGATCTGGCTGGCAGTGAGCGGCAGAGCAAGACGGGTAGATTTTGAAAGCTACAATAGCTTCGGGCCAGACACATGTGAAAAATGGTAAAATCCAAAGAACAGCTGAAGAGCTATTCGCTACGCAACGCTCCTTTTTCCGTTCTAAGCTCATGGTAATTTTCAGGAGCCACTGGAGATCGATTTAAAGAAGCGACAAAGATTAACTTGTCGCTCTCGGCCTTGGGTAACGTCATCTCGGCATTGGTAGATGGGAAAAGTCGGCATATTCCGTACAGGGACTCGAAGCTCACGAGATTATTACAGGTATCTTTCTCTCTCTCTCTCTCGCGCTTTCTCTCCCTCTCTCTCTCTCTCTCTCTCTCTCTCACCTACTCAATCTTTTTCCAGGACTCCCTCGGAGGCAACACCAAGACATTGATGATAGCGTGTATCTCGCCTTCTGATAACAATTTCGACGAAACCCTATCTACCCTCAGGTACCATAGATCAAACTCCCCAGGTCCAGCTCGATAGGTATGCAAATCGAGCGAAGAATATCAAGAACAAGCCCAAGATCAACGAGGATCCGAAAGATGCGTTGCTTCGGGAGTACCAACTCGAGATCGAGCGGCTGAAGTCGATGCTCACTGGAGGGGCAGCTGCACCAGGGCAGAAAGGTGAGCGAGAGAAAGAGACGGAGAGAGAGAGAAAGATACAAAGAAACCGCCTAATTTTAGGCGGCTTCGACGTCGAGGCCGAGCGCCGGAACCTGCGCGCCGAGTTCGAAGAAGCAATGAACGAGCTGCGGGTAGCTTACCAAAGCGAGCAGTTGAGCAAGCAGAAAGTGGAGGAGGACCTGCAGGAGTTGAAGCGGCAGTATGAAGCGGTACCTTAAAAGTTGTCCGAAAATCCTGCTCTAGGCAAGCGCCGAGATTGATGCGATGAGCAAGGCTGGTCTTGATCCTCAGGAGGCAAAGAAGCGATTGGAGCTGATCCAGCAGCAACTTGTGGGTGTCTGATAAGGATTATGACATGAAATCGATTCAATTCAGGTCGGTGGCGAACAGGCGAACAATGAGGACTTGAAGAAGGGCAGGATGAAAAAGCTGAAGGATGCTGAGAGCAAAACGCAACGATTGGCAGGTGAGTGAGAGCGTAAGCCGACACGACATAGGCGTAGGCCAAGCCAGGCCTATGCCTAAGCCTAAGCCCAAGCTTTTCAGCCGCTCTAAACGTGCACAAAGACGACCCACTCCTACACGTCTACAGCACAACGCAGGAGAAGCTCGACGCTGTTAGCAGTCAATATCAGAAAGAGCAACGAAAGGTAAGAGAGGGGAGAAAGAGAGAGATAGCGAGAGAGAGAGAAATTATGGAAAATCTGTAAATTTAGGTAAAAGCTCTCGAAAGTGAGATCGAAGACCTTCAAGGAGAGTTTGAGCTCGACCGACTAGATTACTTGGAAACGATCAGGTCCGCAGGAAACCAAGCAACATCTTTCAACACCTGGGAGAAGTTCATTCAGATAATGCTGAACTTTTAGAAAACAGGACCAGCAAATCAAGCTCTTCGCCCAGATGCTCGACAAGATACATCCGCTGATAAAGAAGGTGAGCGAGAGAGAGAAAGAGCGAGCGAGAGAGAGTGAGAGAGAGCTAAGGAGAGAGGGAGTGAGTCAGAGAAATCTAATTACTCATTATTAGGACTGCAACTATCACAACCTGGAGAAGATCAAGAAGGAGGCGATGTGGAACCCTGATGAGGGAAAGTAGGTTTTGCCCTTGAATTTTTGAAAGTTGATGGATTAGATGGGCCCTTCCTGAAATGTCCATCTCGAAGACGACATTTCCAAACGCGGGTAATGGTATGGGTATGCTAAAAATGAAAATACAGAAAAAAGCGTATTTAGGAGCCGTTCGTAGCGAGCCGGTATCGAGGGCGGTTACGGACTACCATGACGAGGATGAGAGCAAATTGAGAAAGGTAAGGGATTTCTCTCTCTTTCTCTCTCGCACTCTCTCTCCATTTCTTTCTCTCTCTCGCTCTCTCCCCAAATAATTTTTTCAATTCCAGAGACTTGCAAAGAGCGAGGAGGAGAACATCGCCAACAGCTACTTCAAGACGTTCAACAAGTCGTCGGTCGTCAACAAGTACAAAGGAGATGTGCAGCGGAAAATCGGTAAGTAAAACCAATTTTATTGATATGCAAACTCGCTAAAACCACTTCAAAACCTTTCTGAATTCCAGACTCTCGCTCCTACTTCCCGAAGCGGTTCAACAACGTGCCACAAGCCTTGGTGAGCGGCGTCATCTACACGGACGACCTGTTCGGCCGTTCGGGCAGTGCTGGCAAGCGGCCAGCCCGGCTCGAAGCGATCAAATGACATCCCCAACTGACAGCCGAATGACACTTTCCAAACTACACTCCATAACTTGAGCATATCCTTTGGCCACCGGGTACCCCTGATCTCCAGTGAAAATGTGAAACATGTGAAGCTTAGAAATGCTAATGAATAAATGTGATTAAATGAAAATAAAAATTGTACTAACTTTTACGTTTTTGCCAAATCACATTGCGATAAAAATGTTAGCAGGTTCGTACTGGACCTCGACACTTCTGGGTTTGGAACCGTGAGCAGGAGCTTGAGTCTGAGCTAGGCAGGCCCGTACGAGGGGGGCAGGGGGGCAGCCTGCCCCCCCCGAAATCCTCGGGGGGCCGAAAAGTACATAAGGTAGTACCCTTATGTTTTTTTTCGCCATTTTTGCTGCCCCCATGGAGGGGGCAGGTAATCTAGAAGTTTGAATTTTCCCGCATTTTTTTGGCACTAATGTTAGGGTGGCAGATGGGGTTGGGTGTTGTTAGGAGATTATTTTGGCACCATTAATGGGCTAATATTTGGAGAAAAAGCCCAAAATAGGCAATAATGATACGGCGGTAACTCCATGGAGAAGTAACGGATCGGGATGATTGATATAGCGATAGAAAGCCCAGAGTAGGGAGAATACAGGGCGAGGTAAAGCAGAAAACCCGTATTGCTAAAGCACTTTATTCCGGTTACTAACGGTATCTTAGCGCGGCAGAGGGCTTGCCTGATCACGGCACCCTCGACAAGAATAAAGAGTGAGGAGAAATAGACCTCCACCCAAAATCGACCGAGTCCGGAAAGCGCATAAGGCCCTTTAGAGTTTTTCGCAAAAAATTTCGAAAAAAAACTGTGCCAAGCCTTGTTCGGGTGACTCGCAAACGGCCTTTTAAACGCTATTTATTTTTATAATATAGACAGTTTTTTCAAAAATTTTTGCCTGCGGCGCCTTTTTCTTCGCTCTTTAACACCATTTTTTTTTATCCTATAGGCACCGTTTTTCAAAAATTTCAGCCTGCGGCGCTGTTTTTTCAGTAAATTTATCGCAATTTTCGCTAAGTTTGCTGCCTGGGGCGCTCTCAGGACGCCCCAGGCGAGCCGCCCCCCCCCGCCCCGCAATCGCCCGAAAAGTTCATAAGGGGACCCTTATGATCTTTTTCCGGAAAATTTTTCTGCCTGCGGCGCTTTTTATAGCTGTTCGCAAGTGGGTTTTTGGTGTTAGAAACCCCATTTTTGAAAATTTTTTGCCTGCGGCGCTCATTTTTTCATTCATTGAATCGCAATTTCGGTTCAAAAGTGCATTTTTGCCGCGATTTGGCTCAATCCCAGGGTGTTTCTTAACCAATTTTGCTTTTTACTTCTCCGCCATTTTACAAAAGCGTCGACCGGGGGGGAGGTCGTCAAAAAATTTTTTCGGTCCTGCCCCCCCCCCCGAATTTTCGGCCCAGGTACGGCCCTGAGCCGAAAACCCGATAGCACCCATTCATCACTTCGCCAATTCGTACGCCTGTAAAAAAGTTTAAGGGCTACGCTAGCAAAGCAGAACATACGATAATAGCCATCAGTGTCGTCCCAATTATCCTTGAGCGCATTATTTTTTGGATCGCCGTGAGATGTGATGATTGCCGCACCGACATTGTCCAACGGGATCGCGGCGTCATCAGCGAACATGTCGAAGCTGTTTTCCTAAAAATCCTCCGATAAAAAGGGCTAATTGGGTACCTCTTTCTTCTTCTTGCGCTCTTCCGCCTCTTTCAGCAACTTTTTGCGCTTCTCCTCCGCGCTATCAATCTGCAGACGCTTCTCTTCCTCCAGCTCCTCCATTCGTGCCCGTTTGAGGTCATCGTCAATCGAGGTAGCATCACGTCCCCTACAGAATATCTTAGTGATAGGAGGGAGAAAGGTTTACCTCAGGTGGACCATCTTCTCTTTGAGATTTTGGAGAAGTCGTTGGGAGTGCTCGTCCCTCCCTCACTATCTTGGCGTGGTGACATGCTGCTGGCGCGGGAGCCATCTTGTGAAGTGCTGCGCCCAGATTCCCCGATCAGCGCCTTTGCTTCACGGAGTAGACGGGCGCGTTCGTCTTCTTCATCGTCATCGTCATCATCACTTTTCGGTGCATCAGGGCGCACGTTTGCGGAATTTTCTAAGCCCAAACATACGAAAGCTTAAACAAAATTAGATTACCTCGCAGCTTCATCGCGTCAATTGAGGTAGTCACATCTCTGGAAGTGGCCAAAGCCGAATTCTTCATAAGGTCGGCTTGCTCGTAAATCGACATCTTCTAAAGGAAGAGATAAACCAGTGATAAACGCTCACCTTATCCGACACTTGCTCAATCAATTTCTGTCTTTTCTTGCGCAACTCTTCAATTTTTCTAGCTTCATCCTCTGACTCGTCAGAAAGGTTCCATTCGACCTTCGGAATTTCGTCCTCGTCGTCGTCAGCTTTGCGCTTAAGATTTTTGTCATGGTGTCTATTACTGCTTCGATGCCCTGCTTGAACGCGAGATCTGAAACGAATGCATTATCAAGCAACACATAGCCGAAAGATAGGTCCAAATTCAGAACCAGGATCCAACCTGCTTCGCCGTCTGCGTTCGACACTTCGGTGACGGGGATTAGGCGAAGGCGACCTCCGGAACGCGACCGTCGTTGACCTGAACTAAAACATCCTAAGTTGAAACCGGAAGGAAAATACCGATCAGGAGACCGACGGCGTTCTGGACCTCGTTTCCGCTCAACTGCCCTCGTGCGGTCTCGCGAACGATCCCGCGATCGACGCCGTTCCACGCTTCGACTCCTACGACGCGTCGGCGATTTTCTGAAAAATGTTTTTGATAGGAAGAGTGACTAAGCGGCTTAATGCTGCGGTGGTCTCGTAAAAAATCCCCCATCAAATAAAATATTTTTGTCAGACGCAGAAATTGTCGCAAGGTTGCTAACCGTTGTGCAGAAAAGGATTTTTGAAGCATCTTGTAGCACTGAAATGCCCAACACCTACGAGTCTGTCCGTGAACGGTCCGGCTAACCGCGCACGCCCTTCGAAACGGAAAACTGCGAAGGGTCGCGAAACAAGCCCTATAAGACGAATTGAAGGTAAGGAAACAACCGCAGTCAAAGTCACAGATGTGATCTTTGGCTAAAGAGAGAAAAAGAACCTCGTAAGATCCGGGTTGCCCGCATAGCCAGGCTTCTCGTTTCTGCTTTCAGGCCGGCGGCTCCTCTCGGTACTTGTATGAAGTCGTTTATTTTCCCTAAGCGTCTGTGCGATGAGAAATATTCAAAGACCCACGGTTTGTCCGGATTCTTGTGCTTCGAATCACTATCCCTTCTGGAAGTAGAATCGGGCCTCACCGGATCCTTGTCACCGCCGTCGTGAGCCCTATACAATTGTATTACACATAAGAAATTATAAGAAACTTACGGCTTCATGGCTTCGTGCTGCTTTGTCGGCTTTTCTGCATCAATGGTTGGAGGCTTTTCGACAGCTTTTTCTTTTTGCCCAATTTCAGTCTTGCCCGTCCCGCCGATCGTAATTGTGAATGAGGGAGAGACGTCTCCGTGATTCTCGTTCTAAATTTGAACATTGAGTTGCGAAATTGGATCACCTTAGACGAACTGGAAGGTTTCTTCAACGATTCCTCTTTCCCCAGAGCCTCCGAGGCACTAACACCATCGCCATGGTCGGTGCGTCCTAAAAGAAGGACAAATGGCCCCTGGCTTAGCGTGAATACCTGGAATTTGGCGCTCCTTTTTGTGCTTCTTCTCCTTCTTACGTTTCTTCTCCTTTTTGGCCTTCTTTTCCTTTTTATGCTTCTTAAGCGATTTATCCTCGGTTTCTAGCGAGTGACGCCGCTGCTGGCTTTCGTTCAACTAAAGAATTTCGTTGTTAAACTGTGAGGAAACCAACCTCTCCATCCTCCAATTCATCGCTTGTCGTTGGGTGCGGCACGCGACTCATCCCCCTGCAAAAAGGTGATAATTGATACGGAAACCAGTCCTGAAAGTGGACATAATGCCTGAAAACTTAATATTTCTAGTCAAAAGTTAAAGTTAGGTCTAAGATATTTGTGTATGTGTGTATTTGTGTTTGTACATTAATAATTCGGCTAATCACAAGGAAACAGGCGACGTGCCCACAAACAGATTATAGGAGACTAGATTAATTAAGCTTATATAAAGGCGACAGTTTTGACACGGGTTTCGTTACCGAGCAACAGTGCTTCGCATTTTGAACGAGGCAACAATCCGTATATCGGGGGTGCCTGCTGGCACAGAATGCAGGGGGGGGGTATGACAGAAGCCCGAAGACAGAAGCCCGCAGGTACCAAAAGCCCGCACGCAAAAGCCCGAAGACAGAAGCCCGCAAACAGAAGCCCGCAGCGACAAAAGCCCGCAACTACCAAAAGCCCGCAACGACAAAAGCCCGCAACGACCAAAAGCCCGCAACGACAAAAGCCCGCAACGACAGAAGCCCGCAACGACAAAAGCCCGCAACGACAAATGCCCGCCATACATTTTGGCCTTCACGAAAACGGCTCTTTTCTAAGGGATTGAAATATTCCCCCCGGGTTCATACGTTATTTATAGTCGCTCGCACGGTACTAATGGACGGTTCCTTACAGCAAATGAAGCAATTGATGTTGGAGGGCATCTTTTTCTTGGCTTAACTTAGCCTTGCTAGGAAAGTGCAAATAAAAAAAGCCTATTCTCACTGGAGATTCGGAATCCCCGTCGTCGAGCCTAGCTGATCCATATTTTTGTTAAGCGATTTGTTAGCTTTTCTTTGCACTTTTCTAGTTAGTCTAGGTCTAGGTTTGGCATAGCCTAGACTTAGCTTAGGCGTGGGCTTAAAGGGATGCCGACGGCATAGTCAATCGGTTACGCGCGGAAAAGAAAATGTCTCTGCGCCTCTCCCCTGGGCGCGCTCTCTCCCCTGTTGGCTACTTGCCAATTTGTTGATGAGGGGGGATCGACACATGCCGTCGGCAGCCCTTTAAGTCTAGGTTTGGCTTGGTTCGCTTAGTAACTTAAGTGTGACGTTAGCGAAACCTAAGACATGACTAAGCCAAGCCTAGGCGAAGTGAAAACCAAGCCTAAGCTAGGTCTAAGCTAGGCCTCCTTAGGCTATTTCCTGACCGGTGTGGGCCCGATTGTCGTAAAAAAGAGGTTCCTAGGCTAGTTTTGCGTGCTGAGTTCGAATTCAAGACTTTTAGCGTAGTTTCTTTGAGAAACTTTGCAAAACAGCAGACTTTCTACTTTTTTGACGCCTTGTGGTCATCAAACTTACCTAGCTCCAACAAACTAGCCAAGTGGAATAACAAAAGGAATGAGTTAGGATGAGAAACGATGGCAACATTCACCAACGAGGAATTCAAACGACAAAATACAACAACGATCATCCGGGCCCTAGTCTCCACACCAAAGGGCGAAAATGTATGGCGGGCTTTTGTCGTTGCGGGCTTTTGTCGCTGCGGGCATTTGTCGTTGCGGGCATTTGTCGTTGCGGGCTTTTGTCGTTGCGGGCATTTGTCGTTGCGGGCAATTGTCGTTGCGGGCTTTTGTCGCTGCGGGCTTTTGTCGCTGCGGGCATTTGTCGTTGCGGGCTTCTGTCTTCGGGCTTTTGCGTGCGGGCTTCTGTCTTCGGGCTTCTGCGAGCGGGCTTTTGTCATACCCCCAATGCAGGAGGGGTGTGTGTATCGTTACGGAAAACCCGAGGTGCCGACCGGGAAAATTCACAGCCGATACACTCGGTTAGCAAAGCGCCCGCGAGCGCGCCCAAAAACCCCAAGCGCCCGCGGGCGCGCGCGAACTGGGCCATTTTGCACCTAGGGCGCAATTTGCGCAAAAGGGCGCAACGCCGGTCCGGGCGCAAAAAGCGCCCATGGGCGCAATTGGGGGCGCGCCCGCGGGCGCATTTGAATGGTGAACACCTTTCAATTGTACGAAAAAATTCCTGGATTATGCACTTATTTATGTTTAAAATATATAAATTAGCACAAACGTTACTAGATTTGCTTGGTTCTGGTCGTCGAATGTAGATAACGATACTTTGAATCGCCCTGGTATAGGTAACGCAGGTAAAGTTCTCCTACGCAGCAGATGCCTTCGAAACTTTAAAAACATTCGAAATTTTAAATTCAGCTTTATAGGTTTTCGATTTATATAAGCCAACCTTTTAGACGATCTGGGCCATCATTGCAAATGCGAAGCGCGACGTTTCCGGTATCTTTGAGCGGAGTTTCTACGTAAGTCGGCAAGAAGGAAGTTAAAGTAAGTTTTCAGGAAGCGGAAACAAAGTAAGTGCAGCTTACGAAGTTTATAAAGGAAATTAGTTAATTAGCTACACTTTTAGGAGCCGCCCGTCGCGCATTCGAACGTGTATGTAAGTTCTGAATAAAGCTAAAGCCAAGAAAACAAAAAAAAAAGCTATTTCAGGTGCGCCGTACGAACATGTTCTCAGGGAAGATGAAGATCTACAATAAGTATAGGGTACAGCATCGTCAAAAGCGATGCAGTGCCCTTTTTTTTAAATAATAAAAGCATTTATACGCCGTTACAACGCGATTGGGGCGCGCCCGCGGGCGCTTTCGAATTTGGGGCGCGCCCTCGGGGCGCAATTTGGGGCGCGCCCCCGGGCGCTTTAGGAACCGAGCAGCCTTACTTAAAGGGGCTCAGAAGTCAAAATTCGTGCGTGCGGGGATTGAACCTACGGGTCAAAAAACGAAAGGGTCACTGCCCAGAAGTGCCAAAAAAGTGATTTGATTGCGAAAAAACGTAAAATCTTTGAGAAAAACCGAATTCTTTTTAGGGCAAAAACGACTTTTTGAGTGCGCGGCGATTACATGTCGTAATGGCTTGTAAGGCACCCAATCTCTCGATCTCGGTCATTCTCTGGTCAATTTTCATAATTTAAAAGTCAGGAATGATCAAAATTCGTGGAGAATTCCAAAAATAGTATCAGAATTTTGAAATTCAAGCGATTCAAGAGCATGCGGCGCGGTCGCGTTGCGGCCGCATCTGGCTATTTGCCAGGAATCACAGCAGGGGGCCGTGGACCAGATTTCGGAGCCCCTTTAAACCTGCAACGAAGTAAACGTAAACGGATTGTGTCGTATTATCGCTGGGCGGATTTTCTGATGCGATTACGTAGGGCAAAAGGGGGCTGGGCTACGGTCATTGGGTCACGGCATTAGGTTCGAAAAAGTTGCTTTGTAAATGCAAACTTCGAGCTTTTCGTGGGTTCAACTTTCTATTTCAGCTTGGCGAAGGTCAACACCGAGGAACAGGCGCACAACTCGAGCAACAGCATCGGGAAAATGAGCGAGTACGAGACGGTTCGTTCGGAAATGATGACACGTGCAGCGCTGATTGTTAGGTAAATCGGAACCATTTCTTTCTTTATTCTAAAGCAGTTTTCGCGTTCAAATTGTCTAAATTTTCGTTCCAGGGCCTGCGACGAGCTGCAAAAATTGACGACCGACATCAAGGAGTTCCTCTTCCTGAACGACTTTGAGTACCTGTCTCGGACGATCAAGGAGGCGGAGCGGAAAGCACTGGTATGTTTCACAGAAATCGATGAAAAATGAGTTATTGTCTGTGGTTTTTTTAATGAAATTACTTTTGCAGGAAATTCAACGAGTCCACCGAGCCCGGCTGCTCGAGTTCCGCACCGACCTCGTCAGCCTGAGCCAGGACATCGACCGCGAGCTGCTCGACGATTTTTACCTCAAAGCTTGACCCTATTTCATTTCATTTTTTGCTGATTGCTTTCCACTCCGAAAATTTGCCGCAAAAGACCCTAAGCAACGCGCGATTCCTATCCACTGATACGTTTACTTGACCGATACGTTTCATTTTTTGCGAAATGTAATTCCATATTATCACGGGTGTTGCGATTTTTTGGACTTGGATAATTTGACTTTTACCTCTATTTGTCGTTTTCCATGATCTCCATTTTCGTGTTTACACTTTCCACATAAAGCCTTTTCAGGGCGCATCCGGCCATGGTTGCCGAGCTCCCGTCGTGAAACAGCAAGCCCAAGTTTTTGGCGAAACCGGATGAAAAGTGGGAATAAATTTGTTAGGATTTTACGTTTTGTTTTAGGCCCCTACCAGTCGCTGGCCGCCGCAACGTGCTGATCACGTCGGCGTTGCCCTACGTGAACAACGTGCCGCATTTGGGCAACATTATCGGCTGCGTTCTGAGCGATGACGTGTTTGCTAGGTAATTTTAGTCCTTACAAAGCGTATTTTATTGTTTTTTAGGTACTCTCGCATGCGCGGGCACCAGACCCTCTACATTTGCGGTACCGACGAGTACGGGACGGCCACCGAGACGAAGGCCCTGCAAAAAGGGCTGACCCCGCAGCAAGTCTGCGACAAGTACCACGTCATTCACCGCGACATCTACAAGTGGTTCAACATCGACTTTGACAACTTTGGACGCACCTCGACGAAGCATCAGGAGGAGTGCGTTTTGTTTTTCTAGTTTATTTCCCCCATTTTAGGATCACTCAAGAAATCTTTACGCGCCTTCACGAAAACGGCTTCACGTCGACGTCGTCGGTGGACCAGCTATTCTGCGAGGGTTGCGACAAGTGAGAAACCAGAAATTTCTCTAATTTCTTCTTTCAGGTTCCTCGCCGATCGCTTCGTCACCGGCATCTGCCCGTTCTCCGCCTACGATGATGCTCGTGGTGACCAGTGTGAAGGCTGCGGCAAGCTGATCAACGCCGTCGAGCTGAAGCACCCCAAGTTCCACGGCTGCAAGAGGGCGCCGGTCGTCCGCCAGAGTCGCCACATCTTTCTGTCTTTGGACAAGCTGCAGGTTCTTTTTGCTTTTTGGGCTTTTAAGCAGGCTACCGGATATGCATTAAAAATTTGTCGATTTTAATATGCATAAATTTTTATTAAAATGTCCGCCAGATGCTATTTTTCTATTTTAATTATTTTTTTGCGAAATTTATTTAGCCGGAAGTCGCCAAGCACATCGAGAAGGTCCTGGCCCGCCCCGACAATCGCTCCAGCCCGAACGCCCTGGCCATTGCCAAGGGATGCATCAAGGTTGTCTCAAGATTTATTTTTTTATTTTTATTTTTAGGGAGGTCTCGAGAAGCGCTGCATCGCCCGTGACCTGAAATGGGGGATCCCGGTTCCGCTGGAGGAGTTCAAGGACAAGGTTTTGCTACTTTTTTCGAGAATTTATTAAAAATTTAGGTATTCGACGTGTGGTTCGACGCCCCGGTCGGATATCTGTCGATCACGAAGGCGCTTCTCGGCGACGACTGGACCAAGTGGTGGAAGAACCCGGAGAATGTCGAGCTTTACAACTTCCTCGGCAAGGTGGCTTTTTATCATTTTTCAGGATCTACAATTTTTTAGGTTTTACATCGAATTAAAAGTATTTTTGTGTGCAATGAGATTTTTAGGACAGCGTCGCCTTCCACACGGTCATGTTCCCGTGCTCGCAAATCGGCAGCCGCGACAACTACACGGTGATCAACAACTGCTGCGCCACCGAGTACCTGAACTATGAGAACACCAAGTTTAGGTGCTTTTTATTTTTTTTTTTTCCAGTGTGTTTTGTATAAATATTTCTATCGTCAATTCCGATGTATATAATCCCATTTTTTCAGCAAATCGCGCGGAACTGGCGTCTTCGGTGATGCCGCCCGGGACACCGGCATCGAGCCCGACGTCTGGCGCTTCTACCTGCTCTACATGAGACCCGAGAGCCAGGACACTGCCTTCTCCTGGGATGACTTTTCTTTAAAGGTACAAAGACCTTGGATCACATATCTTCTTTTCCTAGGTGAATAGCGAACTGCTCGCCAACCTCGGCAATTTCGTGTACCGCGCCCTGTCCTTCTTGGCGAACAACTACGGCGGTGTGGTGCCCGAGATGCACCTGAGCGAGGCCGACGTCGAGTTCCTGCGCGGAGTCGAGTCCGACGCCAAGGAGTGGGACCAGCTGTTAGAGAATGTAGGCAAATTTTTTCTATGTGCGCTTGTTATATATACGTCGATGTTTTTGATATTTTGAAAAGGTGATTCAATAGAGCGTCGAAAAATCCGCTAGGAGCTTTTTTGTAGCCTGAAAAAAAATATTTAAAACAATTTTTGTTATAAAGAAACAGCTTTAAAAAGTTCTAAAAAGTCTATTTTTTAATTACTTATTTCCATGTTTTCGTTTAGGTAAAACTCAAGGACGCGGTGCGCAGTTTCTTGTCGCTCTCCCGGCGCGGCAACCAATACATGCAAGCCAACGAGCCCTGGGCCCTCATCAAGGGATCGGAAGAGGACAAGTGAGAAAGATGCCTCAATATCATGATCTCATTTTAGAAAACGCGCCGCTACCGTGATCGCCGTCGCCGCCAACGTGGCCTACTTCCTGTCGCTGCTCATCTTCCCCTACATGCCACAGGTTTTCTAGCTATTTTTTTTTCTCTAAAAATTGTTTTCGTTTAGGTATCTCAACGAATTCGCGAGCAGTGCGGTCTCGTCGACCTGCCCGTATTTTCCACGGACCCGATCGCTTATCTCAAGACGGGACACAAAATTGGCGAGGTAACCGGTTAAGAAAATCACTGTAAATTTTTGTTTAGCCCAAGCCCCTGTTCGAGAAGGTGGAAAAGGCCAGGATCGACGAATTGAAGGTATTGTTTATTCCGTTTTGAACCGCTACAGTAATATTCGGAATCTCTTGGCTTTGTCTATTCGAGCTGGAGCTGCGTGGTCGCGTACTTTGCTAGCGGGCTAAAATGATGGTTTTCTGATTTCCCTGGTTTTTCCTACCTATCTGTACGGAATTTCGATGAGGCGTCGTTGTAGGAATTTTCGTAGAAACCCAGGTTTCGCGGCTCGCCTTCTTGATATTCTGTGTAGCTGTCCTGCAAGACTCGGGAGTATAATTTTATTATATCTTTTTTTGATTTTGAATGGACCGGTTTCAGTACGTTTTGCATGGAATTGTTAGCGTGAAGTGTGTAGTACAAATTTTGGTTCTTTCGCTTTATCGGAGGTGCTATATACAGGGTGTCCCAAAAAAAAGACCCCCCCCCCAAAAATTTGAGCCAGAGGGCACCTACGGAGCTGAAAATTTGCACAGTGGTAGCGAAGGTAATTTTCTATGAACAAGGAAAGTTTCAGCCCGATCGGTCAGCGGGTTTTAAAGTTATAGCGAAAATACTTTTCATTTTTAATTTAGTATGGGGATCTTTGCAATTTGCATCAAAGATATGCGTTATTCTTGCATTTACAAGCCGATTTTGCCTAAATTTCGCTGAAAAGTGCCATTTTCTTGATGGAGCTTTTGGAAAACGATTGCGTATGAATAATAAAAAGAGTGTTAAAACAACTGTTTTATCGATCCAAATCACGTCTTATTGTACCTTTTCGCAATTTGAGCTTCGTCGGCCCGAAAACAGAGTTCGACGAGCTCGAAAACAGTGTTGAAGTTTGGATTTGGGCTTATGTTGGCGCGTACGCTGAAGTTTAAGCCAAGCTCAAGCGTTCAACGATAGTTTCCGCCATGAGGTCTGGTATTCATCGTTCTTGCTGATCATTTCCGCGCCACATGATCAATCGTTTTCCAAAAGCTCCATCAAGAAAATGGCACTTTTCAGCGAAATTTATGCAAAATCGGCTTGTTTATGCAAGAATAACGCATATCTTTGATGCAAATTGCAAAGATCCCCATATTAAATTAAAAATGAAAAGTATTTTCGCTATAACTTTAAAACCCGCTGGCCGATCGGGCTGAACCAACTTTCCTTGTTCATAGAAAATTACCTTCGCTACCACTGTGCAAATTTTCAGCTCCGTAGGTGCCCTCTGGCTCAAATTTTTTGGGGGGGGGTCTTTTTTTTGGGACACCCTGTATATTTTTTCCTATATTGCCAGCAACTCCTAGTAACCCAATAGGAATTTTTGAGAGTTTGTTTTGGTGAAATTTGAACTATATTTAAAGTGGAAAACTATCTAAAAACTTGCAAAGTTTTGAAATATTAATTTGGCATCAAGAAATTTGAATTTGAAATTTTTTTAATGTATTTTGTAAGTTTTTGCATCTAGGAATAGTGAAAAGCCATTTAGAAACAGTCTCTTTATTTGTATTTCAAAATTTGGAACCAAAGAAAAAATTTGTTCCAGACCGCGACACGCCCCCCCGTTAATTCAAAAGAGCCCCATCTATCTGGCTATTACCTTCCTCTACATCCAAGATATGCTCACCTACTTCCTCACGACATTTCATTTTCGCCTCTATTAGGCGGGCCCAAAATCACATAAAAACAATCAAATGTGCAGCAACTCCGGTCTGGCAAATGGGTTCTCCTGCTAGGGCGCGAAAATATTAAGCATACAAAGAGTGCCAAGGGGTCGATTTCCTACTTAAAAGGGGCTCTACTGACTTGGGACGACGCGCTTTTCTAATGGCCTACGCGGGGCGGAAACTTTTAATGTAACCTGTGAGCTGGCGATGCGGCAGGAGATCAGCTGGATCGCATTCTTTTTCTAATTCCCAAGCTCGGAATATGGTAGGCGGCGTCGGTTTATAGCTTGAATAAGACGAAAAAAATGAATAGGTTGAATATGGTTGTAGGATGGGGTTCCGAATAATTAGTTGACGATGGACCTGAGCATTAGCGCTTCATGGAATCGCGAATTCGGTGCCAGGTGTAGCGGTAAAGGGTATTTCGCTGACCCGAATTCTAAGGTGGAAGCTCCATATAAACGATCGAATGTAAGATCGCTTAGTGCGGATTCGATGATGATGACATAGCTCTTTAGATGTTTTATTCGATCTGAGAGCATCGATATTACATTGCTCCAAGCCCAAGTGACGACCAAGGGAGCGGCATCCCTAGCTAGGGTGGGGGCGGATTAGGGATGCGCGCGGGTCAAGGTCACGGTCACTTGGTGTAAACATAGGATCGGCCATGGTTAAACGCGGGGACGCTTACACATTTTTTGGAATTTTGTGAGGGCATGCTAAAACGCGCCAGAATTCTGCCGCAGGATCAAAAAAATCAGTTTTTAGACTTTTTCATGAACGTTTGTGGATAGTACGCTCTCGTATTTGGCAGCAAGGTGCCACTACTTATTGCCTAACAACCCAGAAAATTTCAGCAGGATCGAAGCTAGGTGCCCCGAGAAAAGCGGGAAAACCGAAACCTACAGTACCCCGCTGAGGCACGTTTTAGCAAGCAATACAAAAATACCATAGATTGTGGTGGAATCTGGTGTGGAATCCGAAATTAATATTTGGATAGGTCACTGGCAAAATATCAGCCATTAGTAGTCTGGTAGAAGCGAGCTATGACTCAAAGGACAAAAAATTGACCTCGATAAATTCTAAGATTTTGCCATTACAGGGTGTCCCAAAAAAAAGTGCCCAAGTTTGTCCCCAATTATCTCGAGAAGGAAAGATATTTCACCGTGCGTTACCATGCCAGAATGCTTAAATATGTCAGGAATAGGGAAATAACTCAACTTGATTTTTTCGATTTTTGGCGACGTATAAATACAAATGACACCCGAAAACTGTGCGTTCCGGCAAAACTTCGTTTGCATTTTTTTGGATTGCTGGTGGTCGAACACGTCCAATTTTTACAGTGTAGGTACCTCAGGATCGCCCCTACGCACATCCGGAATTTTAGAATTTTTGAAGGTCAGGTTCGCAAGTTATAGCGTGCTCAAATTTAATATGGAGAAATTTCGTAAATTTCGAATATTACAAAAACCTATGGTGGAAACCTCATAAAAAGCTGTTTTAGCATGTCTATAGGCTCGATACAATCCCACAAAAATATCAAAAAAAAATTTTCAGGACCGCGGATTTTTGATTTTTTTGACGACCATGTTTGAGTGATGATGGTCATGGATTCTTTCGAGGTCACGAAACTGAACTTTGGAAAAATATTTCTAAAATTGCAGATAGAATTTCGGTGTTTGCTTTGCTTCGTTGTGTAGGACTGGCGGTCATCTATCATGTACACAATTTCTAGCTACCGTACACCTTTGGAAGGCTGCTTTTTAGCGCCTCCAAAACGGTTGGCTCGTGCTATTTCGCAGACCTTTGTGCCAGTCTATAAAATTCAATTACGCGGCTAGAATTACTGTCATAATTTTGTTTAATACTACTTAATGGGCGCATTCCAAGATTATATTTAGAAATTTATTGGGCCATGCAATCTCTCAAAAGAAATGCATGAAAAGTCCAAATATACCCGAATTCGAGGCAACGTAAAAAAAATTCTCGAGGCTTTAGTAGCCTCGACTTTTTTGGCATAAACCCAGCTTGGGTAATCAACTAGAACCCATGGAAATAAAAAACCTTTTCATGGCAAACGAATTTAGAAGAGCCCCCCAAAGTCGGCTTTTCAAAAACGTTATTTTCGGGTTTTAAATCAAAAAGAACCATTAAATTCCGCCAGATCATTCCAGAATTATGTTATCAGACACAGTTCAATGCGTGCTTTAATTGTATCCACCAAACCCTGGTGCCTTTTTCATTTTCAAAAATTCGATATTGTACCCGGGGGGTCAGATCCAGAATCGGGCCCCATGGCGGGTTTTCCTCTTTCCGTCATAACTTTGTCATTTGCCACAGGAATGAAGTCTTTTTTTGCATGGGCTATTACAATCACCCAGAGAACAGTCTCGAATCGAAAAACTGTCACTTTATGGAATTTTGTCTTGGCATGCTAAAACGCGCTCCAGGAGGGTTACTGTAGAAAACAGAAAATCGTCGTTTTCGTGATCTTTTCACCATAGAAAAGTTTCGATCTTTCCGGAAAACAAATAATAGTAGTTTTTAGTCCGATGCATCAAAATATTTAGAAATTTCCGCGGCTAAATTCAAAAATAATTTTTTGCATATTTTGCGAAGGTGTATGGCTAGAACTCCACGATCTTTGGCCAATAGGTGACCCTTACTGATGTTTACCAATGATAAAATTTTAAGCGAAATCGCAGCTTACAATAAAAAGAAAAACGCGGCAAACGAAAACTACAGTATCCCTCTGGGGCACGTTTTAGCAAGCAATATTAAAATACCATAGAATCGGGTAAAATTTGGTGTTGTGCTAAAGATTATCATTCGGAGATACCATCTGCAAAAGATCAGCCATGGGCAGCGTATTTGAAGAGAGTTGCGAATTAAAATGTCAAAAGATACAAAATAGTGAAATTTGTTTTGCTTGTTAAAAAGGAACTGGAGCTTAAAAAAATTCTAATATTTGGCCTTAATTTTTCTACAAATGCCAACGATTTTTGGGCCAAAAATCAGAATTTCCCCACCACCCGTTCAAGAACGCACAATTTTCGGTCGCAATCAGCGTCAATAGTACAGTTGCGTACTCAAAAATCGGAAAAATCATGTTGGTCTTAATTTCTATTCCTGACATATTTAAGCATTCCGGCATGGTAACGTATGGTGAAATATCTTTCCTTCTCGAGTTATTCGGGGACAAACTCCGGAACAATTTTCTGACCCACCCTGTAGTCGGGGGTAGCGGGCGTAGCCCGCTAACCCCTTTTGGTTTGAGGTACCCCCCCATACGACTCTTTTGGGGTCCTTTTCCGGATTTAAAAAAGAACCATGCATCGGATCGCCAAACTGAATACACCATCGGAACCGGCGACACTTTTTGCATACTATAAGCTTTTAAAATTTGAAAAAAAGTTAAATTTCGAATTTTAACAGCCGATTTAAATTGCGTTTTGAGGGGGGGTCTGCGTTTGTTTGTATGTATGTATGTATGTATGCCCGCAAAATCTTTGTAGTCGTCAAAAAGTGCCTTCCCATAGTCCGTTTGGGCTGAAATTTTCCACTTATATTGACTTGATGTAAATGAAGGTGAGGAAGAAGCGTTTTTTTCAAAATAGGCTTTTAAAAAATTTATATTTAATTTTTAAGTTTAAAAGCTAAATTGCGGCCAAAACAAGTGTTAATGATGTCTCTTTGGGCTGAAATTTTGCTCAAATATGCATTAGACCATGCTGGAGTAAGTAAAGAAGAAATTGCATCGAATGAATGCTTCTCCTTTGAGTTTTTATAACTTTAAGCTTTCGCCATACGGGGCGCCACCCTCCCCTTCCCCGGCCCCAGTCCGCAGACAGGGGGACGGGTCTAGCTCCCCCCAACACAGGCCTCCAGTCTCTCGGTTGGCCTAGTGGTTAGCACGCTGTACTGGGAGGATTTGGCTCCCGAGTTCGAACCCCGCCCGCAACATCGTTTTTGCCGATTGGCCCGAATGCAGACTTATGGTTTCTAGTGCCGTCACAAAGCGCCGCAGGCACATTTTTTTGAAGTTTTGCGTACAAGGGTTCATCTGAATAAGTATTCTTTGGCTTATTTTACGATCTTAACAATAAGATTGAGGCAAAAAGGGCTAAATTCTCTCTAAGGCTAAAAAGAGTCTTTTTAAAAAAGGGCTTTTGGTTTTCGCAAAAAGAGAGGAATTCTCGTGGCAATAAAAAGAGCTAAATTCCTTTCAAACTCTTAAAAATGCCACAAAATGCGGGAACAACAAAAAGTTGCTGGCTATTTAAAACCTTAATAAACTCGGTACCATCCCAGATCACAGGTCAGGTCCACAGATTAATTTCAAGAAAGTGCAAATAGATCATAATACAGAAATTATTTGCAAGCCGAAAACGCTAGAAACTAGATCTGTCCATTTTAATAAGGTGCCAGCAACTTTTGGTTGACCCCACATTTTGTGGCATTTTTAAGAGTTTGAAAGGAATTTAGCTCTTTTTATTGCCACGAGAATTAAAATCCTGCGTCGAATTCCTAACCAGACTTGCATTTGAGTCCCGAAAGCCAAGCAATTCCAGGACTTCCGAATTTGGGGAAATTCCGACGGATCCGGACGCAAATGTTGCCTATTTCCCCTTTCATACTTCAGCCCCTACTAGGCCCTTTTCGAAAATTTATGCATCAACTTGTAGCCCACTTTCTATTTTTAAGTTGAGCTATGGACATCTTTCTTCGATCTCCTATGCTTCCGGCCGAAAAACGGGGGAAACCGGCGAGGTTACGTCCCGACCTGGATCTTCACCGAAGTTTTCTCCACCATCACGCATTTTTTGACTAAGAAGATTTTTCAAGGGCCCAACTAACTTTTAAGGACCTCGTTATTGTAAAGAACAGAAGAGACTAAAGAGCGGGGGGGGGGGGGGGGCAGACAGGCAAGGACGAACGGCGGGCCGGGCCGGGCCGGTCCGGGCCGGGCCGGCGAAATCGGGGGTCGCGGGCCTGGCCGGGTCGGCCCGTAGCGGCCCCCGTCCAGGCCTGGGGGCAGATGGGGAATGAAGGGTCGGTCTGTCCAGAACGGGCGGTGAATCTTACAAAGGCCCCTTGCTGATGGGAAGCTATCCCACGCCTCTGCGCAACTACAGTACCCCAGCCACGGAGCTCCATTACGCCAGCCTATTGCTTTCTCCTTTCCAAAAACTAAAATTGGTGAGATAGAAACAGAAATCGAAGTAAAAAAATAAGATTACGATAAAATGGCAAGCTATCCATTCCATTTCAGTAACGAAGTAAAATCGGGGCTTGAATTACTTATATGATTTTACGATTTAAGGTTTTTTCAATTTTCGCTCGTCATTATTTACCTTCCCGTCAGTCAACCAACGCAGGGCGAGAAATGCAACTAACAAGACCAAAACCAAATTAAAGGGCTGCAGGAAGATGGGCCGGCGTCCGTCGGGGTGACGGACCGCCGCGGCGCTACCATCGACGCTTTCCCTCGCGTAAGCGCCCCCAAAAACCCCTCTCGCGTTTGAAGAAACCAGTTTATTGGCTATAAGTTTTTCATTTAGCAATGTTTTCGACTAAAACTTTTCATAAACGAAGGACTGATTGATACCCATCGATGGTAAAAATTTGAGCCGGATTGGATAGAAGGCAGCCAAGTTCTGGGCTATAAAGGGTTTTGGGACGCTGTTTCGGCTGAAAAAGAGTTGCATCGACAGCAAAACACCCCTGGAAAGGTGGAAAGTACCTTGCTATCCTTAAGCTAGATTTTCTACAATATTTTTAGCTATTATCTCTTCGAAATTGCTTTATTTCTAATGGCATTTCCAAAGCGGGCCAGGTTCGCCCCCAAGGCATTTGGGCACCCCCCACCGCCCCTCCTCACTCGACTCTTTGGTATAGTGGCTAGCGCCTCAGACTGCGGGGCGGGCCAACCCAGGTTCGACCCCCGTCCGGTGCAGCCTTCTTTGCTTTTTCACTCATGCGATCTTTCTGCAGCCCTTTAAGGAAGACCAAATTGGATCAAAATGGCCATCCATCACCTATAATTTTGTTGATTTAGGTACTGAGCCTATGGAACAGCCAAGAAGGAACACGGCCATCCATCAACCGCGCACCGCTGATGGAACATCGTTGCAATCACCAGTTCAACCGCTGTTGAACCAGTTAAAACAAAAGACGGCCAAAACCTTCAAGGCAGCCGAGTAAGTTTGTTCGGAACTACGGGTTTCTTTTTTATGCAAAACGGGGGTAGAACCTTATACAGGGTATACCAAGAAAATTGAACTTTGCATAGAATCCAAGCCGCGTACGGCTTTCCAACCCTGGTTTTTCCTAAAATCATTTTTCCTAAGGTTCATTTTTCTTCGAACCGACTACATATCGGAAAATTCTCAGTTCTTTTGTACCAGCCGCTTCCAGCGGCTTCGCCGCTGCAAGCGGCTGGACTTCGGGCTACCCCTTGTGCGCTCCCTCCCCTTCGCCGAAACACGCGCGACCTGGCTCACTATGTCCAAAATCATCCCAACCTCCGTCCCCCACCCCTTTTACTAAGGAAAAAACTTTCAAAGTTAAATTTAACAATTTAAACGAAAACTTTTTCATATTTTTCATATTTTTTTTGATCAGTTTGGGGGTTTCTGACCGCGCTCTATCCGAATCCGAAGAGAGCTAAGCTCTAGCTCCTTTCCCCTTCGAGTTGAATTTGGCTTCAGACACACTGACGCCTCAAGAAAATTATTATAGTTGATTATGCATGACGAAATAACATTTTTTTGTGATATGCCTGGCAATGTTTTAGGAAGTCTTTAAGGAATGCTTTTAGTCTAGAAAGTTTAGGTTGGACCATAAGTTCGTACAATCGAACTTCGCAAATTTCTTTCTAAAATTTTGATACTGTTCTATTTCGCATGGGGAAAAAACTGTGCGGGGGGAAATTTTCTACGTTTTGTTATAACTCTTCTATATGATGCTATTTTGAATCCTACTATATATAAAAAAATAGTGTCTGTGTGCAGGCCCGTACGAGGGGGGCACCGGGGGCACGGTGCCCCCGAAATCGGGCGAGGTCCGAAAAGTTCATTAGGGGGGACCCTTATGATTTCTTTCATAAAAATTGTTCTGCCTGCGGCGCTATTTATTATTGTTTTTAAAACAATTTAAACTGCAATAAAACCTATTTTTCAAAAATTTTCGCTTGCAGCACTAGTTTTTCGGGAATGTATCAGTTTTATTTGTAAACCAGCGCCCAAAACCCGCTTCGCGGGCCCTGGGCGCTGGAATGCGGCCTTTGCATGAGAAATTTGACTTTCCGATAGCTTGGGTCCTTCGAACCCCGCCCCCCCGCCCCCCCCCCGAACCGACCAAACACGCGAGCGCAACTTGCAAGAATGAGGAAATTTGTATTTTTTGGCATTATGCAAAGTAGTCCTCCCTGGCGCCGGACACACACACACACAAAGATACGCGACCAAATTATATAAGGTAGGACATTTTGCCTGCCAGACTTATTTTACATTATTGTAGGCTTAAATTAAAACTCTTCGTATATTTTTGACGCTCTATCGAATGGCGTTTAAAAAATCCCGATCAAAATGGCGAAAATAGCGAAACCTTTCAGAGGCAAAATCTATGGGGCGAGGCAAAACTTACCGGGGGAACCCTTAGGATTTTTCCTCAAAAATGTTTCTGCCTTCGGCGCTGTTTATCACTGTTTTGAAACGATATCACGGTGCCCCCGAAATCGGTCGAGGTCCGAAAAGTTCATAAGGGGGGACCCTTATGTTTTTTTCACAAAAATTTTTCTGCCTGCGGCGCTGTTTATCACTGATTCGAAACGATTTTTACTTCTAGAAAACCTATTTTTCTACAATTTTTTGCCTGCGGCGCTCGTTTTCATTAATGCACCATTTTTGTTGAACAAAATTTCGCTTGTAGACGCCGTTTCCGATGTGTTCCCCCCCCAAAATCTCGGCTCCCGTACGGGCCTGTCTGTGTATCCGCAAAACCTTTGTAGTCGTCGAAAAGTGCCTTCCCATGGACGGTTTTGGCTGAAAATTTGCCCAGGTATTGGCTTAATGCTAATCTCGGACAGGAAGAAGCGTTTTTTTCAAAATAGGCCTTTAAAAATTTTTAATTTAAGTTTGAAGTTCAAAATTTAAATCGCGGTCAAAAGGCATCTTGTCGAGGTCCGTTGGTGCTGAAATTTCTCATAGTGATGCACTGTACATTGTTCTAATATTAACTGAAGAGATTATCGTAAAATAAACGTTCTACGTTGAGATACGGCCGGATTACGTGAAATTCTGAGGTCGCAGTACGGGGCGCACGCCGTTTCTGTCTGGGCCTCTCCTTGCTCTCCCCACTAATAGAAGACCGCTATCTCGTCTCCCAGCCCCCCTTCCCGCCAATTAACAGACTCCACTTGTTGCATTATTTTTATCAAACTTATTTCGTTTGGATAGGACGATTTTAGCACCGAGGACCTACCTTTACGATAATCACCACGAGCGGTCCCATTCGCGAGTCGATATTTTTGGCTTTCGCTATTTAGGGTCAGCGCCAAAGGCAAAAAAAAATCATAATAATACTTGGTAAGAAGCGCTGAAAGGGAAATAATGCAATTAAAAAATCACCAGAGTTGAAAAGCCGCTTCGCGACTTTTCAACCCTGGCCCCGTCTGACCCGATAAAATTCTTCGCTTTGCATATTTCTTTCGAATTGCGATGAGAAAAAATGAAAAATGGCACTCTCTACCTGATTATATAGGCTACCGCCACTTCCGGCGTATGCTAATTGTTGCCTAACAAAGAGGATGGCCGAAATTTTTACATAAACTGAAATTTAATATTTAAAACAATTAGTTTTGTAAAATCTGATAAGCGTGCAGTCATCCCAGAGCCATTACGCACCTAATGACGTATCATACGTACCTTAAAATATATAAAAAAATAGTGTCTGTGTGTGTGTGTATATTTGCATGCAACTTCCGTAAGTATGTACCGCACCTACAGCCTCAGGGGAAGGTTTTTAAGGTACGTATGATACGTCATTAGGTGCGTAATGGTCCCGAGATGGGTGCACACATATAAAATTGAAGAAAATCGGCTGTTTTAGCTATTAGGTTCTATACCGGCAGCGGGGATTTTTCACGGAATCGGGGATTTTTCCCGGAATAGGGGATTTTTCCAGGAATCGGGGATTTTTCCCGGAATAGGGGATTTTTGCCGGGGATCACCGGAATCGGGGATTTTTCACGGAATCGGGGATTTTTCCCGGAATCGGGGATTTTTCCCGAAATCGGGGATTTTGAAAAACAGGCAAATTGGCCGAATTTTGGAGCCGTCGAAATCGGGGATTTTTGAATTGGCTGTTTGGGCCGGGCTAAAATCCCCGATTTCAAATTTTCTGGAAATACCGAAAAACACTGTTTTTTTAAACCCTGTTATGCATATGTTTGCCATTTCCACCCTAATTTGTGTTTTTTTCGGTGTTTTAATCCATAATTGCCGTGCATGAAGCTAATAAAGCAGGCAATTTATTGATAGGGAAGTTGAAGATGGCATTTAGTGCTTGGTTTACAGATGATAGGGAGAGGGCGACAACTGGCGGCGACAGATCAAAATTTATGTTTAAGTGGAAAATCTTGGCGATCCGTTAAGTTAAGGAAATCCAATGTGTACCTGGACAAAGAACGGGTTATTCCTCCAGGCGTCCTTTAGGCACCAAAGAACGCGCTGCAGATAGCAGCCTGTAATGACACCATAGTGGGACAAAGCTGGAAGCATAGATACCGAATCGCTCCAGTCTTCGAGATACCAATCAAGGAGGTCTCTAAAGACCACCATTCGGGAATCACATAGATCTGAAAAGAATCCTTATAAAGCAAGGTAATTGGGCTACCGGGATCTGTCGAAGGTAGGTCTAAAGCGACAGGGCATAACATTGCCAGGTCGGATGAATCTTGGAAGGACCCCGCTATCAATACCCAAGCCATCGAGGCCACCTGGGGGGGCCATGAAAACCGCTATCCGACATCTTCGTGGCACCACCCAAGGCCAGCTGCCATCGCATCTTTTCGAATACATGTTTCGAAGGGGTGCCGACCGCAAGCTGCTTTTTCAACACATGCTGGTCTTGATGGCCCACGCCTACCCCCTCGCTTGACCCGTTCTTTGTCCAGGTACACATTGGATTTCCTTAACTTAACAGATCGCCAAGTTTTTCCACTTAAACATAAATTTTGATCTGCCGCCGCCAGTTGTCGCCCTCTCCCTATCATCTGTAAACCAAGCACTAAATGCCATCTTCAACTTCCCTATCAATAAATTGCCTGCTTTATTAGCTTCATGCACGGCAATTATGGATTAAAACACCAAAAAAAAAAGACAAATTAGGTTGGAAATGGCAAACATATGCATAACACGGTTTAAAAAACAGTGTTTTTCGGTATTTCCAGAAAATTTGAAATCGGGGATTTTAGCCCGGCCCAAACAGCCAATTCAAAAATCCCCGATTTCGACGGTTCCAAAATTCGGCCAATTTGCCTGTTTTTAAAAATCCCCGATTTCGGGAAAAATCCCCGATTCCGGGAAAAATCCCCGATTCCGTGAAAAATCCCCGATTCCGGTGATCCCCGGCAAAAATCCCCTATTCCGGGAAAAATCCCCGATTCCTGGAAAAATCCCCTATTCCGGGAAAAATCCCCGATTCCGTGAAAAATCCCCGCTGCCGGTATAGAACCAGCTGTTAAAATTAAGTTTTTGTAAATATATCTAAAAACCTCTTTGTTAGGAGGCAATTAGCATTGACCGGAAGTGGCCGTAGCCTATAAAAATGGAGGGAGCGTGCGCTTTTCATTTTTTGGTGAGCGGCATTCGGCAAGCCCTATGGAAAGTCAAATTTTCAGAAGTCCTGGACGGGTCCAGGGTTGAAAAGCCGCGAAGCGGTTTTTCAACCCTGGTACGTACCTTAAATTTTATCGCCTATCGAGATATCCTCCGGACATGGTGACGGAAGTTGCATGCAAAGTATCACACACACACACACACAAACACTATTTTTTTATATATAGTAGGATAAGGGGTCTGACCATTCTGTACGGTTATTATAGCGAGGCCCTAACTATTGCTACGATGGAAATCATCATTTCCTGGGTAAAAACCCTGAGTAAATGCCCAATCCCCAAGAAGAAATATATGCAGACTAGATGGGTTAGCGCTAATTTTAAGCTTTCCAAATGTCGTATTGAGCCAATAATAATTAACTAGAAAGCGTATTTGTGTTGCTTGTGCTATTATAGATAGCTCCAGTTCTTTTGCATAAAGATTAGGTGACGTGGAGAGCGGCTTTGTCGGGCATTAGTGCGCCTGAGAGTCGGGACTCGTTTGAGGTACTCGTTCGAAAACCCCTTGAAATCGGTTTTCTGCCTTGCCCAACCATCAACCCCGGCTGCCACGTCTTCTGGCATGACTGAGGCTTTGTCCCACACAAATTCCAGGACGGGAATTTAGGAATTACAAGCCAAAAAATCTGATTCCGTTTTGATGTTCCTGTAGGCGTCAGACCCCCATTACCGGGGGGTACAACTGGTTCTCGTGGCCCACCACTAAACAACGGCAACCAAATTCAAACGCGATAACAAATGATTGAAAAATATGGAAAAATTAGTTGATTTATGCGAGTGGACGTAAAATTTTGTCCACTTGCCAGAGCAGTTTTATTACCCAAAAAGCTCGTGTATAGGTCCTCCCCGTGTATAGTTCCGGGTGAAAATTTTCATATGTACGGAGCGTCCGTAATTCCGTATGACCGTCATTAGGTGTGTTTCGTTTTTTTCGGTTTCTTGCAAATAACGCCGCTCACGATAGGTATTTTTGCAATTTTGATGGAATATTTGTTCGTATTTCGACTATTTCCAACAATTTGAGTGGTTTAATGAAAGAAATTGCTGCATGAGGCCCTGAGAACCGGCTCTTTTGGCTTAAATAGCTTTTGGGCCGAATTGTACCCTACGCACATTATTTGGTGTCCTTTGTATTGGTACGGAACCAAATTGTACCGGACCTATACACGAGGTTTTAGGGTACAAAAAGTCAATTTTTTAAAAATTTGAAAATTTTCTGAGGATGTTTGTAGTGCCAGTAGATGCTTATTTGGGTGTCATATACTGCAGAAAAGTGGCTTCCGCGACACTCCTTCCTACTTACCAAAACACCGAAAAAATCAGGTGGACGTAAAATTATGTCCAGCAGTGTATATCGACCCATGCAGCCTAAACGCCGGTTACGGATCTTGCTCCCTTTAATTGCCATTTTCAGTTGGAAAGCGAGCGCAAAAATCGCGGAGGGCTCGTATGCTGAATGCTTCCGTAACGCCAAAGGACAGATAATAAAGGTAAGAACTGGGTTGCCGCTTAGACTTACTTAGTGGGTAGGGCAAAAAACCCTAGTAAAGACCAACCGTAAAATCTTGACCTAAAGGTTTCCCCATAAACAGCGTAGAGCGACACGCACGACCGTAAAATTTAGAGTTTTTGTAGCCAGGCAAGGTTTTTTGAAATCGCTCATGACAATCGCAAAATAATCCAAGGTGGCTGTTCTAAAATGTCCAAAAAATCAAGTTGGTCTTGTTCTCTAGTCCTGACATATCATATTTAAGCATTCTGGCATGGTAACGCATGATCAATATGTTTAATTCTCGAGGTATTCGGGGACAAACCCCGGAACAATTTTCTGATCTACCCTCTAGATCGGCCGATAGCCCAGAGAATTCTGCATTTTATCGCGCTATTTTTGTACAGCGCAAAAATAGGAAGCTATTGTTTTTGGCGCCAAAGGTAAAGAAAGGCAAAAAACAGAAGTGGCAAAACGAACGAAACGAAAAAAAGTTAACGTTTGCCGGGATTTATTTCGTCTATCGCTATCTTTCCGTTGTCACTACACTCCACTTTTCAGCTGCGACCGCTGCAGCCGGACGACAAGGCGTTGCTGTCTAGTGCGGTGTGTGAGGTATGTATTGCAGCTTCAGGAATTGCAGTTTAAGATCCTCCCCGGGCAGGGCCGTAAACGAAAATTACGGGGGGGGCGCCCAATTTTTTGCTAAATCGACCAAAATTTCATAACGGCTCGAAATTTCATAATGTCGAAATTTCATAATGTTGAAATGTCAGAATGTCGAAATTCAGAATGTCGAAATTCATTCGAAATTCGAATTCGAATTCGAATTCGAATAATTCGAATTCGAAATTTACGTAAGCTAAAATTCCCGGTAAAGTCCCCAAATTCTAGGCAAAAAATGTTGTCGTGAGATAAGATAAAAAAAATAGAATGTGGAAAAATTTTTTTGGTTTGGGATTTGGCGGTTTCACCGGTAATATTAGCCTATGTAAATTTCGACATTCTTAATTTCGACATTATGAAATTTTGACATTATGATTTTCGACATTATGATACCAAATCGGTGCCGCCAATTCCCTGTTTTATGGCCGACCCCGTATGATAATTATCAATTTGCATACAAAGCCAGTTCGAAAAAAATGAAAAAGCGGGTTCCAGGTCCAGAACACCGTCACAGCGGTCTTCTGGCAAATGAATGTACACAAAAATTTTATTTTTATATATAACCGGCAGGGGAGAAGCCGCTTCGCGACTCTCTGGTTCATTATTAAAATTATTTAGAGTATTATGAAATTCTCCGCAAAGGTAAAATTTTAGGCGGCGATAACGATGGCCCTCAACCACCTCGATCACGCCAACTTCGTCGCGACTAGTCGCATTCGCGTAATCCGTGGTAAGTTTTGGTCCTTCTTTTGGTCGTTTGGTGGGATTTGCTGGCTGAAGCCTTGAGCAAAATTCCAAAGTATTTTCGTGCATTACATGGGTGAACAAACTTGTGTTACAGGCCCGATCCCTGCGGCTTTGCGTCAAGCTCGACAGGCCACCATAGTTGCTGAAAAGGTATGGATTATTGGAGCTGAGTAGAGGAATCTCACAAATGGCCTCGTTTCTGTCAAAATAACCGTTTTTGTACTGGTCGGGCTTAAAGGGATAAGGACGACACCGGTCGAATTTTAAATTTAAGGGACGAGCGGCCCTTAACTCGTTTCTAACTGTAAAATGTTTTTACTCAACGTGGGGTTTCGTTTCGGGAGAAGCGCATCATATGCAGAATTTTTCGCCGATTCCGAATCAGTTTTCAAAATTTGCTGCGGACTTTTATTTTGAAAGGGATACGTCAATTATGGTAGGGGTTTTCATCAAAATCAGGGTACCATTATCGTTTTCGATTTTCTTGAGCATCAAAGTTAAAATTGGATAGATATTGGCTATACAAGTGTATAGCCAAGCTATACAGGTTTATAACTTAACTAATTTTTTGGGTGTGGCCTTTTCACGGTCGGTGAATCTTACAAAGGCCACTTGCTGACGGGAAGCTATCGCGCGCCCCGGCGCCCTAACTACAGTACCCCGCCCCACCGAGCCCCATTACGCTAGCCTATTGCTTCCTTTTCAAGCCCAGAATTTCCGGCAATAAGGGGCAACCCGTCTTTAACGCCTTCACGCCCTTTCGCGCCCTCCTTTATTTCGCGCCCCCTGTAAATAACGCCCCCTGTATTTAACGCCCTTCTGTATTTAACGCCCTCCAAATGATCAGGAAAAGGGCGTTATTTACAGGAAAAAACTCGTTTTGCAGGGCGTTATTTACAGGAGAGCGTTAAATACAGGGGGCGCGAACAACAAGGGGCGTTATTTACAGGAGGGCGTGAAATACGTGAAATAAGCGTTAAATAAGGGTGGCCGCAATAAGGGCCTAAGCAGCGCGACGCTCCATTTGTCAATAAAATGTATGGGGCGATAGGCATAAAAGGCTTGGGAACAGTTTTTGGAGGAAGCCAGTTGGTGCAACTTGTTCAGAAAAAAATCAGAAATGCAAAAGGGTGTATCGGATCCTAAATAACCACAATGCTGAGTTATAGCCAGATCGCTATAACAGTTTGCGAGTTATCGCCAAAATACTATTTTTACGCGATTCTTAACGGTTTTTTTCGGCTATCTTTTTGGACTTTGCAAAGATTTGCATCGACTTCCGGCAGCGAATCCCTAATTTCACTTAATATGTGCTCTCTAAACACTCGGGGGGACACTAGGTTACAAAAATTGTTGACATCAACGGATCCTACTATATATAAAAAAATAGAGTGTGTGTATCGAAAAAAGCGGATTTGGGTGGTTTTTGGGTTTAAATCGTTCATAACTTTCGAGAAATGGCTATTGCGCAAAAACGATTTCCATAGTCGGGATCAGCGTAAAATTCTGCACAAGATAGGCTTGGTCCCATGCGAAAGTCCCGACGACACTCAAAAACGTCTCCTTGTGAGTGTTGATACCTTATATCGGTCCCGGCCCGCGGCTCGATCCGATCCTCATATCGGATTTGATGCTGAATATCGGATCTGATACCTGATTTCAGTTTTTGATACCTGATTTCGGCTTTGATACCTTATATCGGATTTGACACCTTATTTCACTTTTTGATACCTCTTTTCGGATCAAAACCTTATTAAGGTGAATATTTTAGAACAACGTGCTGCTTAGCTCTAAAAACAGTCTTAAAACTGTAAAAACTAGCGCGCCAGGGAGAATATGTATCTGTATCGGGGATGGGGCCGGGGTCGCATTTTTAAACTTGAAAAATGTTTATTTGTTTTTAAGCGTTCTTTTATCGAAACATCCAGAACGGCACTGAAAAATAATAAAAATTTTAAAAAAATTGCCAGACGACCGACGTCGGGTGGGGGGGGACACCGAGCCCACGGGGTCGACATTACGCTACCTACGTCCCTGCCAAACTTCCGGGATGTTTTTGAAAAAACTCAGTTTAATCGACTTAAGCACCATACTAGCCTTGGCTGATAATTATGAAAATGAACGTTAGATGATGTGATCGTTATGCCAAACGAAAATATACTAAATGAAATTAGGCGAGGTGAAGTTATGCTAAATGAAAATTATGCGAGATGAATGCATTCCCGTGAAACGCTTGCCATCCCGCAAAATACCCAGTATAACTCAAGGGTTTGAGGCTCAAATTAATATCGTCCTTTTCAGGGCTACTTCCTGCTGATTGAGCAAGAAGATGGTGGCACCGAATTGGAAGGCTTCAACTTCACAGATGATCGACAGCGATTTGCAACTCTCCAACAAGTCGCGTTTTCTCTGCGAAAAGCCGAAGAGGCGTTCAAATTCGAGCACCGGTATGCTTGGGTTATGCTTTTTTGAGGATCTTTGAATAGTTGTGCTTAGGCATTTGGGCAGTACTTCATAAGAGATATCGATTTTTCGACCAAAAATACTCTATTTTTTTTGGCCAAAATGAGAACCACAACTTCGTAAAATTCTTGATTTCGGTAGATTAAAGCGTCAGTTTCTAGCTACGAGCGCGGTAAAAATTAAAGGCGCTTGACCACCACAAAATTTATAAAAAAATAGATGCACTTTTGCGCCAAGGCAAATTTTTGAAATTTCGACGAAACACGAAAAACTACAGGGTGTGTCAAAAAAGAACGAAGTTTGCACCAAAATATCTCGCTTGTCTTTGAGAAGCGAAGGTACGTTACCATGCCAGAATGCTTAAATATGCTGGGCATGAAGATATTACAGGGTGGGTCAAAAAAAAAAAGCCAACTTTGCGCCATATTATCTCGCGAACGGTAGAGAATCGAAGGTGCGTTACCATGCCAGAATGCTTAAATATGCTGGGCATGAAGATTTAACACAACTTGATTTTTTCGATTTTTGAGTACGAAACTGTACTATTGACGCTGGTTACGACCGAAAATTGTGCGTTCTTGAACGGGTGGTGGGAAAATTCTGATTTTTGGCCCAAAAATCGTTGACATTTGTAGAAAAATAATGGCCAAATATTAGAATTTTTTAAGCTCCAGTTCTTTTTTTACAAGCAAAACAAATTTCACTATTTTGTATCTTTTGACATTTTAATTCGCAACTCGCTTCAAATACGCTGCCCATGGCTGATCTTTTGCAAATGGTGTCTCCGAATGATAATCTTTAGCACAACACCAAATTTTACCTGATTCTATGGTATTTTAATATTGCTTGCTAAAACGTGCCCCAGAGGGATACTGTAGTTTTGGTTTTTCGCGTTTTTCTTTTTATTGTAAGCTGCGATTTTGCTGAAAATTTTATCATTGGTAAACACCAGTAAGGGTCACCTATGAGCTAAATTTCGCAAAGTTCTAGCCATACACCTTCCCAAAATATGCAAAAAACTTATTTTTGAATTTAGCCACGGAAATTTCTAAATTTTTTGATGCATCGGACTAAAAACTACTATTATTTGTTTTCCTGAAAGATCGAAACGTTTCTATGGTGAAAAGAACGAGAAAACGGCGATTTTCTGTTTTCTACAGTAACCCGCCTGGAGCGCGTTTTAGCATGCCAAGAAAAAATGCCATAAAATGCAGATTTTTCTATTCTAGAATGTTTTCTGAGTAATTATAAGGAAGCAGGCGAAAAATGGCTTAGTTTCTGTGGTAAATGACAAAGTTATAAGGCAAAGAGGAAAACCATCATCGGGGCCCGATTTTGGAACTGAGGGCCGGGGTCGAATATCGAATTTTTGAAAAAGAAAAAATCACCGGAGTTTCGTGGATACAATTAAAGCACGCATCGAATTGTGTATGAGAGCAGAATTCTGGAATGATCTGGCTGAAGTTAATGGTTAATTTTGATTTAAAACCCGAGAACAGCGTTTTTGAAAAGCCGACTTTGTCGAGCTCTTCTAAATTCGTTTGCCGTGAAAAGGTTTTATATTTCCATGGGTTCTAGTTGACTACCCAAGCCGAGTTTATGCCAAAAAAGTCGAGGCTACTAAAGCCTCGAGAATTTTTTTACGTCGCCTCGAATTCGGGTATATTCGGGCTCTTCATGAATTTCTTTTGAGAGATTGGATGGCCCAATAAATTTGTAAATATAATCATAGAATGCGCCCATTAAGTAGTATTAAATAAAATGATGACAATAATTTTAGCTGCGCAAATGAATTTTATAGACTGGCACTAAGGTCTGCGAAATAGCAAGAACCAACCGTTTTGGAGGCGCTAAAAAGCAACCTTCCAAAGGGGTACGGTAGCTAGAAATTGTTTACACGATAGATGGACGCCAGTCCTACACAATTAAGCAAAGAAAACACCGAAATTCTATCTGCAATTTTAGAAATATTTTTCCAAAGTTCAGTTTCGTGACCTCGAAAGAATCCATGACCAGGGGGTCGTCGAAAAACTCAAAATCCGCGGATCTGAAAATTTTTTTTGATATTTTTGCGGGATTGTATCGAGCCTATAGACATGCTAAAAGAGATTATTTAGAGGTTTCCACCATAGGTTTTTGTAATATTCGAAATTTACGAAATTTCTCCATATTAAATTTGAGCACGCTATAACTTGCCAACCAGACCTTCGAAAATTCCAAAATTCTGGATGTGAGCAGGGGCTGTGCTTAGGTACCTACACTGTAAAAATTGGAAGTGTTCGACCACCAGCAATCCAAAAAAATGCAAACGAAGATTTGCCGGAACGCACAGTTTTCGGGTGTCATTTGTATTGATACGTCGCCAAAAATCGAAAAAATCAAGTTGTGTTAAATCTTCATTCCCAGCATATTTAAGCATTCTGGCATGGTCACGTACCTTCGATTCTCTACCGTTCGCGAGATATTATGGCGCAAAGTTGGCTTTTTTTTTTGACCCACCCTGTACACAACTTGATTTTTTCGGTTTTTGGCGGCGTACCCATACAAATGACACCCGAAAAATGTGCGTTCCGCAAAACTTAATTTACATTTTACTCAGTTGCCTGTGGTTGCTGGGTTCTAATTTTTACTATTTAAGTTAATGTAGGTAGTAGATATGCACCCACAAAATTTAAGAATTTGTTAGGATCTGGTTGACGAGTTCTAGACGAATGAACTTTTGTATGGGGAAATTTTGTAAATTTCGAAAATTACAGAAACCTATGGCCAAAACTTCAAAATAAGTCGTTGTAGAATACCTATGGGCTATGGACAGTCGCATAAAAAAATTTGCCAGATCGATAAATGGATTTTTCGAGGTCTCGACACCCAACTTTGGAAAAATATTTTTAAATTGCCGAAGAGGACTCAGTTATTTTCTTTGCTTAGCTACAGGGTGTCCAAAAAAATTGTTCCGGACTTTGGGCTCGAATAACTTTTGATAGAAGAATATTTCACCATGCGTTACCATGCCAGAATGCTTCAAGTGTCTGGAACTCCGATTTAGATCAACTTGATTTTTTCGATTTTCGGCGACGTACCCAGGTTGGATGTGAGGGACCGGCATGGATAGCTAGCTGCCCCGATGCGGTTCGACCCCCGCCCGGAGCACTTGTTTTGCGGATTGGACTCGGAGCTAGGCCATGGCCATGGGACCCTGTTTTCTCGTTAATTTTTTGAGTTTTCGGAAAAATTTTGTCGGGGCCCCCCCCCCCCCGAAATTTTTTCCTGGCTACGCCCCTGTCTATCATCTACAAAATTTTAATCTACCGTACCTCTTTGGAAGGGCGTCTTTTAGGGCTTCCAAAACGGTTGGTTCGCGCTTTTTTTCCGAATCATGTCACCATTTTATAAAATTTAGTCGCGCTGTGAAAATTATCGTTTTATTTTTATGCGATACCATTTGAGTCGCGCATCTTAAAGCCAGGTTCTTGAATTTATTTGCCCAACCGTTGGCGCCAAGAAAATTCATTAAAACCCGAAATATGGCTTTGGCTACATTTTTGGCTGTCACCATAATTTTGAATCAGATTGCTCCGGAATTCGACAGGCGTAAATAATAAAGTCAAAGCTAAAATCGTATCCATAATAGATGGTTTTTTATTTTTAAAAATTCGAAAATTGACCCGGCTACTCGGACCCAAAATCGGCACGCTGGCCTGGTTTTGCACTTGGCCTCGTAACTTTGTTATTTACCACCAAAAAGCAGTGATTTTTGACAGGATATCTTACTTACCTCTAGAAGGCCCTCGAATTGAAAAATCGTCAATTTATGGAATGTCGTGATCAGGGGCGTAGCCAGAAAAAAATTTCGGGGGGGGGCCCCGAAAAATTTTTTCGAAAAACTCAAAAAATGAACGAAAGAAGAAAAGAAGGCTATATAGCTCCACAAATAGCAGTAAAAACGTGAAAAAATAGCGCCCCAGGCAGCAAAATTTTTGAGGAAATAAAAATCATAAGGGTCCCCCCTTATGAAATTTTCGGGCCCCGGCCGATTTTGGGGGGCCCGGGCCCAGGGGGCCCACCTTACGCTACGTCCCTGGTCGTGATGGCATGCTAAAACGTGCTCCACGGGGTTACTGTAGAAAACCGAAATTCGCGATTTTCGGGGTGTTTTTGCCACGGAATCGCTTCGATCTTTTGGTAAAAGCAATAGTAACAGATTTTGGTACCTGATCAAAAAAATTTACAAGATTCTGTGGCAGAAATAAAAAAAAAAAATCAGTTTTTAGTCTTTTTCTTAACGTTTGTGGATAGTACGCTCTGGTATTTGGCAGCAAGGTGCCACAACCGATTGCCTAACCACCCTGAAAATTTTAGTCGGATCGAAGCTAGAGGCCCGGAGAAAAGCGGGAAAAACTAAACCTACAAACTAAACCCTGCTGGGGCACGTTTTAGCACGGGCGGTGAATCTTACAAAGGCCCCTTGCTGATGAAAAGCTATCGCGCGCCCCTGCGCCCTAACTACAGTACCCCACCCCACCGAGCCCCCATTACGCCAGCCTATTGCTTTCCTTTCCAAAAACCAAAAGTGAGGAGAAAGTAGCAGAAATCAAAGTAAAAAATTGGTATGCTTGAAATAAGGTTATAATGGCGCACTTTCCAAAGCCTTGCTTGCTTATTGCCGCAAATTCTGGGCGTGAGCTCCTACGACACCAATCACGCTTTCAACATTCTCATGCACGAAGCAGGATGGAATGGAGCTTCGTCCGCTGTTCGATGTTGCTTCCGGAAGTTGAGGCGCGATAGATATTAGCGGGTAACGTTTTTGTTCCCTAAAGAAGAAGCCGAAGATGTGGAGAGAAAAAAGCCGCGTTGCTTGCGGCTTTGCCAGATCCTTATAAACTTACTCGACCTTATTTTTTATATTTTCATATGGCATCATCGTAGAACTAGGAATCGATTTTAGTTGCGCAATAATTACTTCGAATTCTGAAATATACGA